ACCTCTTCTTAATATCTTCTGCTTCTGTTAGGTTCATACCATTTCTGTCCTTTATCGAATGCTCATTAGTATCCGGTAAAAGTACTCTCTTCGGAATACCGGATGTTTGAGAGATTAATTCAGCCTCCCCTGTTCATAAACAGCTCCCCCTAGTGCTCAGGGGAGAGACACAGGCAGCATCCTGTTTGAGAAGAGTCCTCCTCTCATTGCTCTCCAGAAGTCCTGCATAGATGCCTGGGCTGAATTAGGTTTTGGGCTGGATAGCCCCAAATGTTTTCAACTCTCAGGGTGCCTTATGAAATACAGAATTTATGTAAGCTGTGACTTTAGCTTGATCATTCCGGGGCGCTCTTTTCTAGTTTTTGGTCTTAACTGTAGGAGAAAGACTTTTTCTTTTTTATCCCCTTTAGAGATCCTTTTTGTTCTCCACGTCAAGAAATTTTTTTTTCTTCATGGCATTTTCCTCACTTTGTCTTTGACCCTTTTTATTAAGATAAGGTGACAATTCTTGGATGATTTTCTGATCTAAATTTCACCTAAACCAGATAATACTAAATACTGAAAGAGTATGTCCTCAGTCTTGTGCTATTTAGGTTGCAGTGCTTATAAGCATGACATACTTTTCAATTCAATCTGCCTTACATTTTTCTCCCTCTCTTTTTTATGTCATCATTGAACAAAGCAGTAAATCAAGCCCTGACTCCTGGCATTTGCTCACCAACCTCAAGCTCCCAATGTGATATCGCTGAGCATAGAATTGGACAGAGAATTCACATAGCACCCTGATGTACTGTATTTCCAACATACAAATACATTAGATGTAAATAAAATCAAATATAGATTATAGTACAATAATTGGGAAGTGATAAACTTTGATTTGTCATGTTTTAAAATATATGCTTAATTACAAATTATAATTTTAATAATGGACATATCTAATAATGGGCTCACTAAATTCCTGAAATTTTAGCAATCAACTCTTCCAAGCCAGTATAAACTGACTCTAGCACATTGTATTATTTCAAAAATTCTTTATTTAAATATTTAAAAAATTATTTCTTGTTAGGAGAACAAGCCATAGACAGACAAGCTCTGTGTTCCATTTGAGACTGTGGAGATAGAAAAGGGAATTTGACATTCTCTGTGTTTCTTTCAGATGGGTCGGTCAGTGAACCAGATATGGCAGCCAACTTCTGCCCCGACCACAAGGCGCCCATGGTACTGTTCTTGGACCGTGTGTATGGCATCAAGGATCAAACTTTTCTGCTCCACCTGCTGGAAGTTGGATTTTTACCTGACTTAAGAGCCTCTGCCTCCCTAGATACAGTAAGTGGTTAAAATGAAAAAATCATTTTTTCATCACTGTAAGTGATTAATATTGGAATTAGAAGTGAAGTTTCTATCCACTCCCTAATCATTTATTAGTAGCTTGCTTTAAAGTGTGAGAAAATAGAGAAACAAGAAATGGAGGATCTGAATTTCCTGGTCCAGAGACTTAAATGTAGGTAAACTGGACCTGAGACATTCAATCTAGCTCCGTCCAGTGCAGTTTCCTGTTGTGGTGGTGGCAGGGAGTGGTTCTCTCCTGTGCATTGCAGGGTGTTTAGCATCATTCCTGCCCTCTATGGGTACTACATACCAGTAGCACACCCCCAAAGCAATTCACCAGATGTACCCTGGGAGACACAATCACCCTCACATGAGAACCATGGCTCTATCACTTAAGAAGGATGGCTGGCAAGCGTGATAGGCTGAAAATACTCTTCCTACTCTGACTCCTTAAGTTATATGCACTGACCATCAGGAAGGGTAGTCTGAAGCTCAGGGCATGACAAGGTCAATGTAACAGGCCAAGTACAAATCCAAGTTTGGAAGTCAAGTGTGACGTAGGGTAATCCATCATCAACAGACATCAAGACAGGAGGCCCAGGAGTTAGAAAACAAGAATGCCAGGTGCTCCAGGTCAGGATGAAGCAGACAGATAGAACCCTAGAGGTTCTGGGTTTAAGGAGGAAAGACCAATGAGATCAGCTTAAGTTTTAAAACAAATATTGACCAGCTTAGGTTTGTTTTTAAATTGTATTATTATGTATTCATCTAGCTGCGCTGGGTCTTTGTTGCTGCGCGTGGCTACTCTCTAGTTGGGGGACCCGGGCTTCTTCTTGTTGCCGAGCACAGGCTCTGGGTGCACGTGGGCTCAGCAGTTGTGGCTCGAGGGCGTCAGAGCGCAGGCTCAGCAGTTGCGGCCCATGGCCTTAGTTGCTCCGCTGCATGTGGGATCTTCTGTTCCAGGGATCGAACCATGTCCTCTGCATTGCAAGGTGTATTCTTAACCACTGGACCCTCAGGGTTGTTTTTAAAGAGCCAGTGGCGTATCTTCTTGATCAGTTGTCAGGTTTCTCAAAGGCACCACCTGGTGTCCAACAGCAGTAGAAGTCTGAGCTCTGGTGAGGGGTGGTCAGCTAGCCAGTACTTTAACTGGGGTGAATTCCACTTGAATGAGTTACTCAGAAATGGATGGAGTCACCCAGGAGTGGAAAGCAGTATGAGCCCCAATCTGAATGGGCATTCCATCCCTATCTGTGGCATGGAGGTAAGAAATGGCATATCCATGAAGGCATTAGGGGCATATGGCTGTTTTGTAAAATTAAAACAATTAAAAGCTTCCACTGCTTTGGGGTTTGTTTTTTTTTTTTTTTAGCTTTCTTATAAGTTCTTTGATTTAAAAAATAATTTAAAAAAAAAGATTAACTTGTGGGACATTCCCAGATTTCTTGATCAAAGTGTTCACCTTGTTTATAAATCAGATAAGCAGCAAATAATCTTCTAAAATTTGGTGTTCAAATCATAGGCTTATCTACACACTAACTTCCACAAAAGAAGCTTTGTATTCAGTTTCTCAGCACATGCATTTTCATGCATTCTTTTTTGAAAACTTTGAAGCCACTGGCATCAAAGCTCTTCCTCATTTTAACAACTCTGTCTTTTAAAGAGATAAATGTGGAAGATTAGCTATTTCTTTCCATATGATTACTGCAGCTCCTAGAAGGCAAACTTTTGATAATTAATAGAAACACCCAGAAATATGTACCAGTCAAAGAAAACAGTTTATCAAGTCATGTTATAGGAAATGTGTTACAGATATAATGGCTGTGATCATCACAGGAAATAACGGTATTTCATCTCTGTGGGCCTCAATGTTTCTTTAGAAATTCTGCACTTAAAAAAAATGACAGTTAACCATGTTTTGGCTATATTTAGTGTCACTCAGTGGGCCTTCCTTAAATCCAGCCTGTCTAAATGAGCAGAGAGAACATTGTAAGTGATGATTACAGCAGTTTTAGAGAAGGCCGTAGGTTTCTAGTCCATGTACACGTTTTCCCATGAAGAAGTGGGTTCCCTTCAGTGATGTCTTACCCTCATGCCAATTATCAGATTGCAGATTGCTCACAGTGCTCATAAACTAGGTGATAGGGGTCAGAGCTCCACTTTCTCTCTGTGAAACTGTCACAAAATCAGTGTTTGAGTGCTTGCTGAGCCTGTGGTGGCGGTAGTTCAGTCGCTAAGTCGTGTCCAGCTCTTGCAACCCCATGGACTGTAGCCCACCAGGTTCCTCTGTCCATGGGATTCTCCAGGCAAGAAAACTGGAATGGATTGCCATTCCCTTCTCCAGGGGATATTCCCTACCCAGGAATTGAACGCACATCTCCTGCATTGCAGGCAGATTCTTTACCACTGAGTCGCAAGGAGCCTGTAACCGTTTGCTAATCTCGAAAGCACAAGAGGACAGCTGTGAGTCTCTATAATGAGAGAAAAGAGATGGAGAACCAGAATAATATTATAAATAATAATACAGGAACTTGGAAGTTGGACTTTGCAAACAACAAGGGTGTTGGGTTAGACCGGTCATCAGCTCATTTTAACAAGGATTTGGGATTCTTCTTGAAGGAAACAGGTGTTTGTGGACCATTTGGAATGAGTTAGCACCAGTCAGCCTTTGCTTTTCTTTTGTTTATTATTTCTTTTAACCTGATTCTTTTTTTCCTTTAAGATGCAAAAGAGAAACAGGTCTCTTTAGACAGAGTAGGCAGTTGTTCAGTCTGTCACTGTGAAACACACATGAGTACACCTCCCTGCCCTGCTGGTTATGAGCTCAGCACAGGGGAAGCCTGGCCCTGTCCTTCCCAGGAGACTGACCAGCATCTCAATCCCCTTTTCTTAGGTTTCCCTAAGCACCACCGAGGCTGCACTGGCACTGAACAGGTACATATGTTCTGCTGTGCTCCCACTTCTCACAAGATGCGCCCCCCTCTTTGCCGGAACCGAGCACTACACTTCTTTGATCGACTCTACACTGCAGACAATATACAGGCTTTCCAAGGGGCGATCCCTCACCAAAGCTCAGAGGGACACCATAGAGGACTGTTTGCTGGCCATTTGCAAGTAAGTGCACGCTGCCCATGTGTTTCACTTCTGTGTGTGTATCTGTGTCAGCTGCATTTAATGGTGTAACCCTAGACCTGGTAAATCTAGTCTGAGGATACATTCAGACTTTCAAGATTTTGCTGGGTCCCCTACTTGCCACAGGTACTTTCTTTTTTTTTAATATTCTGTTGAAATATAGTTGATTTACATTGTTGTGCTAAGTTTCAGCTATAGAGTGAAGTGATTCAGTTATATATATATATATTCTTCTTTAGATTTTTTCCACTGTAGATTATTAAAAGATATCATTCCCGGTGCCATACAGTAGGTCCTTGTTGTTTATATATATATATACATATATATATGTGTATATAATAGACGATCACACACACACACACGCACACGCACGGGCTTCCCAGGAGACACAGTTGTAAAGAATCTATCTACCATGCAGGAGATGTGGTTTTGATTCATGGGTGCGGAAGATCCCCTAGAGGAGGAAATGGCAACCCACTCCAGTATTCTTGCCAGAGGAGCCTGGAGGGTTACAGTCCATGGGGTCACAAAGAGTCAGACATGACTGATTGAGCATGCACATGTGCGTGCAAGCATACACACACACACACACATAGGTAATAAACTCCTAATTTACGCACAGGCTCCACAGGATCTTTATGATGAAGCTCATCTCTTGCTCTGGGGAAGTGATGGGACTGACAGCTCAGACTCTAGCCCTGAGGATTGGTAAGCCAGGAGATGAGACCATCTTTCAGTCCTAAAGTGTTCAGATTAAGAAGTGATGAATTAGGTGCTTATGATTGCACAATACTATATGTAAAATATGTAACTAACAAAGACCTACTGTATAGCATACAGAACTCTACTCAATATTCTGTAATAATATAATATGTAATATATGGGAAAAGAAGCTGAAAAAGAATATGTGTGTGTATATATAACATTCACTTTGCTGCAGACCTGAAACTAACACAACATTGTAAATCAACTATAGTAGTAGCAGTAATATTAGTCACTTAGTCCAATTCTTTGCAACCCTGTGGACTATAGCCTGCCAAGCTCCTCTGTTAATGGAATTCCCCAGGCAAGAATACTGGAGTGGATAGCCATTCCCTCATCCAGGGGATCTTCCAGGCCCAGGGATCGAACCCAGGTCTCCTTCATTGCAGGCAGATTCTTTACCTTCTGACCCACCAGGGAAGCCTAAAATCAACTATACTCCAATATAAATTAAAAAATAAAAGAACGAATGCTTTAGTTCTTAAACTAGAGCCAGAAGCAGGTTTTCCATTCCGGATAAGTAGGCCTTTACCCAGAGGCCAGACTATAAAAGCATGAGTTAAAGCAGCCCACCTCTAGGCTACATAAGACCTGAAACAAAGAAAAGAAGGCCTCTCCAGTCCCCATGGGGAATCAAGGCAGCAGTGTTCACCGCCACAGATGGGCAACCGGGACAGAGGGTAAAGCCAGCCTGAGACCCGGCATTGTCAGGAAACTACATCAGATCTTGTGGGGTCAAAGGAAGAGGGCTCTTCCAATGGCAAGTCTCAGCCACACAGTCCAGGACCAGGGTCTGCTGTTTAAGCCAGTGGTTTTCCGCCTCAGCTATGTATTAGAATCACCTGGGTGTCCAGGCCACACCTCAGTCCCCAGCATCCAGGCCTTTAGGGATGGGAGCCCGGCCCCTAGCTTGTGAAGCTCGTCGGACAACTCCATGATGCAGCCAAGGCAGACAGTCAGTGCTGTCGGTTGTCCTGGAGTCAAGCCCAGCACGCGTCCCTTTAGTCGCCACCTGGGTCTGGCCCTGATTCTTGTTGAGTGGTTTGCTTCCTAGTCACACTAGAGATGACTCTGCAGTGATGGGACTGGGGCTGCCTAGAAAAAAGCAATTGCTCAGTCAGTTTAGGACATTAATTAAAAGGCCATCTCACATTTATGTTTCAAGTGTAACGTGGTCCTTCTATTTTAAATGCTTTATTAAAATTAACCTTTATATGCCATCTGTCATCTAAGGCCTATAGACCTCAACTTTTGAGTTGCCCAGAAAGTTTGTTGAAGTTTTCCTGTAAGACATTATGGAAAAACTCAAACATGTTGGCCAACCCAATACTTTTATGGGTCAAGCTGTGTCATGCACAGTGCTATTTGCCTAGGATGTGGAGTGGAGAGGGTGGGCCATCCACCCAGGCCCCATAAAAGGGGTTTCTCTCTGAGATCCTCTACCAAAATCAGGCTCTTATACTCTGACAGCACTTCATTCATTCCAGTATCAGAACTGTCAGAGAATTAAGCTTATTTGAATGCTGTTGGAAGGGAAACAAAGCTTGGTAAACACACTACAGGCCTCTAGGAATTAATAGGGTGATTAAGGTTTCCATGCCACCACTCCACAAGGAGGAGCAGGAGCCCCATGACTGGTGGATATGGTTGGGCATCTACTTTTCTCCTGAGTAGTGGCCAAGGGAATAAATAGTGAGTCTGCACAGAAATCCTTCCTGTTGGCATTGGTTCTATAATTGGCTGACTACATCCATCACAGCTGTAGGTCTTGTTCGACCTTTTCCTAGGTCTGAACTCACCAGGTATCTTGGGTACCAAACCAAAAGTCCTGTCTCCCAGCATAAGCCTCTTCCTAGTTTTTTGTTGTTTTTTTTTTTAAGTCATGGCAAGACTGATGTTAGCATATATGTCTTTAAAGAATCAGACCAGACCTTGGGAAAATTAGAATTTTATATCAAACCAAAATTAGAGCTCACAGCCCTATTCCTATATTCCTAGGAGCTTCTCCACTCCTCTTCTTGGCCATCTGAGCTCTAGAAACAGCTGACAAACTGATACTTAACTAGCTTTATTATTTATTAAGTCAGGAGTTAATCGAGTTAGAGATTTATTTTACTCCTTGATTTTATTTGTTAATCTAAGGTGATACTGCTAATTAGGTAAACAGTGTAAAAAGATGATTTTATATGTTTATGATTATTACATTTAGTGACAAGCTTTTACTTGCTATACATCATGATTGATTTTTTCACTCCAGGGATTTTTATTGCAAGGCCAGCTCTAGCAAAGTTTGTGAAACAGACGAGCTTTGTTGTCCATCTCCATTCACATCTATCCTCCTTGTTGTGGATGCCTCTGAGGCTATCTTTGTGGCATTTTAACATTCAAGATCAGAGTTATTAACTTTGATTCCTTGTCTCTTAGGCATCTCTGGAAAGGGGCCTGTGAGCTGAACATATGTGCCAAATTGTGTCTGTGTGTATATTTTATCTGGGAAGAATCCAGAGGTTTCACAGAGCAATCTTAAAATAATGGCTAAATCAACATGGTTTATCTCTCCTTTCTCTATCTCAGAATTTACTTGTACCAATACCAAGGCCATGAATGCTTTGATAATTTTGATACATTATTCTCTAATTATTCAATTTTCTTTTTAAAGAAGTTTTTCTTTTCTTCTTCTTCTCTTGAGGACAAACCCTTAACCCAAAGACATGATTTCCCTAATAAGAATTTCAGGTTCAGTAACTCAGAGAGCCCTTCAGATCACCAGTAGGTGTCCTCAGATTACACCTGTGCAGCTGGTCACCTCGCTTCTTCCTTGGCAGAGTTCGGGAGCATGGTCAGCCTGTAGAGAGAGTTCTAAAATCACCTGGACTTTCTTTCTGTTGTATTTCTGTTATATATATATTTCTTTGCCCATAGTCAGTGACTGTATTTTGAGTGTCAGAGACCCTAGAACATCCTGTCACATGGTGTTAAGGATCTCAAGCCATGAGCCCCACTCTCTCTCTCTGCATTTTAACTACACTTGATTTTTAAAGTGTTTTACCATCGATTGTGGTTTTATCCACAATCTTGTGATTTAGGAGCTAAGTGTTTTGAAGGTTATTGCTGCTGAGTATTTCTTTCATTCTCTCTCCCTAATTTTTTTTCATTATATCCTTTTGTTTTTCTTATTCTGTATTGCAGTCACTTGAGGCCTTCCATGTTACAGCAACTCCTGCGACGTCTAGTTTTTGATGTGCCACAACTCAATGAATACTGTAAAATGCCTCTTAAGGTAAACCTCTCTACTGTTACAGAAATACAGTCTATGGCGCGGGAAACGTGCCTTGTAAAACATGATCTTCACAACTGGGGGAGCAAAATAACATCTGAATTGGGTTTTACCCCTTTGAGCTGATAGCAAACTAAACACAACCTCCAAAATCAAGCCCTTTCTTTTCTATGATTTATTTATTTTTAATTGGAGGATAATTGCTTTACAATATTGTGTTGGTTTCTGCCATGCATCAACATGAATTAGTCGCAGGCATACGTATGTCCCCTCACTCTTAAACCTCCCACCCCCCTCTCACCCCATCCCACTCCTCCCAGTTTCCCTAAAGCACTATGGAAGGCTGTGGAATCTCTGACAACATACAAGCTGTTGTCAACATACAAGCTTCTTGAGTGCAGAGGTTGGAAAGAACAATTCTGCTAGATTCATTAACTGCTCCAATTTGCCTTAATCGATTTCCGCCAATTACTTGTTATTTAGCAGAGGTTAGTGAGGGGACTTAGATCTTTGTACTTTCCTGCCCTAATTAGGTTTTCAGAAAGTTTGTAATCTCAAAAAGCTTTGAAGTCCTGAGATTCTTCCTTTAGGTACAGAAAGTAAAATGTCCCTTTTCTTTTCCATACTATGTTATGCTTCTTTTTTTCCTTTTGTAACAGATCTTCTTTAAATTTTTTTCACTTCTTTTCTCTTATTAGTAAAAAGTAAGGCCACAGAGCCCTGTTCTCATCATCTGGTTCCTGATTTTCTCGCAAATTACCAACATTTTATTGCTGGTATGGCGAGCATTCCGGCCTGGGCAAGAAGACACCAGAATCAGTCACCCACAAGGGCAGTGCTTTTCATCTTTTATCTCTGAGGCACCTGCTCTAGTTGTATATTCAAAAGGGTCAGCAGTGGCCAGCCATACCTGAAAATTCTGCCTAGTGATTTCAACAGGACTTTCCTTCTTTTCAGAAATAACCTAAGTAAAGATTTCAGGAAGCATGTTACTGGGATAAACAGAATTCCCAGAGGCCTTTAGTCCATCCTCTTGTTCCATGCCAGGTAGAAGACAGCTTGTATGTTGTCAGAGATTCCACAGCTTTCCGTGGGCTTATTCTTCTGTCTAACCCTAAAACTCTTGGTTTTTTTCCCATAAAGTCCTTTAGATAAAAAACAGTTTTTACAGTTCAGCTTGGCATTGCTTCCTTGGAATACCTGTGCCATCAGCTGAATTCTGGCTCCCAAAGAGACATCATCACTAGCACGCAGCAAGCTCACTTGTACCCCTTGGGTCAGTGGGATTTTTCCTGTGGGATGTGGACCCCACCTGCTAGGATGGGACCTTTGGCAGTGTACGTGTCCCCTCTACTGGCCACGTGGGGAACTGCTGTAACTTGGCTAGACCATCAAAAGGCTCGCGTGAAAGGCAAGGAAGCCAGGGACAGGAATCAAGGTGGAGAAATCGGTGGACCCACAGCCTGCTCCCTGCCCACCCCTCCCCACATCAGCATTACCAGATTTACAAGCAAAGATCTCAGAAGAAATTCTCCCCAGGTCTGACTGGCTGGAACACGAAGACTTCCAGAGGGTAGCATTTTCTTAACTGGAGTAGTAACAGTTCCTCTCCCATTTTATAGGAGCCTCTGGGGGTGACTTGGGAGGCATGAGAGTTAGTGGGGCAGATTCCGTTTGGGCTGAAGCTCGTGAGGCACAAGAGCAGGCCGTTCCCAGTGGCGTCGGGGGCCTGTCTGCAGACAGCCTGACTATTTGCTTTGTTGGTTTCACCCTCCTGGGGGGTCTGTGCTGTTTTCTTCTTCCTTGTGTGCTGTCATGTCTGCGGATCTTCTCTGTCTCACCCCACTGGTGCACGCTTGTTCTCAACCTGCCAGCTTCTGACGAATCACTACGAACAGTGCTGGAAGTATTACTGTCTGCCTTCGGGCTGGGGGAGCTACGGCCTGGCTGTGGAGGAAGAGCTACATCTGACAGAGAAGCTCTTCTGGGGGATTTTTGACTCCCTCTCCCATAAGGTAATGGCAGTGCTCCTGGAACAAAGATGGGGTAAGGGTGGCTGGACCTCGGTGATACGAGCACCTGCACATAAGAATTGCTGATTCCCAGTCACCCTCTGCCACGTGCCTGAAACTGTGCCAAGCCCTTTGCAAGCGGATCACATGCATTATCCCAACTACCCTGACCCTCATTTGACACGTGGAAGATCTGTTGGTAACTTGCCAGACTCACAAAGTTAACATGTGGAGAGCTGCTTTCAGAGTAAATGCCCAGCCTTCCTGTGTGGTCTGATTGCAACACGGCCCCGATCTCACATTTGCTCCCCTTCCCTTGACATATATTTAGATTTGTGATGTGACCAGCTTTAGATGAAGTCAGTAACACTCAGGATGGTATGGCCGTAGATGGGTCACCAGCTGTAAATTTTTCTGGATTTTCATACAGAAGTTGAGAGCAGGTATACGGCTGCAGTCTGGCGTTTGTTGTGTGTATGTGTTCAGTCATGGCCGACTCTTTGAAACCCCATGAACTATACCCACCAGGCTCCCCAGTCCATGAAATTCTCCAGGCAAGGATACTGGAGTGAGTTGCCATTCCCTTCTCTAGGGGATCTTCCCAACCCAGGGACCAAACCCCCATTTCTTGCATCTCCTGCATTGGCAGGTGGATTCTTTACCATGGCACCACCCGCAATTAAATGATCTTCACGCCTGCCTTCCTTTGGTCTAGTACAAGCAGATCAAAGGTTGTCCCTCACCCCACGTGTTTCAGCTGAGATTCCTTCCTGGCGAGGTTTAGGAGAGAATGGTGACACCGAGCAATCTGCTGACACTATCAGCGTGTGACCCGCCTTGGCTACTGAGGGCCCAGCCATGCTGCTGTACCCCATCCAGGAATAGATATTCCTGCAAGTAACTAATTATGAGATACTGATTTAAACCTTGATATAAGGTTCCTCAACCTACAACAAATGGTGACTTGAAGGCTTTACAGATTGTCGCTTTTCTGTGACAAGAATACCTCCGTTTCCACCAGAATGCATTACAGGTCTTACATGTTCCCCATTGTGGTTAAACTGGGAAAATGCATGTGTTGCTTTGTTGTGTTTTTTTTTTTTCCCAGCCAGTTGGTGAGTGGTTCTGCCGGTGCCTGTGGTTCTGGCATCTGTGCTAACGTGGTCTTTGTCTTTCGCCGCAGAGGTATGACCCAGATCTTTTCCGGATGGCCTTGCCCTGTCTCAGTGCGATAGCGGGGGCCCTGCCACCAGATTATTTAGATACCAGAATCTCAGCCACATTGGAGAAACAGGTCTCAGTGGATGCAGATGGCAACTTTGACCCCAAACCCATCAACACCGTGAAGTGAGTCCAGAGTCATCTCTAAACTGGTCCTCGATTTTACCCCATGGCCAGTGTTTCTCTTTCAGAAAGAAGCCAGAAATTTAAACTTCCTTCCCTTCTCTCCCTTCCCTTCCAACGTTGTTCGTCATGTCCCTTGACACTACAAGTCACATCAGGTGCTGGATTTTGACCTCAACTCCTGAAGGTTTAATCCACCTATATCTGATTATATGTTATATTATTCTATTCTGCACTTCTTTGGGGAGGGTGGAGTTGGTTTATTTATTATAAAAAAATGGATGCTCTCCACATATGTCTCCCGAGGCATTGTAAGCATCCTGACAAATGATGCAATTAATTTATTAATGAGTTTTTTGACAAAATCTTTGCTCTTTGTGAATTAGGCCTGTACAGTCCTAATAGCATTGTACATCAAAGCCCCTCCTTAAATAACACTCAGCTGAACTCCCATAAGGCTTCAGGATGTGAGGGCAGAACAGCATGGGGGGTCGTTTTTTGAGAGACTGGACCTGCTCTTTCCCAACGGATGCTGGATCTTTGGAATGACTCTACAATAACTCCTTTTAATTTCTCCCACTGATTCTCCAGCATGCTTCACTGGTGGTTATTAGGCCATGGACAAAGTATTAGACAAGATCTATTCGATTTTGCCTTTGGCAGTTCTGTCCCAATTATGATTATGGGTCATGGGGCATACAGGCTTCATCTCCAGCTGCATTTTCAGTGAAAAGCTCCAAATCTGCTGTGATCATTATTAAAATCTAGTGAAAGGCTGACTAAGCAGGCCTCAGCAAGGACAGGAACTAAAGCAGAGTGACCACATGGACATTCTCCAGGTGTCCCCATTGAATGCGTCACCATGAAGAGTTTTCTGTCCTGGTCTCACTCAACTCAAGATTCAAATTACAAGTTCTCTGGTGGTCTACTGGTTAGGATTTCTGCCCTTTTACTGCTGTGGCCCGGGGTCAGTACCTGGTGGGGGAACTGAGATCCTACAAACTGCACAGCACAGCCCTCCCCCCCCAAAAAAGATTCAGATTCCAGAGAGAGAGTCCAGTTGGCCTCATCAGAGCCAATCCTCAGTGACAGTTCATATGAGACTACACACAATGCAGGAAGCCTTGCTCCTGAAAGGGAAGCAAAGGTGTCTTACCAACAGAAGGGGTAAAAGCTGTGGCGCTAACAGAAATGACAGGTGTCCACTGGACTGCCATGATTCTAGCATTTAAGCATGAATCACCAGACCTCAAAAGGTAGACAGACACTATTTTGGAGCACTAGGTCCTCTAGCTACCCACTCCTGCCATCCCCCAGTTGGAGTTGTGAGATGGCAGAGCAGTGTCTTTGATGAATGCATTCTCACAATCTGGCCAGGACAGGTCTGGCCCAGGAGCCGAAGTGGTTCTTAGGAGCCGAGGGAACCTGGGGCAGCTGGAGGGAGGGCCGCCTGAGAAGCAGAGGCTGCTGCAGAGATGCCCTCTGATTAGCCGTGGGCGTGTCGGTGACCTGGTCCTGAATACGCCACACCTGGAGCTCGGGAAGGTCGCAGAGTCTGGTGTTCAGCTTCAAATCTGGGTCAGCTAGTTGATCACATCCAACTTCTGTCAGCTGATTGTTAGTTCTGACTATCTTTTTAGCACATCTGGCCGAAGTGCTTGGGGAGGTTGTAAGTTTATTTTTCCCCTCCTTTCACAGTTTCTCCTTGCCTGAAAAATTGGAATACATCGTCACCAAGTATGCTGAGCACTCCCATGATAAATGGGCCTGTGACAAGGTAGGGATTATCATCCAGCCGACAGTTGTCAGGGGGGTAAAAATAACCAGCCCAAGAACGTTAAAGGGTTCAGTCCAGGAAATCTGCCTGATGTGTCTAAGTGACAGACTTGCCATGCCAAGAGCATTCATTATTTTTGAGTGGCCATTTCCCAGGGATGGTGGAAGTCGGAGAAATAGGTGGTGGCAGCTGCTGGTGCGGCTTCTCTTGTCTCTCAAGAAAATGATTGATTCTGGGAGGGCTGCTATCTCTTTTCACGTTGCATTTCCTGGAGTTGGTGCTCAAGCACATGCTTATGTATGTTTGACATAAATGCTTAATGGGGGGCCGGAAGCTTTTATTAAATTTTTTTTTTAATGTAGCATTAGGAAAGGGAAAATCGAATAGAAAGCTTTATTCTCACATTTTGCCAGCAAGCTGAATTTTGGTCTAGGGAGGACACCCGTCTTCCCCTGACAGGCAGTGTTGGAACTTCCAGACTCTCCCTTATTAATAAGCCCGTCCATCTGGTGTTTAAAATTCTTCACCACATGAGGTCAGGCTGCTTAATAAGTTTAATTGCTCTGTCAGCCCTTTAATGCTGGCAGGCAAAAGGAGAGGAATGTGCCAAAGCCATCCCGGAGTCCTGTAGGCAGCCAGTTAAGCACTGGGGCCATTACTCAGCTGCAGTTTACAGCCCGAAACGGTGGACCCACCTCCACAGCACGGCCGCAGAAACCACCTCCCTGGTCACACGCTGGATGAGATACAGCTTGACGTCCTGGCTCAGCCTCTCTCATGAGCTGGGCTCAGCTCTGATTCTTTCTTGAGCTACTGTTTGGGGCTTATGACAACAACAATCATTGTATCTGTAGAATGGTCTCATGATTCTAGAACAGAGGTTGGCATGCTTTTCCTATGAAGGGCCAGATAATAACCATTTTAGGATTTGTGGGTCAGTCAGTCTCCATTGCAACTACTCATCTCTGTTGTAGTGGTGCAAAAGCAGCCGTAGACAACATGTAAATGAAGGAGCATGCCTATGTAATACAGTAAAAACTGTATTTCTAAAACAGGGACTCGGCTGGATTTGGCCCAAGGGCTGTCTGTAGCTTGCTGACTGTTGCACTAGAGCATCTGTGTTTTCTCGGCACTCCTTCATATGCCCATCTGTGCAGTTTTGACTTAGGGACAGGGACACCTCCATGAATCATCCAGTGCATCCCTCGGTCACATGCATTTTACCTCTTTAGTCACTCCTGAATTTATATAGTTCTCTCTGTCCAAACCACAGTTTTAGACCAGACTGCACTCATCTTTTGCCCAGACAATGTGATGACATTTCAACTAGTCTGCCCATGTGCATCTTCTCCAGTCTGCCCATCATGCTACAGACAAGCAATGGTTGCAGTATGCAGGTTTGGTCCAGTTCCCCCAAACGGATCATGTTCTCCAGGCCAGTCCCATTTCCTTGTTAAAATCCCTTAATAGCTTCTAACTATTTTAATGTAAAAGTGAAAATCCTTTTTGTGGTCTGAGAGACCCTGCCACCATCTCTAGCCTCATATGTCTCCCCTCATCCTCTGCCTTCCAACCACATGCCTTTTATTTAGGCTCATTCCTTCCCTCCCTTCCCCACCCCATCTCTCTCTCTCTCTCTCTCTCTCTCTCTCTCTCTCTCTCTCTCTCTCATCTCTCATCTCTCATCTCTCATCTCTCTATGTAAGCCTGGATCCACCCTGTCTGAGCCAGGTACCCATCTGTACTCATGTGAAAACACCATTCATCAATTCCTCCTTCAAAATCTGTCCAAGTGTGAATTCCTAGGACGCCTCTTTCCCAGATTCCTTAAATATAGGCCCTCTTAGCACCTTGCTGTTTTCCTTCCCAGGATTTTCAGAGCAGTCTCATATGATTCTATTCATAGCAGTTATCCATTTATATATACCAGTTATGAGCTATGCATTTACTGGTGTGGTATTTGATGAATCTCTCTTTTCCACTATCCTGGAAGCTTCACATTTGTCCACTGTTGCCAGGTGGGCATTGATAATCTGACAAGGAGAAGAGTATTCTCCCCTGCCTTCAAGGACCCACAGTCTGGGGGGTCCTTGAACTAACTGAACCACCCACTGTCCAGGTTGTGCTATGCTGCGATGGGCATGAGCTCAGGGTGAGAGCATCTGGGAGGAGACCCCAGCCCAGTAGCAGGGGGTCCAGGAATGCTTCCTCGAGCTGACGACATGTACAGTATGTGATAGAAAACATTGTTCAGACATAGGGGAGCAAGTGCTGTGTAGGCTGTGGAAGCAGTGGGTGCAGACCCTGAGAGGCAAGAGTGTGTGGTGGCTCTTAAGGAAGTTTGGTTCAACATGATGGGGTCACAGAGTCGGACAGGGGAAGAAAGGCAGGACATGGGCCTAAAGGGGCCACCAAGCTCTTCGCTGCAGCCATAGAGGCCAGAAAGAGCTTGGATTTTTACCATGATGGCAGTTGCAAATCAGAAAATTTTAAAGCATCAGAGTGCCCTGATCAGAGTATTTTATAAAAATCACCTGACGGTTGTACTGAAAATGGAATCCGTGAAAGATGGCAAGAATGGAGGCAGGGAGACCACACAGGAAGCAGTTGCAGTAATCCAGGTGAGAGCTGATAGTTGTTTAGCTGCTAAGTCATGTCTGACTTTTCCAGATTCCATGAACTCTAGCCCATCAGGCTCCTCTGTCCCTGGGATTTCCCAGGCAAGAATCCTAGAGTGGGTTGCCATTTCCTTCTCCAGGGAATCTTCTCAGTCCAGTGATCACAACCACAACTCCTGCATGACAGGCAGATTCTGTACCACTGAGCCACCTGAGAATGCCCTAAGATGGCTTCTTGTTGTTGAGTTGCTAAGTCATGTCTGACTCTTTGTGACCCCGTGGTCTGTAGCCCGCCAGGCTCCTCTGTTCATGGGGTTTCCCAGGCAAGAATACTGGAGTGGGTCGCCATTTCTTCCTCCAGGGAAGAGCAATGGCAGCCTGAGCCAAAGCACTCACAGGAAAGTGAGGGCGAGGCAGACAACAGGTCTGGGAGGTCGAACACATGTCAACAGGTACAGAGAGAAGGGGATGTTGAGGAAGGGTCCCACATTTCTAGCGTGGAAAGTGAGTGTAAGCTGATGCTGTTCATGGAGATACAGGGAACCCAAGAACAAGAGCCATTTAGAGAAGTGCAGTGCTGTGTTCTCTTTCTGACTTTTGAGAGGTACCTGCAGACATCCAAGCAGAGCTCAGATAGGTGAGGAAGTTGTGGATCTGGACTGAAGATACTGATTTGATATTCATTTACTTATGTACCAGGCCTAGATTATATACCCCCAGGAATAGTGTGTCCTGAGAAGGGACACAAGCTTGAAAAACTCCACATTAACAAGTGGGCAGAAGCAGAGACTGAGAAAGAGCAGCCAGAAGTCTCTGGGCTGTGAGGTTACGAAAAACAGACTCTGACTTATCTCTGTATCCACAGTGTCTGGGACACAGTCTACAACCTACTGTCGTAGACATTCAACCAGTGTCTGTTGAATGACTTTTGAAATTCGTCAACTTCTATGATTCTAAGAAACATGCTTTGCTACAGTTTTGCTCTGGGGTTGGCGGGCAAGGGGAGCAAACCAAATCAGTTCCCTCCATGCCATGGCCAGTAGGTCCATTTCTTACAAGCATTTTGCCTTGACACCTGTCCTTGCCTGTGATGGTGACACATTGACCTGAAAAGCATTGTTCTCGGGTCTTCTGAAGCATCCTTTCTGTCTGTAGAGAGCCTGAAACACAAACAAGTAAGTGGAGGGGACAGCCACTAAAACAGGAAGAAATAAAAGGAGCAGGGTTCAAAACTCAGGGGGCAGAGAGCCTGACAGCCTTAAAAGATCAATTAGATATTGTGGGGGGAAATTTCCAAGCTCTGTCACATTCCATTATTCTATTTGTTCAATGAAAATAGAAGCTGGGCTGTGGGTCATATAGCAGGGCTCTCAGGGTGCCAAGGATATTTGAACTGAGAACATTTCTACAGAGTCAGAATGGATGGAAATACGGAATTTCCCTGGATGAAAATGTGAAGACCCATCCATTGATCCGGCCTTTCAAGACATTAACCGAGAAGGTAAGGACCACCGAGTGGCCATGCTGGTTTCCCTTCCCCGGGAATTGTATCTGATGGCAGAGGAGCTGAGGGCACATTCACGGTCCAGCTCTTTAGAGACTTTTCAGGATTCGAGACACTTCTCAGGAGATGGCCTATCACCCACGGCCTCAGGACCAGCTTCGAAGAGCCCGTTGGAGAAGGAAACACTGGTCAGCACTCAGAGGCTGGACCAAAATACATTTTGTGGTTCACTTGGCAACTGAAATAGGAAGGGCTTTTGTTAGATTATTAGGAGGATTATTTTGTTGAGATTTTTTTTGGGGGGGAAACATGAATTCAGAATGGAAAGGACTTCCAATCATGAAGGATGAAAGGAATAGAGAAGAGAATCCCCAGGGAAATATGGACAGGTCTCATAGTTTGGTTTGCTTTGTTCATTATGAGATTTGGTTCAGCTTAACTCTGAATTCCTATCTTGCCATCAGTAAGAGTTCTCTGTAAGCTTTAGATTTCCTGTCACAGGTAAAGGATGATATGTATACCTTTATATGCATATTCACTGGCTATAAAATTGTATATGGCTCAAAAGAGAATTGTAAATCTAAGGAAATCTATTTCCCAAGCTCAGAGGAGAGCTTTGTGCAGACGCATTTTGACATGCGCCATCTTAAACACCTACCAGAGAACGGAAGTCACTCTTGAGAGAAAGGGGCGCGGCCCAGGCGGGTGACGCTTGCGCAGTAAGCGCTGCCTGGAGGAGGCAGAGGTGGCAGTGCTGGAGGGAGTGGGGTGGGCAGAGGGGAGAGGAAGAGATCGTTGTCCTCTTCTTGCTTCTCTTTAACAACAAACTGTGGGAAATGTCTGGCACATTCCCCCTAAAAGCCGGAGACTGTAGCGTCTTTTAATTAAAAACCTCCAAAAGGCTGATGACGTGTTTCAGATGGGATGCTGCAGAGGGTATTTTAACCCAATGAGAGGAAGCTTGAGCCAGTTAGCCCCCTCCGCTGTGGGCTCCAACTTCTCTTCCAGGAGACAGGCCAGCCAGAGTGCTGGGGCCTGTGCCGTACACAGCTCTTCTGCTCCAATCTTCTTCCAGGAGAAGGAAATTTATCGCTGGCCTGCCAGAGAGTCCCTGAAAACCATGCTGGCTGTGGGCTGGTCTGTAGAGAGGACCAAAGAGGGAGAAGCTCTGGTTCAACAGCGGGAAAATGAGAAGCTTCGAAGCGTGTCCCAGGCCAGCCAGGTATGACCATCAGGCCCAAAGGCCAATGCTGGGCCAGTAGAACCCATGGAGAATTTGGGAACGCTCTCCCCAGGTAGCAGAGATAAGGCTCACCATCCATGAGCCTTGGGAATTTGGGGGGACATACCTTTGGCCGCTGACGTTGGGGATGCTGATAAGAATGATTCTGCCTTTACTTCCCTAGGGCAACAGCTACAGTCCTGCCCCTCTGGATCTCTCCAATGTCGTGCTTTCCAGAGAGCTCCAGGTCAGTCTTGATGCCTTCAGAACCAGCGTAACTTACTTCTAAAACCCCTCAAGTACAGGGCATATCAAACTCCAAAGAATTAAAGAAAAAAACAGAAGGGAGAGAGTGCCTGAAATGTCACTGCTGAAATATCAAAATTAGGGAGGGCTACACGGAGCAGAGGCCACTCATCCGAGACAGTCTCAGCAGAATTGACCAATGGTCAGAGGAGGTGAGGCTTCGTGCTTCTTCTTGGGACATTGAAACAGGTCATCATAATTCACTAAGAGGAAGAACAAGCAGCAAGTTCCTGTATCAAAACCCAAAACAGAACTTATAACAGGCAGGAGAAATAACTAGTAACAAAACTAATAACAACTAGGAGAATGCCTATGAGCCACCCAGGGGTGCTGGCCTGGTCACAGTGGGTTTTCCCAACCTTGAGGACAACTGTATATTCCTTGGTGGATTCACTCAAGTTGCCTGTGGTGGTGCAGATGAGTCATCACTGCAAGGTTTCAGGACTTAAAACCAAGAGGATGAGATTAAAAGCCCTAAGTGGCCTCCTCCCGTTCCCCCCTTGTGCACACATTGGTGACTGTGACTGAGGCAGCTACTGCTCAGAGCATCCATCAGACCAACCCTTTGTACCTTAGAGAAAGTTTCTTTCCAAAGTATACCCTTCATTCCAGGTCACTATCTCATGAGCCTTTTAAAGATGAGTTCTCTTTGAGAAATCTCATTTTTGCCCCAGTTTTCTCCAACATGTGGCCATTTTTTAGTTCGCTAAGCTAAAGGCTTTTGGGGATTCTAGATTTTTGCTTGACCCCCCACTTACAGCTCCCTTTCTCAGGTCAGCAGTAAGACACTCAACTCCTGTGACAAATGAAATGCCACCAGCATGTAGTTTGCAGTGGAAATTTGTGTTCTCTCAGAAATGCATCAAACTGCCAAGATAATAAGTTACCAGGGAAGGACCGAATTAGAAATTGTTTTCTGTGTGTATGAGAAGGTAGAAAACTAATGAGGTGCATAAACACAGACTAATTAATGACAGGAGACACTCAGCAATGTGCAGTTAGCATTTGGTGGTGTTCTGTTTCCAAGGCTGCCTGAAATAGTCTGGCAGATATGAACCCATTTTTCTTGCTTGCTTTCTCTCCGACCGTCGTCTCCCTGGTGGGATCCAGGGGATGGTGGAGGTGGTAGCTGAGAACTATCATAATATCTGGGCCAAGAAGAAGAAGTTGGAGCTGGAGAGCAAAGGTGAGCTAGGTTCACAGCGTCCCCCACAGAAGGTGAGCCGGGGGGTAGGTGTGTTTTCCCAAAAGTGCAAAGAAAGAGCCAAATATTTTGTCATCTCTCACTTTACTGAACCCAGGTGGAGGCAGTCACCCTCTTTTGGTACCCTATGATACCTTGACTGCCAAGGAAAAGTTCAGAGACCGAGAGAAGGCCCAGGACCTGTTTAAGTTCCTCCAAGTAAATGGCATTGTGGTTTCCAGGTAAGTCGTCTTCCAGGTGATGTTAGTGGGACAGGAACAGGCTGGTGTGGTCTCTCCTGCTCTAGATATTTAATCACCTGCCTGCATAACAGATCAGAGTAAGGACAGCAGGTGGGTCTTTTGAAGTAGGTAAATGTTTTGGAGCGTGAAGCCCTCTCTTCTGTCATAAATAAGACTGGTCAATGTCAATTTCTAAAAAAAAAAAATCAAAGAATCTAGCAAAGAATCATGACAAATTATACATACATACCTTAAACATTTAATTTTAACTTAAAACATACAAATATGCATTCATTCACAAAGCTTGTACTGTAGGCCCCAGACCTTATTTTAGTTTGTTGTTTTATTGATTGGAATTATAAAGCACATCCATAATGCATCCTCAAACATCTGAAATTTGGGCCTCCCTAAAGAGCGGTGAGAATTAAGGCACATACAAAACACTGTAAGTGCAGCATTCTAGGGTGGGCTTGTTTTTTTTTCCCCAATTTTCTCTCTGTATTTTACAGTTTTCTTACATCTAGTTCAAAACCTCTGTATTTGAAAACTTACAATTGCAGGTCTTTGTAAAACATGCAGCCTAGTTCTCACAGAATCACCAGTGCTCTTCACACGTGTATTTTAATGTTTTCTATGGTATTTAATAAAATGCCATAAGAGCAATAGAGACCATGAGTGACATCAACAACCCTCAAAAAATGACTCGGCTCCTGGGGAGACTGGATGAACCATGATTTCTGAAGACTTTATCTCAAGCTAATGTTGATCAGAATCATCTAGATGAAGGTTTTAGATGAGGATGGTCTGGGCTGCTTAAGTCTTAAAGTTAGAATCTGTTTTCCTGCTGGTCAGGTATCAGCAGTTGGCTGTGCTTGCCAAGTCCTTTGTAGAATGAAAAATAAGCAAGTGTCCCATCCTGATAAGCCATTTCTCCTAAAATGTCTGCCGAGCCAGCTGCTGTTTCTTCTTTTGGTTTCCTGCAGAATTTTTGCCACTGAATGACAGAAACCCAAATAAAATTCTAGACAAATATTTCTATTGTAGCTCATATGAAAAAATAACAAAACGTATTTGCTGTATTGTTGAGTAGGAAAGGTCAGGCAGCAGGGGACAGTCCCTGGGGGAGCCTTTGAGAAAAACTCCCATCATCATTTTAATCCTGTTCTTAATGCTACGATGCATGCAGACTGTGGTTTGCCAATAAATAACTCGCTCACAGAAATGAAAAATTCCTCTTTATGATAAGAAGGAAATCTAGGAAACAGGGAGGAAAAGGAAAAGATCACTGAATTCAGCAAACATATCCCCTTAGCAGCTTACCCTGTGCCAGAACCTGTGATGGGCACTTGAATATACCAATAAGGAGGCGACATCATATCACCAAGAACCCCTTAGTTCCTGCTGCCCACGCCTCAAATCTACCCCATCCTCAGCTTCCTCATCACCTGATGACAGCCCTTCTTCCGAGTGCTCAAGCCAAAAACCTTGTCTCTTCTCTTTTTCCTTCAATTAGCATCCACTTCTTTAGGAAATCCTGATGGTTCTCCCTATAAGATACCCAGAATCTGGCCACTTCTCGCCTTCATGCTGTCACTATCATTGCTGAAAGGGCTTCCTTCCCACACTCCCTATTTCAACCTTTGGCCTCAACAGTCAACTTTAAACCTAGCAACTAGAGTACTCCTGTTACAATGTAGATCATATCATGTCATTCCTCTATTCAAAACTTTCAATAGCTTCCCATCTCAAAGCAAAAGCAAAATGCTAAGGACAGCCCATGGCATCCTAATGATTGAGCCCATTGTCCACCCCACACCCCTCTGAACTACTCACTTTCATTCCATCCACATTGGCTTCACTCACCATGCTTGCTCCCACCTCAGGACCTTTGCACCCTCGCTCCTGATGCTTGAAAGCTTTCTCTCCTGATGTCTGTATGTCTTTACCTTCCCATGTCATCCTTCCAATAAGCCCAGCACTAATTTAACAACAGTCTGCTCACCCCCCCCCCCACTTCAGGTACTCTTGGACCCTTCATCCTTTAACTTTAGTTTTTCTTGTATTCACAAAGTTTATTAACTTCTAGCACTGCATACACTTTATGTCTTGTTTTATGCAGTGTTCATGTCTGTTCATAGCTGGCATGTAAGTTCCATGAACACAGGGGATTCTTGTATGCATCTCTGCTTTAGTCCCATTTCCGCATTTGTTGAATGAGTGATGCAGATCTTTCTGAAGAGTCTTTTCAGAAATTATCATAGCTCAGATGTTGCATACTCAGGGAGGCAGGTTCCAAGTTCAAGGGGAAATGAGTCAGATGGTGAGTCAGATCACTAAGCCAGAAAAACCATTAACATTTGGAAAACAGAGCTGACACAGGGAAAATTGCTGGTGCATTGAAGTCACATCGTTGTCTCTGTTCCCCCCTGGGGTTTACCCATTTCCAACCTAGAGGTGTGAAGGATATGGAGCTGGATGCCTCCTCCATGGAAAAGAGGTTTGCCTATAAGTTTTTGAAGAAGGTTCTGAAATATGTTGATTCGGCTCAAGAGTTTATTGCCCATTTGGGTAAGTATAGTTGTGAAATATCACAAAAATGTGTGCTTCTCCTAATAGCAAAAAGAATTCAATATTCATTTTTCAAGGAAGAATGTTTTCATGCCATAGTTGTTCATGATTCATTTAGGCATATGGTTTGGGGAAGGACACAGTGACTGAGATATTCCCACACACACACCCCACTTTTTAAAAAATCAGCTTTGTCTTTGGTTTTCCTTCTAGATTTGATTGAATCATTTGTCATTTTTAATATAACTCATCCTATTCTAAGTGCTCCACCTTTTTGCTTTGTGGCTCTGAGATTATGGCTTAAGCTCTCATCACTAAGATGGTGAAATGGGTGGTGATACTCTAGAGAATTGACACAAAAAATAATCAGCTCTCACAATTGCCAAGTACTTTGTAAAATATTAGATATTTTATAAAAATCAAATGGCCTTTTCATGATGAAAAGCTGCTCTGTCTCTAAAATGCTGTGACTGTGTTTGTTTTCTTTGCTCTGGCCAACTTTGTGTCACTTTTATCTGTGTAGAAGCCATTGTCAGCAGCGGGAAAAATGAAAAGTCTCCCCATGACCAAGAGATCAAATTCTTTGCCAAAGTAAGTGACCCTGTGCATTTAACTAGATTACTTTCTCCTTGGCAGCCACACAAATTAGGGTACAAGTTACGCAGGTTCAACAAAGATACTCAAAACTCCAGTAATGGCTTTGATCATACAGAAGTGTTTGTTGTGGAACAGTCCTGAGGCAGGTTGGTGGTCCGAGGTGGTGGGCAGCCTGCTTTGCTACATGCCATCGCCCAGGGACTCAGGTTCTTCCTCCCATGATGTTCTTCCATCTCCTAGAATGTGATCCCTGACAATTTGGTCCAAACAGACACAACTGTACCACATCTGTGAGACAGGGGTAAAGGAGAGGGGAAGGAAAGCTGCTGTTTTATTACACTTCTATCCCAGCAGCTAGAACATAATCATTTTAGACTCAGCTAGCTGCAAGGGAGGCAGGTAATGCGTTTTCTAGCTGGGTGACCCCATTCCCAGCTAAATTACACAAGCTTCTACAGCTAAGAGAAGGAATAGGAGAGTGAACATGGAGACCAGTGAGCTGTCTCAGCCACATAGCCCTAGGCAAAGGACTAAATACAAGTAAGGACTTGAGGTCGCCACGCCCTGAGAAGCAGAGCCAGGATGCTCCAGGCTAGTGGTGCTAGCCCATTCCTCAAGTATGCTGTTGAATGCCATGCCCAAGAAGCCACATCGGAGTGCAGGCTAAGTACAGGACACGCCTGAAAGTGTTGGCTCAGGGCCCCATGTGCTCTTCTTTGGGTGCTTAGTATCTTGCTGTGTCACTTTACATGTACCCAAGGCCTCTGGTTACAGGAATAGGAAAAGAAAATGTGTTGGAAACAGAGATCCACAGGATAGTGTTTCCTGGAAATTCCAGGACCAGTGTTCAGAGGCTTTTTGCTCACTGAGAAGGAACTTTTTCAAAGGAACCAGAGGAAGGACTTTTGCCAGCTTCGTAGAAGTTTGTCTCTAGTGGATCTTTCAGTTCGTCTCTGGTGTATCTTTCAGGTTCTCCTGCCACTGGTTGACCAATACTTCACCAATCATCGCCTTTACTTCCTGTCCTCACCTCTGAAGCCTCTCAGCAGCAGTGGGTATGCCTCCCATAAGGAGAAAGAAATGGTGGCCAGGTGAGTCTGGTGGCCAGAAGAGAAGGTCATGGTGCTGATGTGATTTCCATGAAACCCCAGATTCCTGGAACTTAAATGGTGACTCTTTTGAAGAAATGAACTGTGGCCTGACAATTGGCAGCTCAGAGGTTTTCGTTAACACCTTTTTTTCTGAAAGTGCCTTTATTCACACTTACCCGTGTATTATTTTGGCAGCCAAGAGGAGTGTACTCTTTGTGGGTATCAGTAGGATTAGGGGGTAGATTTATATAATCAGGTCAACTTCCATCCTGAAATATATTTAGAAAAAGGCAAAGGTAATTCTGAAGCTTGGGAAAAGCAAACACACAACATTGAGAAGAAACAGATTAACACTGTTTTCAATCCCATTCTTATCAGGTTTTTAAAGATTAAGTTGCTTTTAAAGAATCAGATTTTACAAGTCCTGGTATGGATAATCTGAGATTTGAAATCTAGGGTGGCATAATTCAATTTAAATTCCTAACAGGAAACAAATTTGAATCAAAAGTGTCAGCTTGCCTTCTCGTTCCACTAGGTGTGACAAGGGGGTGTCTCAGCAGAGCTGAGAACAAAGCGGGGTGCTTCATGGTCAGGCTATGGGGTGGATCCCACTATGCCTCAGGTTCTCTCTGTATTTGATTTATGAGTGACAAGAGGATGGGTTAGATTTCTAAACAGCAGAGAGTTAAGGACTGCAATGAAAGTAGTCTATTCACCGTTTCCCTAGCATCCATTGATGGTGAAGAGTGTACTTTATATTTTATAAGGACCTAGCCATTGACTATCTTGGGAGGATTGTCTCAGCAGTGAACCAGTGAGCTGTCTCAGCCACATAGCCCTAGGCAAAGGACTAAATACAAGTAAGGACTTGAGGTCGCCACGCCCTGAGAAGCAGAGCCAGGATGCTCCAGGCTAGTGGTGCTAGCCCATTCCTCAAGTATGCTGTTGAATGCCATGCCCAAGAAGCCACATCGGAGTGCAGGCTAAGTACAGGACATGCCTGAAAGTGTTGGCTCAGGGCCCCATGTGCTCTTCTTTGGGTGCTTAGTATCTTGCTGTGTCACTTTACATGTACCCAAGGCCTCTGGTTACAGGAATAGGAAAAGAAAATGTGTTGGAAACAGAGATCCACAGGATAGTGTTTCCTGGAAATTCCAGGACCAGTGTTCAGAGGCTTTTTGCTCACTGAGAAGGAACTTTTTCAAAGGAACCAGAGGAAGGACTTTTGCCAGCTTCGTAGAAGTTTGTCTCTAGTGGATCTTTCAGTTCGTCTCTGGTGTATCTTTCAGGTTCTCCTGCCACTGGTTGACCAATACTTCACCAATCATCGCCTTTACTTCCTGTCCTCACCTCTGAAGCCTCTCAGCAGCAGTGGGTATGCCTCCCATAAGGAGAAAGAAATGGTGGCCAGGTGAGTCTGGTGGCCAGAAGAGAAGGTCATGGTGCTGATGTGATTTCCATGAAACCCCAGATTCCTGGAACTTAAATGGTGACTCTTTTGAAGAAATGAACTGTGGCCTGACAATTGGCAGCTCAGAGGTTTTCGTTAACACCTTTTTTTCTGAAAGTGCCTTTATTCACACTTACCCGTGTATTATTTTGGCAGCCAAGAGGAGTGTACTCTTTGTGGGTATCAGTAGGATTAGGGGGTAGATTTATATAATCAGGTCAACTTCCATCCTGAAATATATTTAGAAAAAGGCAAAGGTAATTCTGAAGCTTGGGAAAAGCAAACACACAACATTGAGAAGAAACAGATTAACACTGTTTTCAATCCCATTCTTATCAGGTTTTTAAAGATTAAGTTGCTTTTAAAGAATCAGATTTTACAAGTCCTGGTATGGATAATCTGAGATTTGAAATCTAGGGTGGCATAATTCAATTTAAATTCCTAACAGGAAACAAGTTTGAATCAAAAGTGTCAGCTTGCCTTCTCGTTCCACTAGGTGTGACATGGGGGTGTCTCAGCAGAGCTGAGAACAAAGCGGGGTGCTTCATGGTCAGGCTATGGGGTGGATCCCACTATGCCTCAGGTTCTCTCTGTATTTGATTTATGAGTGACAAGAGGATGGGTTAGATTTCTAAACAGCAGAGAGTTAAGGACTGCAATGAAAGTAGTCTATTCACCCTTTCCCTAGCATCCATTGATGGTGAAGAGTGTACTTTATATTTTATAAGGACCTAGCCATTGACTATCTTGGGAGGATTGTCTCAGCAGTGAGCTCAGTTTTTCATATGCACAAATAATTGCCCACCTGTGGAAGTATCACTGTGAAACAGCACAGTGCTTTAATTTCTAAGAACCACCCAGGTATTGTCTCCATTTTGCAGACGAGGAAACTGAGGTTTGAGCAGATTCCTTCCAGTGCCTACAGTGACCCCAGATAATAAGTGAGAGCAAGAATGAAAGCCCACCCCTCTTTATCCAGATCAAGGGCCATTTTCTCTGTACTGAAATTACTTCATTTACTGATATTTGTTAAACAGGGAGAAGCCCATGCTGTCAAAATGAGATGCACTTACAACCAGTTACCAACCTAAGATTTCCTAGATATTTCCACAATGCACTAGTGTATTTTGTAAGAAGGAAAATGAGGTGCCAAGTGAGATATTCAGATAAGCCAACAGAGGGCAGGTGTGTCTGTTCTCTTCATCTATTTTTCTTAGATTATTAATTCATGGAAATGTAACATTTGTTCAGCCAGGCACCATTTGTCATGGCTGGAATACAACCTGGAGCTGATCAGCCTTGCAAATAGCTTTCAGATCCGTCAGCAGCCCTGCTGCCCTCCCACAGCCGTGGTCGTGTTGGCACTGAACACGCTCCTGCTTGCAGACCCCTCTGGTCTGCAGCCTTCACCCGGGCCCCACCTCTTCTGCATCTGATGCCACATGTCAGCGCTCTCCAGAGTCTCTCCCTGGGGATCTCTTTATCAGCTTCTGACTCTGAGATGAGAGTGAGGTGCCTGGGCATGCTGTACCTCATAACTCTGGGGAAAGAACAGTGCTTCTGCTTAAATGGTGGGCCCCACAGGTGACCAAAAAAAGGGCCTTTGGAAATTTCAGCCCCTGGCCTTGGTGTGCCTGAGAGCACTTCTGACAGCAAGGGGAGCCATGTTTGTATCAGAATCAAACAACCCAAGGATCAGCTTTAGCTCTAAAAAGTGTTGTTTGTACAGAGTGGGTCCACTTGGAAGCATTTTGCCAGAAATAACTGAGTTTATCAGCCCCTAATTCTGCAGACTAAGAGGGTCATGTGATGAGTCTCTGCCTACAGATGAGAAATCTAAAGCACAGAGCAGTGAGGTGGCTTCATCACGACAGCCAGCTAGTCCTGGCAGACAGACAGGACTCATATTCCTCTGGGATCCCCGCCAACTCCATGAGTTTTCATCAGATACTTAACTCAGAAAAAAAAAAAAAAAAAACACCCTGGGAAGAGAGAAAAGGCCCCAGTCCATATTTAATTTCATACTTGCTGCCTGCCAAGTTTCTGTTAACTTATTCTGAGCTCTCCTAAGCTCGAGGCCAGGGTTTCCAACTTATTTCCACTGCAAAAACAAATGACTAACCAGGAGAGACTTTGGCTCTGGTTTCCAGTAGACAGCCCAGAAAGGCTCAGGGCATTTACTGAGAACCATTTAGAAGTGAATAAGTTTTCATCCCCACCAACACGTAGATGGATTTCTTCTTCCTTTGACCTTCCCACAAAGACTTCTGCCCTGTGTTAGAGCATGAGTTCTAAAACCATGGGAAGGACTTCAACTGGATCTCATCTGAGAATCCCACAGCCTGTGCAGAGTGATTTTATTCTACGTTCCCTCTTCCTGTTCCTCCAGGAAGGACTGCTCTCTGAAAGGGTTGCTGAGTTCTTGTCTAGCTGTGCCAATGTCAAATAATGTCAGCATCCTCAGCAGTCTCCTCCAGCAACACAGGTCAAATGATAGCCATAGTGCCCTGGGGGGTGGGGGGGGTGCATCAGGAGAGTGTTCCAAATGCACCTGTGGGCTCTTTGCTGACTGCACAAGGCCCTCTTTTAGGCACTGTAAAAATAAAAGCATAAGACACAACTGGACTCCAACAGGTTCCATAGTAGAAAATATGGGTAAGAGCATGGAATAGGGTCAAAAAACACAAAAGCATGGCAGGTGGGATTTCCTAGCTTCAAAGACGTGGATCAGACAGCAGTGAAGCCTGTAGGCTAATGGACATGACAGGGAGAAGCCATTCTTTGAAATGTTTCTGGTGTAATACAGTATTGCCCATACCTGAATCTTTAACTTTATTCCAATCCCGCCATCTTGCCCACCTCCCAACTAAGGCCTCATACCCCTCACCCGGTGAAGACGATAAAAATGGCTTACAATCCATTGCAACAATGGAAAAATCTTTCCAGAATCCTCGTTTATCCGTGGATGTTATCCAAATGAATGTTTTTAGTACTCTATAACAAGAGATGATTTGCAACAGCTGGCTCATTGCAAAATACTGTAGCTGTTGCAGAAGGATTGTTTTCTGTAACATTGTAGATGCCCGCAGCGTACCTTTCATGATTCTCCAATGAGACAGGGGGAACTGCACGTTTTCCTAGTGCGGTCCAGGGGACCCTTTGAGGGAACACCGTCTGTCTTTCTGGGCCGGGGGCATTCTGTGCACTTTGTTTTGCCATATGGGGGGACGGAGGGATGAGGTTTAAATGGGTCTGCCTTGGATCTCTGTCCCTTTCCCACTTCCATTTTTTTCTGCTTTAGCCTCTTCTGCAAACTCGCTGCTCTGGTTCGACACAGGATTTCCCTCTTCGGTAAGAGAAGTGTTGGTAAAGGCTGCACATCCTGTGACTACCCCGAACTCATGTCCCGCAGACAACCTGAGCCTTAGGACTAAGGTGTCACCTAAATTTGCCATAGAAAATTGGGCTGAAGCATGATAAATGACCTCTGTACCCCCAAACAGCTTAGATTTTCCACGCCAATGAATGTTTTAAGCTTTGCCTCTAACATCCATCACAAAGCCATGTGTCAGGCCGGAGATAAATGCCTTGGCCCAAAACAGAGCCCTGGCACTTTGCGTGTTGGTGGTTAATTATGCTGGGCTTGGCTTGTGCATATTGAGAAGATTGGGTTTAAATGACAGGCTGAATGGCCTGGGGAGTCACAGGTGATATTTTTGATTTTAGGGAGTGATTCTGTGACAATGGTGAGCTGTCTTCACATCTTAGCTCAGACACTTGACACGAGGTAAGTGTGCCCGGCGTTTTCCCGGAGTTTCTCAGGACACCCCCTCTGACGCTTTCTTTCCACTTATTATTGTACGGAAGAGGAGATGTGCCACCACTCTGCAGGAGCCAGGAAGGGAAGGGAAGACAGGGAAAAGGTGGAAATCACCCCGATGTCAGCACACTGTTCCTCAGCTCATGGTGGAGAGCCACTGTCTTGGCAGATACTGAATGCTGAAAGCTGAGCGTTTGATCAGTTCTTGTCTTCTCTGATTGAGAAGTTCATCTTTCAGAAGATAAGACAGATAATGTGGCAAAATACCACTTTGTACCTAATTCTCCACAGAAAAAGAAAAAACTATCTGATGGGTGGTGAGGCCGTAAGGGAGAGGCCTCTCCCTGGGAGAGGGACTCATAGCACTCTGAGTTCAAAATGGCCAAGGAGGGGAGGTGATTACCAAAATATCAAAGACAGAGATAGATTCCGGCCTGAGGGTGGCCTGAGGGTCTGGTAGGAAAGATGGCTGAACAAGAAAGGAAGTCTTCCTTCCTTTCACATATTGGATTGGCCAAAAAGTTTGAGTTTTTTTGTAAGATGGTATGGATAACATCTATGTATATAATATCAGATATATGCGTGTGTGTATGTGTACATATATTATGGTAGTATAAAGTATTTGATGAGATTAAAAGAGAGGCAGTGCAAAGAACTGGAGGGAGCTTTCTTTAACAGACTCATTAAGCAGGGCAAAGTCGAGAGAACATGCTTCCCAAAACCCAAGGCAGAAGAAAGGCAACAACCTAAAAGAGTGGCCAGATGATGAAAACCTCTATAAACTAAAAATGGTTTAAAAAAAAAGTTAAGGGCAATTGAAGGGGATTTTCAGGTTTCTGAGAGAAACATGTTGTAGAGGTAGTGAACCTCTTAAAACTCTTGGGCGTGTTCAGTTGTATCCAACTCTTTGTGACCCCATGGACCGTAGCCCGCCAGGCTTCTCTGTCCACGAGATTTCTCAGGCAAGAATAGTAGAGTGGGTTGCCCATTCCTACTTCAGGGAATCTTCCCAACCGAACCCATGTCTCTTGCATCTCCAGCATTGGCAGACGGGTTCCTTACCAGTGCACCACCCAGGAGGCCCAAAAGTACTAATACAGAACAAAATTTGCAGGATCAGACCAAAGCATTCCAGGGGTGCAGTTGTGATGAGGAATCTTTATTCCCCAAACTTGCAAAATGCCTCAAGAGCAGGTTTTCTTCCTGCAAAACTAAACAGAACACAAGTCAGTGTGTTTCATAGTCATTCCTGAGAAAATCTGAGGGAAATGGTTAGGATAGGAGCAAGCCTCACTGACTTTATTTCCTTGTTTTTATGTTTCTTATTGGCTAGATGATTATCGTGAAAATGCTGTAGATGAAAAGCATCTGGCCTTGTAGCAAGCCTGTCATAATCTTGTGAATAAGATGTAGAAATACAGAAAATAAAAGATAGCTGATAGGCTTTGTTCCAGTTCTGAGTTTTATAAGATAGTTTTAAGGGAAAGCCCCAGATACCCATAGCTAATCTCCATTCCCACATGGTTACGTCAGTGGTCTGAGTAAGCTGTTTTAAATGGAACTGACTCTTCTTCCCTCCCCTTCTCCAAGCTGGGACATCCCTGCAAAGTGATAGAAACCTAAGCTTCAGTTGACTTAATTCTTTGTCCTCTTTCTCTAAGAGGTCCTGCGTCACAGGAGAGCTAGTATGTCTAACTAGTCGTTATAAAGGTTGCTGAGCCCATGGGGAGCTGAAGAAAAGTTCCCTCTCTGTCCTTTTTAATTAGGTATTTCCAGAAGAATGTAGCCAGCTGCAGTATTATATAGATAGCAGGTGACCAATATCAGTTTCTCTCTAAGTCGTCCTGTCCATTCCCTAAGAATTGAGCAGTGTGTAAATGTAAAGTGTAGACAGCAACCCAGAGCAGTACTACCAGTATATGTGTATGTACTCAGTCATTTCCAACTCTTTGTGACCCTGTGGACTGTAAGCTGCCAGGCTCCTCTGTCCATAGGATTTTCCAGGCAAGAATATTGGAGTGGGTTGCCATTTCCTCCTCCAGAGGATCTTCCCAATGCTGGGATTGCATCTCTTGCGTCTCCTGCATTGGCATGTGGATTCTTTGCCACCGTGTCACGTGGGAGTCCCAAGAGTTGAGCAGTCATGCCCTCAAATCAAGCATGCCTTCCAGTTGCTGGCCCATGCTTCAGGATTCTGTGATCCCAGTTTCTTTTTGGATGCTAATAATTACTGCAGCGATAGGGGTGTCAGATGCCCGGGTTGCACTGAAAGTTCCCAAACTCAAGAAGGCAGTTGGCCAAAGGTTCAGGTTATGCTTCTGATTTTGAACATTGTTTGCTTACAGGACGGTCATGAAGTCAGGCTCAGAGCTGGTGAAAGCCGGGTTACGGGCGTTCTTTGAAAATGCAGCGGAAGACTTAGAGAAGACTTTGGAAAACCTGAAGCTCGGCAAGTTTACCCATTCCAGAACGCAGATCAAAGGCGTCTCTCAAAATATTAACTACACCACGGTGGCTCTGCTCCCCATCTTGACATCCATCTTTGAGCACGTGGCTCAGCATCAGTTTGGGGTGGACTTACTCTGTGAGTTGGCCTGCCATCTGTCATGGATTCATGTGTACCCAGCTGCAGATCCTTAAGAAGTGTGTGGTTTATTCCCTTAGGCTGACCTTCAGGGCAGAGTAGAGACAACCTTTCCACACTTTTTCCTTCTTAATTTAAAAAAAAAAAAAAAAAGGAGTAGACTCTTGGAGGGCAAGAAATCCCCAAATTTCAGTTTATAAATATTTCACCTTTTCCCACTGCTACTCAGGACCAGAGTCTTCCACCCACTGCTTTCAGTCTCAGCCATTGTGTTCTCTCTTAATTTGAAAAGGTTATCTGTGAAATCTGTTGAGAGATACAGGTTTGCTCCCAGACACCAGTTTTCCTATTAAGAAGCTTTAATTTATTCACTGTATATCAGGAGCAAAGGAAAGCTGCTAACATCCCAGTATCTGAGCCTCCAGAAGAAAGACTGTAATTGATTGGTTTTAGTTTGCGTTTAGTACCATGTTCAGTCCTCTTATTCTGCCACCAAGCTTCAATTTCACACTGTAAATGGTGGCATGTGATTGAATTAGTTTAACCAATGGCCAATAGCTAAGTCTGTGTCTTCCATAGCCCTCAGTAGTGAAAATCAGTTATTTCCTTGGGGTTAGGGGGAGAAGTAGGGGAACATCCAAACTCATTATTCTGTGTCATGGAAACAACACACTTTCTTGTTGAAAAATAAAAAATTAAACTCGTTCTTTGTGTTCAATTAGTTCCAGCCTTATTGTGAGTTCCATACATTAATAGAGGCACGTCGCCTGCCCATTAAATTCTGAGTGCCTAAGCGAAAGATGCCCTTCCCTTGAGAAACATGGTAAAATCATAATACAGGTGAATTACCTTTTGAAAAACATCTATCAGAGAAGCTGGGACAGGTGGACATGAGGTATTTTGCTCTGTCTTGGAAGAGGTAGGGACTTTGTACACGTCTCCCCTGGAAAAGGAACAAAAAGCTCACTCAAGCTTCAGATTCCTTACATTCTTCCTTTCAAAAAAAAGGAAATAGTGCTTTGGATAAAATTTGATTGCAGTCTCCCTCTATTGGAGGGGAAAAAAATGGAAGGACTCACTGGTCAAATGATTCCTTTCCCTGAGAAACTCTGTGATCTGTATCTGGGGTTCCACAAAAGACCTGGGATGGCACAATGGAGGGCGTTTTCCTTTTGATGTTTTCTCTTCCAGCTCAGCAACTGGCATTTGAAAAGAGAGGGGCTCTCTTTGTTAAAAAGAAAGAAAGTGAGATCTTTGGCTCTTGGGTGAAGCCATCCTGTTTTCTGTTTGCAGACCCTTGCTGTGTGCGGGAGGTGGACCTCTGGGGTTGATGCACGAGAATGACAGTTCTTGTTTTTTCTTTTCAGTGGGTGACGTGCAGATTTCATGCTACCATATACTGTGCAGTCTCTACTCCCTCGGGACGGGAAAGAACATCTATGTTGAAAGGTAATGAGTGAACAAAAGAGGCTAACACGTTCGGGCTGAAGGTATTATTACTGAAGTCTTTAAACACTTAACTGTAGCATCTTTCCAATCCAGCAGAAGCAAAATGCTCACTGAAATGGCTTAGTGATTTTGAGCCTCGGGTATGAAATGTTTATGGCAGTATTTAGAAGTGTTAATGAGGCTTCTAAGATGTATGACTTCCGTGGAGATAGCTGGAGAATGTACGTGGCTTGAGGAGCAATATAGCCAAACTAAATCATATGCTGGTGGCCAAAAAATGTCGAAGAAATGTCTCTTTCTTTATGATCACAGCTTTCAGAGAGCTTCCAGAGTTCCTGTGGTTAAAGCTTTCTGAGAAGCTCAAGGGACATGAGGCAGTTGCTTTAGTGTTTAATGAGTTTCTATGTGATACAGCCCTGGACTTTTACCATTCTTGGCTGTCAGATTAACTATAATTTTAAACAAGTCAACACTTTGGGAACAGAAACGCTACTCAGTGGTCTTGAATCTGAACAGGCTGATTTTCCGAGGTGTTTGGGTTCCCACTCTGCTCTCTAATCTGCCTGGAGCAATGGAGACCTTCGGCCACCCCTTGCTTTTCAGAATCAAATGTCATGTGTTGTGTGATTCTGTTTAAATCCATGGAGAAGATCAGAAGGATAAACACAGTATTAGCCAAACTCTAGATGTAGACTTAGCCTTGGAAGATTTTTTTTTTTCCTTTTTTGCCTTTTCAAATAAGGAAACTGGAAAGAATTTGATCTGTGCTTAAAATTACTTAATCTAAACATCCTGTTGATATCCATGGTCTGTAGACCTCCTCAATTTATGATCCTTTATCAAATAAACCAACCATAAATCCCTGTTTCATATCTAAACTTACATAAATTCTAATTGCAGTTTCTCAATAAAGCAAAAAAAGACTTCGGCTCCTTTAAGAACTCAGGATATGATGACTTGAAATCATGTGCTAATAACCAAAGCATGTTGAAGAAATGTCTATGTCTTCATAATTACAACTGTTAAATAGCTTCTAGAGTTCAGGAAATTAATTGAAGAACTAACAGCTAATTTATTTTGATTATGAGTTTAATTCCTTAGAGTTACATAGCTTTCCATGAAATATAGATAAATAGTTTTGTCCTTTAATAGGAACTGGGCAGACAAAAGTTATAAACATATTTTATACCAAATCAACAAGAGAATTAAAATTTTTAATAAAGAATTTCACTTAGGGAAGATATCTTTACTTTCATTAAGCATTTGTAAATATTTTCTCAACATCTTTTCTTATTCTCTTGGTTTATATGTATGTACGTGTATGCTAACTTACTTCAGTAGTGTCCAACTCTTTGCTACCCCATGGACTGTAACCTACCAGGCTCCTCTGTCCATAGGATTCTCCAGGCAAGATTACTGGAGTGGATTGCCATGCCCTCCTCTGGGGGATATTCCCAACGCAGGGATTGAACTTGCATCTCTTACGTCTCCTGCACTGGCAGGCAGATTCCTTACCACTAGTGCCACCTGGGATGATCCTTGTATGTATATACATGTGTCTATATGTATATGTGTTTTTTGGTACAATTTTTTGAAAAGCTTATGCATTACTCTCTTTTGTTTTTTTTTTTTTAAAAGTCAAAGAAAGGTCAACTCTGAAATGTTAGACCAGAAAAGAGACCATTCTTCATATGACTTTTTATACTTTATTCATATACTCATTGCACTGGGAATATCGGTGCCTGTGTTTTATATTCCACGCAGGTAGAAAGCCAGCCTTGAAGAAGCACCTGGATCAAGTCTGCCCCTATTGTCAGTCTGTTAGTTAATGAAGCAAGTAGGATATAAAGATTTAAAATCTTCAAGTTGTGATGCTGCCACCATTAGTGACTTTTATTTATTTTCTATTGTATTGTGAAAGTAAGACATACTTATTTAAAAAAAAAAAAAAACAGTACAGACCTATGTAAAGTTAAAAGTCTGCTGCTTTCTTCACCCCAGACCACCCCACCTAGTAACAGTTTGGTATATACCATTCTAGATGTTTTCTACATGTGCACGTTTTTACACGTTTTAGGATCATAATATTGCTTTATAACTTTGTTTTGTTGGATGAAGCTAAAAACTGAGTTTCCTTAACATACAACTCATATATTTTTAATTTATCACTAATTAAAATAATTATTAATTCTCTACTTTTAAAAAGATTACCAAGTTTAGTATATTTGCATTTCTGGCATTTCCTATCCTTTCTACCTTTCTTTTTTTGCTGTGTAATTCTTTATAACATACATTTTACCCTGGAATATTTTAGGACTAATATTCCTTGAGTTGTTTACCTTGGTTTATATTTTAATGATTCCATGTGTAGCCAATCCTTCTAAATTGTGATTTGCCCAAATTTCTAATTTGTGATTCTAAAACTTTTATTTTGATTTACCTCTTGGGTGGCCAGATTCATCTTATGTTGTTGTTTCTATAAGAGCACTTACGGTTGAGTGTTTGCATATTTTGTCGTATCATCCATCGACTTTGTATGTGAACAGTTTCCATGGTATAAAATCCTTGGGTCATAATTTTCCTCCCTCAGAAGTGTACAGACTTTGCTTCGCTGTGGTCTGACCGTGTGTGTGACCCGGTGATTTGTTCCCTGCACGCATGACTTCGCTGCTGCTCACTGGGTTCTTTCTTTGGTCTTGAAGCTCTTTGACTTCCCTGTACTATGTCTCAGGGTTGTCCTTTCCATATCAACCCCTGCACTTCTCAGCACTTAATACACCCCCTCAGGTTCCAGAATTGGGTCTTACTTTATTTAATGAATCTTCCATTTTATTATATTGTTGCTGAGTTTTTTGGTCTTAGCTGTTGTACAAGGAGGGAAATTATTTGTATCTATTGACTTTTCCCTTAACCTTCCTCTCTCATTTTCTCTGTAGTAACTTTTAGCTTTTGTTCTTTTCTGAAACTTTTTTGATTTGGTCTGTATTTTGCAGTGTGAAGTTATCACACATTTTCTAATTTCAGCATAGGTCTAAATTTCTCAATTTTCCCCCAGCATTGTGGGTTTTAGAGGGGAGAAAATATAGTGAAACCTACCAGTTCTCTGCCATGTTTTACTGAAGTTTCTTGGGTAGCAAATGTCTATAAGGTGGCAAAGGAACCACTCAATATTTGCTTTCCAACTATAGCGTGAATGCATTGTAAATAGAAAAGATTCCAGACACCTCCATGATAGGGTTGACTGTGAGGAGGAAGAAAGTCATTGAAACAGATTAGAGACCTTTTGGGGGGAATATTTTCTAATTGAGCTAGACTGAGCCAGTCACTGACAGGTAAATTTTCAGATACAGTTTCAGAGTAGGATAAAGGCTTTTACCATGTGTGTTTAAACATGGAGAATGGTGCTCGCTTCGGCAGCACATATACTAAAATTGGAACGATACAGAGAAGATTAGCATGGCCCCTGCGCAAGGATGACACGCAAATTCGTGAAGCGTTCCATATTTTTTGATCATGCTAGGCCGCCTCTCCAATGGACTCTGAACTCTGTGCTTAGTGCCTGTGGGAATGACAATGGAAGGATAAGACCCCGTCTGGGCAGAGGAATCTTGATGATCACATCCAGGTTACTCATTGCCTAAGAGAAAACAGACACTAATCACCCCTGCCTCCGGACAGTATCTATCGGAATGTAACCACAGGCTTATTGATTATTAACTGTTTGAACACATAACACGTGAATGATTTGGAGAATGGTGCTCGCTTCGGCAGCACATATACTAAAATTGGAACGATACAGAGAAGATTAGCATGGCCCCTGCGCAAGGATGACACGCAAATTTGTGAAGTGTTCCATATTTTTTGATCGTGCTAGGCCGCCTCTCCAATGGACTCTGAACTCTGTGCTTAGCGCCTGTGGGAATGACAATGGAAGGATAAGACCCCATCTGGGCAGAGGAATCTTGATGATCACATCCAGGTTACTCATTGCCTAAGAGAAAACAGACACTAATCACCCCTGCCTCCGGACAGTGTCTATCGGAATGTAACCACAGGCTTATTGATTATTAACTGTTTGAACACATAACACGTGAATGGTGGGGTTATTGTGATTGTATTTACCCTTCCTTTGTAAGCCTCAAGAGATTTGGGCTGGTGGTGTCCAAATCCCTTGGACACGTACACATGGGATATAAAAGATTTTCACAAATGCTTGTTGGGGCCCTTGGCTAAGAGGAGACTCTGCCTTGGGCCCACCGGTGTAATAAACTGTACTCCACTATCAAAAAAAAACCATGGAGAATGCTTAACATTCTTTAACCTGAATATACTTTGATTGATTTTATTACTGTTTATTCATCTGGTTGCACTGGGTCTTCATTGCTGCATGCAGGCTTTCTCTAGCTGCAGCGAGTGGGGGGCTGCTCTCTAGTTGCAGTAAGTGGGCATTTCATTGAAGTGGCTTCTCTTGTTGAAGAAGGGCTCTAGAGTGCAGGCTCAGTAGTTGTGGCTCATGGGCTTAGTTGCCCCAAGGCATGTGTTATCTTAGTTCCTGGACCAGGGATTGAACCTGTGTCTCCTGCTTTGGCAGGTGGATTCTTAACCACTGGACCACCAGGCAAGTCCCTACTTCGATTAATTGATAGAGCATTTGATGGGGATGGATCAAGAAGACTAAGTTTGGTAATTGACTACATTAAGCATTGAATCTCCATTTTATTTCAAATTAAAACTTTGTTTTTGCCTTCACACTTTAGAGATATTTATATCTGCCTTCCTGCTCTGTCCCCTTTGACCAGTTCTTTCCTGATCAAATGTTGCTCTCCCCAGACTGCTGAGATCACTGGTGTTTCTGTCTAGAACCTTCCTGCGCCTCTACTTTCTGCCCCTCTGCTACCTGTTGTTTACTCTCTTTTGCATCCTCTGGAATTTACACAAAGGAACTTTCAAAATTACAGAGCACCAGATATGTGCAGGTGTAATTATTATACTAGGATGACTTTGTCTTAGCCTGTGTCCCTGATGATAGACTGTTGAGAAGCAGGTCCCAATCCGTGGAAAAAAAGTTGACAGACTGACTTAGGAATTAACAAAAACTGAAATACAAATTGAACTGAAAGGAAATGAGGAGAGGGAGGGATAAATTAGGAATTTGGGATTAAAAGATACATACAACTATGTATAACTTAGGTAAACAAGGACCTACTGTTAGCACAGGAAACTATTAATATATTCAGTATCTTGTAATAACTTATAATGGAAAAGAATACACACACACACACACACAAGATCACTTTGCATTGTAAATCAACTGTGAAAGTGAAAGTTTCTCAGTCGTGTCCAGCTGTTTGCGACCCCATGGACTGTAGCCTGCCAGGCTCCTCTGTCCATGGAATTCTCCAGGCCAGAATGCTGGAGTGGGTGGCCATTCCCTTCTCCAGGGAATCTTCCCAACCCAGGGATCGAACCCAGCTCTCCCGCTTTGCAGGAGGATTCTTTACGATCTGAGCCATACTTCAATTTAATGGAAAAAAAAAATTGAAGTCTCTTCAGTCTGTCAGCATTGACCAAGTACTCTTATATGAAAAATACTGTTCTTGACAGTAATAACTGAGGGAGCTTGCAGGCAGAGTGCATTTCTCTATCCAGTGATAAACTCTTCCAGCATGCCCTTTGGTTGCTATGGAGCTGTTTCTGTAGCCCTTGTTCTGCTTGGTCCACACCCACAATGCCCCCTGGGGGGCGCTAATAATCACCAGTATTTTAGCAGCAAGTTTTGTCTAGCTCGGTTGGTCTTGGACCTGGAGGCGAAGGTCATCCCTCTGGTATTTCACAGCCATTAATTGGCAGCCTTCTGGGCTTTTACAGAAAGAACTTTTCTCAGTGAGGCCAGCACTGTTGTTTCTCCCTCCAGCTTATTAGCATCGTTGTGTGCTCCAGACTAGAAAATGCCTGTGGTGAGCTGGCAGAGACTCAATTTGTCAGTAACTAAATATCATGCTTGTCCCTCTCCCTCAAGTCATGGAGTCAGCATTAATACCAGAGAACTGTCCATTTTCCCCAAGGATTGCCTTTCATCAGACTAACTCTGGCAATCCACTTTTGGGAGATCATAATTTTAATTTTGGTGAGTGAAAGAGAAGAGAAGTAATATGGATCAATTAAAGTAAAAAATTCCTTGGGCTGCAAGGAGATCAAACCAGTTAATCCTGGAGGAAATGACTCCTGAATGTTCATTGGAAGGACTGATGCTGAAGCCGAAGTTCCAATACTTTGGCCACCTGATGTTAGGAGCTGACTCATTTGAAAAGACCCTGATGCTGAGAAAGATTGAAGGCAGTAGGAGAAGGGGATGACAGAGGATGAGATGGTTGGATGGCATCACTGACTCAGTGGACATGACTTTGAGCAAGCTCTGGGAGTTGGTGATGGACAGGGAAACCTGACATGCTGCAGTCCATGGGGTTGCAAAGAGTCGGACATGACTGAGTGACTGAACTGAGTGGGTCAATTTTGTACCAAGACAGCCCAGGACCAGCTGTATCCTAGATTCCTTTCCCTGCCCCAACTACAAATTTGCTCTCAGGTTTGATATCACCCCTTGTCACGTGAAGACATGTGGCTCTCCATGTTCCATGGGCACAGGCCCTCACTCCCAATCAGCTGTCCTGAGAGTTGGCCTTTCCACCACCACCATGAGCTTAGAAAGAAGTGAAGGAGTGGGAAAAGAAGAGGTGTTGAGGAGAGATGGGGAACAGGACTGGCCAGGGCCTGTTCCGAAGTGAAGCAGCTTTGCAGAGCTCCCTGGAGAGAACCTTGGTCTCTGCGGCCTCCCCAGCCCCGCCCCTTGCCTTCCTCCACCACTCATGTGCCATGTGCTCAGTCGTGTCTGACTCTGTGATGCTGCCAGGCACCCCTGTCCATGGGATTTGCCAGGCAAGAATATTGGAATGGGTTGCCATTTCCTACTCCAGGCGATCCCAACTCAGGGATTGAACCCACGTCTCTTGCCTCGCAGGTGGATTCTTTACCTGCTGGGCCAGCAAGGAAGCCCCTTCCTGATGCAGCTCCCAAATAGACCTTCCAGATCAGACCTGGATGGGACGATATAACAGTCAGATCTTTCACAGAAGGACAAGTCTGTTTTGTTAGCTAACAAGTGCTTATCTGGTTGAGGGCATTCTTGCTTGCTGGAGGCTGATTTGAAAGTGATTTGAAAGCTCAAATACTTCAGGCCAAATAAGTTGTCGGCTAATCCCCTAAAAGCTGAGCCCAAGCAGAAGATAGAAAAGAAGGGATAAGATCACATGTATTAGTTGTCTTTTAAAGTAATTAAAAGATCACATTTGTCTTAGATTTGATAACTTGGCTAAGGAGTGTATGGAAGTTCCAAGGGGTACACAGCTTTCTTTCGATTCACCCACCCTCTCCCTCCTCCCTCTCTCTGGTCCAGCAGACTCCTCTGGCATCTCAAGCAGAACAGTTCTGTGGACCCCCAGGCTAGCCCCCAACACATTCTGACTCTACCCTAGATAGTCTTGTCAAGTCATTTTTTTCAGGACCAGTTAAGATCCCATTTCTAACCCAACTCAAATGTGTATCCTTTCTCTATGCATAATGAAGTTGCAAGTTGATTCTAATCTTTATAATGAGACCATAAAGACATGCTATTTTGTCACATTGCAGCCCGCCAGGCTCCTCTGTCCATGGAATTCTCCAGGGAAGAATACTGGAGTGGGTAGCCATTCCCTTCTCAGGGGAATCTTCCCAACCCAGGGATCGAACCCAGGTCACCTGCATTGCAGGCGGATTCTTTACTACCTGGCTTACTTCTCAGACGGCAGTGGCTCCCCTAGCTACCTCCCTGCCCTGTCCCCTAGTAAATGCTTGTTATCCTATCCAGAGACTCTACAGCTTTTGACAGTCTGGTGTCTTGGTACTACTGGAATTATTGGCTGTTGTCATAGTGAAGGACAATTAATGGGATGCTGGGTATGGGTTTCTTTTTCCTTTCCATAGCACTTTTCTTTTAACTTTTTATTTTATATTGGAGTATAGCAGATTAACAATGTTGTGATGGTTTCAGATGGACAGCAAAGGGACTCAGATATATATATATATATATATATATATTGTATTCCTTCCCATCCAGGCTGCCTGGTATGCCTCATTGAGCAGAGTTCCCTGTCCTTGTTGAGTGTCCATTTTAATATAGCAGAGTGTACATGTTGTTGGGCATGGTTTTGGTGGGAACTGCAGGGAACCGTGAGAACTGAATGCCTTCCTGTCTCTGCAGAACTGCAATAGTGGGGTACACGTTTGCTCTTGGCTCCAAGCCTGCCCCTCTAGCTGACAGTTTTCTCTATAATGGCTCTGTGATATCCCCCAATGTGCAGCCTGACATCCTCTGCCCCCAGGGCTTCTTCTGGTAGGCTTCATGCAGAGTATCGACATTCACACTGATGAGTTTAAGCTCATCAGTCACAGAGGAAGGCTAACAAGATGGGCTTGAACCCTGTAATCCCTTTCGTCTCTTAATTATTGACCTATCGTCTACCTTTTCTACTAGTTACCTTTGTATCATGGTCTAACAAAGGACTCACATTACTGGTTTATTTGAAGAAATTTTTCCTCGTATTTGGAAACTGGCATCACGTATGTAACTCACAAGGCAGGTGTGTGTAGTCTGTCTGTGATCGAATGCCAGAGGGTGGCAGGGAAAAGATATTGATGGGTGGAAAACAGATGGCTCTGGTCTCCCATTCATCAGGAAGGAACAGATGTCAGGCCCCTTATGGGGCCCTTTGAGCCAGTGCTACGACTGTATTTCATCTCAGTAGAAGAAAGAACCTGCTGGGTTAGAAAGTACAAATCCAGGGCAAAGCCCAGGTCTGAGAGGGGAAGCACTCTTTCAATACTAGCTCTGCTTTGAGCAGCTGGTGGCTTGTGGTCTGTCACTTACTCTTGCAGCCTTGGTTATCCTGCAGGTAAGTGTAAGTCCTCTTAGCCAGAAAACTAGAAATCTGAACTAGGACTCTCAAGCGTTTTGGTTTTGATTGATTGCATCTTTCACAGAAAGACTTAAAAACCAAAGTTTAGTGCGTGGTGGATACTCAAGTGTTTGTGGAAGAAAGGGAAGTAATAGGTGTTGGAGCTCTTTTGTCTGCATCACGTGATTTGGTTTAGGGCGTGTCATTTCTCTTGCAAGGCAGAACTTCAATTTTGTGTCTTACTGGTGTTTTGGGCCCATTATCTATGGTTCCCATTGGTTGACACAGGCTCCACTCATAGCAGGGAATAGACAAAGAAATTCCATGAAAGATTTTAAAACATTTTAAGAACTGGGAGGATCTGATTCAATTTGGATGCCAGCCAAACTTGCTCTCAGAGATGCTGGGAGAGAACAAAGCTACATAGTATATATCACCTTAGTTATTTAAGAACTAGGTAACAGGGAATGAGACCATTGTAAACCATTGGTTAGTATCCAGAAAAAGTGAGGGAGGGGAGGAACATGCAATCCAGCTGAGCTCAAGGCCCAGGATGTCCAGTGGAGCCATCTGTGGGGAAGTGGCCCAAGACATCCTGGGAAGGAGGCCTGGTCCACCAATGCATGGGGCCAGCATGGAGGTGGCACCACTTCTAAATGGACTTCTTTGTTTCCAGGCAACGTCCTGCCCTTGGAGAATGCCTGGCCTCACTGGCAGCCGCCATACCAGTGGCATTCCTGGAGCCCACCCTTAACCGCTACAACCCGCTCTCCGTCTTCAACACCAAAACCCCCAGGGAGAGGTCTAGTAAGTACCATCCATCAGAGGTCATCATTGATGTGCTTAGAGGAATGCAGGGGGAGAGAGAAAGCTAGAAAGGCAAGGACAGCAGCCCCCAGCCCTGTCAGTTCACGTGGTCTGAGAGGGGCCAGGAGGTCACAACTGGCCCCGTGTGACAGGTCTCCATCTTGCTGGAAAAGTGGGCACGAGCAAATTCTTTGTTATCTTTAGACTTTGGTTTCCTCTTCTGTGAAAAGAGGAGACAGTGCAGTTGATTTCAACATCCCTTGCATCCTAAGAGCTCAGGTTCTCCTGTCTGCCCTGATCTCCGTTCTCTTTCTGCACCTGGGGATGGTGACTGTCCTTCTTTGTTCCTCTCCAGAGAGTGGGAAAAAGGGGGTCACGCAGAGCTGCACTGATAACCGTGGTGTACTCTTCAAGTCCACAGCGAGGCTGTGCTTCCAAGGATGATGACCTTGGAAGGATGATTCTTCATCGTCATGAAGGATGGATAGAAAAACACAAGAAGGAATTGAAATTCTACACAAAAGGGAATTTGACAGGAGTGTTGACCCGCTGAGTTCTAGAACAGTGCTAGGCTATGGTGCAGATCTGGTCTGCTGATTTTTATAAATGGTGTTTCATTAGAACATGGTCATACCCATTCATTTACAAGTTGTCTGTGGCTGCTTTAGCACTGTGATGTTGTTGTGTAGTTTAATCACTGAGTCGTGTCCAACTCGTTTGTGACTCCATGGACTGCAGCCCACCAGGCTCCTCTGTCCATGGGATTTCCCAGGCAAGAATACTGGAGTAGGTTGCCATTTCCTTCTCCAGGGGATCTTCCCAGCCTGCGGATCGAACCCACCTCTCCTGCATTGGCAGAGGACCCTTTACCACTGAGCCACCAGGGAAGCCCTTAGCACTGTGTAGGGAAGGAAAAATAATTTTCCCTTTACCCTTCTTTGTTTTTGGCTGAGACCTCCCCTCTGAAAAAGATAGATTGATGGGAGGAAAAAAAAAACTTAGTTGTGGACGTATGTGTACATCAGTTCAGTCGTTCAGTCATGTCCGGCTCTTTGCGACCCCATGAATCACAGCACACCAGGCCTCCCTGTCCATCACCAACTCCTGGAGTTTACTCAAACTCATGTACATAAGGGAGCCCCACAAAGATGTGAGACTCACAAGCCAGCCCAACATTTGAGACTTATATACCTTTTCCATCCTGAGGAAAAGGATAGGAGTCTAGGGCTTCAGAGCGGGTAGGAGTCCATGAGAAAGTGAGAAGAGGAAGGGCTTGGTAAGCCGTGTGCCCCGCCAGGCTTGTGAATCTCTCAGATGAAAAAGTGATCTTTGCTAAGAGCTCTCTTCTGGTACTGGCTCCCATAACTAAGGTAAACTTTGTTTACAAAGGTAGATTTCCCTTACAAAAGGGTAACTCTGTTGTCAGACATTCTTAAAAATAATCAGCTCAAAGTAATCCCTCTGCCAAAGGGGTATATTTGGGGGTGGCCCATTCTGCTTCTCTTCAACTGCAGTGATAGAGGTGAGCAGTGGCAGTAAATACTGTTGGCCCTGAAACGGCTAAAATATTTACTGTCTGGCCCCTTTATAGGAAAAGTTTTCCCACCCCCACTCTAGAATAACCTGGAACTGGAATCCAAGGCAGGGGTAAACCTGCTTCTGGGGGTGGACGAGAAGAGCCCCGTGTATGGATAATCGTGGTCCTGCTGAAAGACAATGGAGCAGATCAGAGGCGCTTCCAACAGGAACCTTAAATGAAACTTGGCCTCCAACTGGAAAGAACTACCTTGACTTGATGTAACATGGAGCAAAAGCTACCACACGATGGGTTCGATTAATGTTAAGAAAAGCAGAATTCCCCCCCACCCCCTGCAAAAAAAATCATAGCAAACCAGAATATATCCTGTTCAAAACAAGTATTTTCTTAAAGTATTGTACCAGCAGATGGCTAGACTGTGCCTCAGTTCCATTTGGTTCAAGCCCCTGTTTCAAGCTGTCGTGGGTCCTGAGAGTCCCGAGAGAAGAAGGGTTCTTGCTACATTTTTCTCTGTCACTCTTCTTCTTTCCATCTGAGAATCCAGAGTGCTAAGCTTTGGCAGCTTTGTTCCCACTACAGATAAAAGCAGCACCTGGTCCCCAGAAAACATGACCGGGCATTTTAGACAAAACTGCTTTAAAAAATTCTCTGCTTGAGCTAAAATACAGTGGAGACCACTGCTCTCAGAGCTCATCGAGAGAGATATTGCCAAGATGCCTCCACGTTCCAAAGTCTCACATGGTCTCTCTCAGTGAATTCCCCAGGACCCTCAGCCTCATCTCACCCTTTCTCCCCTTTCATGGACTAGGAAAATTATAGTCCCAACCTTGTTTTTCTCTGCTGTCTCATGATTCCACATGAGTTATGTCTTGCAGCTAAAGTAGGAGTTAAACGACAGAGCAGGCTTTGGTAATGATGAGGAAAGGGCTGTGGCATCTGTAGACAGAAGCCAGCTAAAATATTGCTCCCCAACTTCATGACAGTGCTGGGTACTGATGTATTTATTCTGCTCCAGCTGTGATTCAAGAAAAAGTGTCTCTGTCTGTGTCATCAGTGTGTAGAGCTTGCACCTTGAGAGAGAGAGATCTACTTTGCTCTTGAACTCATAGAGGTAGTTATTGTTCAGTCGTTCAGTCATGTCCAATTCTTTGTGACCCTATGGACTGCAGCATGCCAGCCTTCCCTGTTCTTCACCATCTCCCAGAGCTTACTCAAGCTCATGTCCATTGAGTCAGTGATGCCATCTAACCATCTCTTCCTCTGTCATCCTCTTCTCCTCCTGCCTTCTGTCTTTCCCCAAATCGGGGTCTTTTCTAATGAGTCAGCTCTTTGCATCAGGTGGCCAAAGTATCAGAGCTTCAGCTTCAACATCAGTCCTTTTAATGAATATTCAGTGTTCATTTCCTTTTAGGATTGACTGGTTTGAACTCCTTGCAGTCTAAGAGACTCTCAAGAGTCTTCTTCAACACCACAGTTCAAAAGCATCAATTCTTTGGCACTCAGCTTTCTTTATGGTCCAACTCTCACATCCATACATGACTACTGGAAAAATAACCACAGTTCAAAAGCATCAGTCCTTTGGCACTCAGCTTTCTTTATGGTCCAACTCTCACATCCATACATGACTACTGGAAAAACCATAGCTTTGACTAGATGGATCTTTGTTGGCAAAGCAACATCTCTGCTTTTTAATGTGCTGTCTAGGTTGGTCATAGCTTTTTTTCTAAAGAACAAGCGTCTTTTAATTTCATGGCTGCAGTCACCCTTTGCAGTGATTTTGGAGCCCAAGAAAATAAAGTCTGTCTCTGTTACCATTATTTCCCCATCTAGTTGCCATGAAGTGATGGGACACAGAGGTAGAGTAGCAGGCAAATTCAAAATTGACCCAGATGGAGGAAACCCTAGACTGGCTTTGGAGGGAAGGAAATGACTGTGTCCTGTTGTTCTCAAGGGCTATTAGAAATATGTTTCTTCTTATCTTATATACCTTCAAATTGATTTAGTAAGACATATTCATAAATTAAAAATAAGTATCTGTCATCGCATACTCCATAAGGAAGAAGGGACAAGGTTGTGATTAGTGGTGACACTGTTGTTCATCCATCAGTCACACACTGTGGACTCAGGGTCCAAGTCCTCTGAGCCCATCTTTTTCATCATTCAGTTAACAAAGAGTGAATTCTGATGATGTGTACAGCTCTTGAAAAGCAGAGTGTACATAAAAATGTATTCTGGGATAACCATGTTTGCCTGGAGCCAGACAATGGCTGATAGCTTGATGGGCTCTGAAAAGGTAGACTTCATTCACTGCACACAGTAGGTGGCCTGAGGGACCAAGGAGGGAATAGGGAAAGAAACGTGACAGATGATGTGAGTCTTTGGTTGAGAAATAGATTATGAACTGATTTATCAAGCCTTCAGTCAATTGGACATCTCAATTAATGGAGTTTCCCTGGTAGCTCAGATGGTTAAGAATCTACACACAATGCAGGATACCCAGGTTCAATCCCTAGAGAAGGGAATGGCTACTCACTCCAGTATTCTTCCCTGGAGAATCCCATGGACATAGGAGCCTGGCAGGCTGTAGTCCATTTTGCTGGCAGAGTTACTCATATTAGGACCTCTTCTATCCTGTAACATCCTGGATCATTTTTTAACTCATCTAAAACTGTTAAGATATGTCTAGAAAAGGTTTTCTAGCTGTGTGCTAGATAAAATCTTTAGTTACATGTGGCAGTGGTCTATTAATCAGAATCTTGTTGTTGTTGATTCCATTCATGAGTAGAATTAGATCTTGTGTGTGTGTATACTCAGTCGCTAAGCTGTCCAACTCTTCGCGACCCCGTGGACTGTAACCCACCAGCCTCCTCTGTCTATGGCATTTCCAGGCAAGAAGACTGGAGTGCATTCTTTTTTCAGGGGATCTTCCCAACCCAGGAATCAAATCTGCGTCTCCTGCAATGGCAGGTGGATTCTTTACCACTCAGCCACCAGGAAAGCCTAGTCAGGATAATAGATTAACCAAAACATCCTACTCACCAGCCAGGTTTACTTTTCAAATCCTTATTGGAAAAAATCAACCAGAGAGGAAGGAGGTCCGGTTTCCATGTAATACTACAGAAGTGGTGCTCTCTGATGCTGTCATCTTGAAGGACGAGCTACCTGGTGAAAAAAATACAGCTGTGGACTCTAACTCTGTCTTTCCCAATGTTTCTCCCTTTGATAGCATGTATGAGGATCACTCAAAAGGCTTGTTGAAGAATAAAAAAATAAAAAAATACAGCTGTGGACTCTAACTCCGTCTTTCCCAATGGTTCTCCCTTTGATAGCATGTATGAGGATCACTCAAAAGGCTTGTTGAAGAATGCCAAGTCCTAGAGTTTCTAATTCAGTATGACGGGATTCCAAAAGGTCCTGAGTTTCCAGGTGATGCTGCTATTGCTGGCAGGACAATCTCACTTTGAGAACCATTGATGTGGAAGACGAAAGGACAGTGTGTTCTAATGGTTCCCCCTCACAGTCTTGAGTCTGAGTCTAACAGGACCCAACTGAGCTGTTTTTCAGGTAGATAACTCAGCAGCATTCATTCTGCTGGTGTATTATGTGGCATTTGAAGTACAAAACACCACCGGAATCGCAAATGTTTCTTCCCCTTGAGGACCAATTACATATAAATAACTTTTAAAGGTCATTATAATGACTCCAATGAAGCAACCTCAAACAACTCTTGTGTTTTTCTTAGGTAGGAGGAAAAAAAAGTGTCTATGATGATGGATTGTCTGTGTGACATTTAAACACACACATGCTCTCAGCCTTCTCATGTATAATTTTATAGCCAACAGTTGTAAATTTCAGTTGCCTCTGTGGCAGTCGGCACTGCTCTGGGTGCAGAGCCTGAAGGTAGAATATTTGACTTCATCATTTGTACCTATTTATCTGACACTGTATGTGTCAAATGATTTTGTTTGTGAGAGTCTCCCCAGACCCCCACATTGATGTCACCCCTGATTCTTATTGCTCTGCGGCAAGTTACAGGCCAGACTTGTTCTCTGCAAATGACCAGCATTGGCAGTGGATTGTGTCTGACCTGAATAATTCCCTTCACTGTAAATCGCAGGAGTTCGATGTTCTTTGGTTTTCATGCTGCTAGTCCTTTTGAATTGTCTGGATTTAAAGGACGTTGCTTCACTCCTAACTTCCAAGGAAGAGTAATCAGCCTTCTACTTACCAAAGGCCATACCAATAGCAAGAGAAAAGCATAATTAGGGCAAGTGTTAGGACATCCCGTGCAGGGCCTACTCCATAGCAGGGAGCTTCTTCCGAGTCCATTGATTTGCGGCTGCACACCATCCCGCTTGTATCAGCTGCGGATTCATTGTCTCCTGGATGAAGGTATCCCAAGTGCCTTTCCTCCCCACCCCAGCCCAGGAACCAAGATGCCTGTACTCTCTTTCCATCTCTTAGTCTGTCTTCACAGGATTATTTTGTATCTTTGCTCCAGGCAGTACAATCATGAAGGAAATCAAGACAGACCCTTCAATTGACTGATATTCCTAAAAGCCAAAGCCTTTGCTGTGGCCTCTTCTTCATTAACCCTTTCATTCCTATGGACTTAAAATCTAGAAAAGAGAGATTTCACACCAGCAGTAACCCCTTGGCACAGGGCCTGAAGGTAGAACCCAACTCACTAAATGTCACATTTTATTTGAAGTTTTCTGCTTTTTCCTTTGAAATTCCTGAGAGCTTTGTGCTTTACTTTTAATATCAAAAATAATGTCCTCAAATCTTCTAGTGGGTCTAATGTGCCCCGCTGGTGGATCTGAAAGGCACCACATTTTCCTGTTGCTTCTCTGACTCCTAGGCTCCGTGATGCCTGGTGCTTTGGCCCTGCTCTGAGAAGTTTAGCCTGTGGGTGGAGTCTGCACATGAGCCGCTGACCAGGATGCTCTGCAGAGCTTCTGGTTCCTGTTTCTTTCTCCACTGGGCCATGCCTTTCCACACAGAGCCCTTATATGCATCTCACCCATCAGCAACTTCAGGTTGCTTCTGGTCTCTCCTCCTATCTTGGAGGAAAAGAGTGTCATTTGCCTTAAGAAGAACAGGACAGATATCCCCTTGGCTTTTTCCATTTACCATCCTTGTACCTAACAGTGTTTCATGTTGAACTCCATAATCATCTCATCCTGTCTGTCCTTGTTCAGTGAAGTGACCTCAGTCATTCACTGTGAGGAAAAGACAGGGCTAACTCACTATTCCTTGTCTATAAGCCTTCAAAAACAAAAAGGTCTAAGTGACTGACAAGAGCTCTTGGCAAAGGTTACTTCAGATCATCAGTAATTTCTTTTGTAAATGCAGAAATCAGTGTATGTGCAATGTTTCCTGCCCCCCTCCCCCCCACAGATTTCAACTAGGTGGAAAGCATTGTCTCTGGTCCAGCTAAAAGAATCTTTGATGCAAGAGGTTTCTTTTTCCTTTTCAAAACAGTACAGACATGATCTAGGTGACTGAACCACAGATTAGCAGCTTGATATCTATGGGTTGCTTTTCTGCTTTGCATCCTGCCTTTCCTGCAGTGCATACACTGAGGCCAGGAGGGAGAAGCCAAGAGACTGACTTTTTCACAGAGAAGTCTTATGAAATGTCTCTCAGCCGTGTCTCTCTTATGTTCCTTTAAGATTCAGTGAAAGTGTTTTGACCTGAATAGAACATCTGGAAGATAACCCAGCCTCTGGAAACTGCATCCTTTACAATAGCTCCTACATATCCAGTGCTTACTTGTTTGAGGTTCTGGGGTAGAAAATTATGTCTCAAGACCAAAGAAGGGGTGGACAGAGAGAGAGAGAAGGTTGCACTCTGTTTGTTTTGAATCACTGTCCCTTTATTATTCCTGTACCCTCTCGGTCAGTTCTGGGGATGCCAGACACAGTGGAGGAGATGTGCCCCGACATCCCCCAGCTGGAAGGCCTGATGAAGGAAATCAACGACCTGGCCGAATCAGGGGCCCGGTACACAGAGATGCCCCACGTCATTGAGGTCATCTTGCCCATGCTCTGCAACTACCTGTCCTACTGGTGGGAGCGGGGGCCCGAGCACCTGCCCCCCAGCGCAGGGCCCTGGTGCACCAAGGTCACGTCTGAACACCTCAGTGTCATCCTGGGCAACATTCTGAAAATCATCAACAACAACCTGGGCATCGACGAGGCCTCCTGGATGAAGCGCATTGCAGGTACCACGCATGTCTTTCGGCCCTGGCATCGAGATGCCTAGACTCTTTTTCTTCTCTTAGTCTGTCATTAATCTATCCCCCCCTCCCTACCTTAGATATATAACAGTAAAAAGAACTGACTTATTCCCCTATAGGGCTTCCTGGAGCCAGTGCTCCTGCCTGACTCCCCAGTTAATCTAGCCCCTCAAATCTCCAAGAAGCCCTTCTTGATAAACTGCAAGATTCTGATGATCATTGCTCATTTGCTTTTGGTACTTAAGAATCCCATTTGCTCTTACAGTAATAATTGTTCATATTTTCTGGGTAAGTGACCCTGTGTGTTTTCCACATGTATGAAACTCACTCCCATCTGGGCTGTACTGTAAGTTTCTCGCATTTGTGTTTCACTTTATGCTTTCTAAGACACTCTCTGATTTAGGCTCACAGTAGCATCACTTGAATTTTGGGTTTGTTTTGTATTCCTCTAGAACTCCTTGCATGCAGTAGGCTCTTAGTGAGTGTTACTCACTGATTTTCTGTTCTCAAAAAAAAAAAAAAAAAGGAGAGGCTTGGAAAATTAATAACCACATTTTTCATAGTCAGGAAACCATGAAGATTTTAGGGTCCTCTGTCACAGTAAAGTCAGAGGAGACAGAAGCTAAAGTCATTGCCTTTGATAGACCTGCAATTTAGATACACAGTTCCGCCGTAGCTGTTTCACCCCTACAGTTTCCTGGACCATGAAGCACAGCCATTGGGTCAATAGGAGCTATTAGCTTCCTGGACAAATGAGTAGATACCCCTCTGCAAGACCAAAGAAGAAAACGTCCTACCTTCTTCCTGTCTCTGAAATGAACTGAGATTCAAATTATATTAATAAATACTTTGCTTACTGATGGCTCCTGGATAGTATAGGCCCCTGGAAACATAGGTAATTGAATAGGTAAATTTGTGTTCCTTTCTTACCTTTTAGCCCAAGAATATTGTTAACCCTAAAGTAATTTGTTGAGGGCTCTACATTTGTAAATCTGGCTTAAGGGAAGGAAGGAAATCAAAGGATGAACTCCCTTAGATTCCCCAGGGGTACAAAGGAAAGAAGTCAGCGCATGCTGATGAGAACTTAACTTGGCCTGTTATTTCACAAGTGTGTCCAGATCTCATTCAGTCAGGCCACTTCATTCCTGGTGTGTAAACAAAGTCAGTTTTCAAGAGCAACTTCAAATCACCCATATCTGGAAGAACCACTCTGATTCCAGGTCCAAAGCAGAGGTGCACCCTGGTGAGGACCAGGGTATGAAATGTGAGCCATCATAGTGCTAAGTTTCGACTTCTTGATTAACACATTGCCACAGAGAACTGCCTTCACCTTCTCTTTCTAAAAAAGTCTTTTTTTATGGAGCAAAAAATGAGGCACAGTGAGATTAAAAAGTGCTGAAGTATAGGCTGTTTCCAACTGAAAAGCCCTACATTAAAGAACTTTGAAATACACAAAATACGTATTGTACTTTGTGAATGGTTCATGACTCTTGAGAATTTTATTTCACATATCTAAATAATTACTCTGATTCTGATCTTTATTATGAATTAGGCCAATAGCATATTGCATATAAAGAAGTCAATGAGACATGTAGGTTTTATCTTTCTCTTTAAAAGGGCTAGAATCATAGTCCCAAGTCCTACTTGTTTCTGCTTATTGACTTTAGTGGCCACCTTAGCCTGCCTCTCAGTTCATTATAGATGATAGTAGTTTGTCTGCTTTTCTCAGGGCCTAGAGGAGCCCCAAGACAATAGGCTGGCAGTTCTCACATGTTGGGGGCTGAGAAACTATGAGTTTCTCAGGGTTCGTGTATTTTTAAGAGATTTTTCTGTAAAATAACCAGAAGGCAGAGTGTTAAGTATGTACTCTTGACTCAGCACAGTGCTGATTATATACATAAAAGACTCCCTTCAAGGAATTTATAATGTAACTAGTGAGCCAAAGCCACTGTTCTAAAATGAAACAAGATGGCCCGTTATGAAGAGCTCAGAGATATAGCAAAGGCCATGCATAATGAGTTCAGCGGTGGCTCCACTCATAACTTGAAGAAGCAAAACAGGAATAGGGACCTTCTCCTGTAGCTCCATCCATGCCTACCCCCACCCCAGCAACTGTGACTTCACGAGACAGACATGCCAAGTGGAAGATGAAGGAAGGGTGCCAGTCAGAGTCAACGGCTTTCCACAGCCTCACCTTTGAGGGTCCCTTCTTTCCTTTTCTCGACTGTCATAACCTGTGGAATGAGGGGGAGGCCCTTTGTTTGCAAACACAGTGTACGCCCAACCGATCATCAGCAAAGCCAGGCCGGACCTGCTGAAAAGCCACTTCATCCCGACCCTGGAGAAGCTGAAGAAGAAGGCCGTCAAGACCGTGCAGGAGGAGGAGCAGCTGAGAGCCGACAGCAAAGGGGACACGCAGGAGGCCGAGCTGCTCATCCTGGACGAGTTCGCTGTCCTCTGCAGAGACCTCTACGCCTTCTACCCCATGCTCATCCGCTACGTGGACAACAACAGGTACCGAGGCGTCTGGGCAGGGCCGGCCCGCGATGGAGGGGTGGGACTGGCTTCTGCTGCAGGCGAGAGAGGAAAGTCACGGCTGCCACCGCCAGCATCCCCGCCGCCTCCATCCCTGCTGCGGGACCTCTGGGCAGCGCTTTCCGTCACCAGAGGTTCTGCATGATCAGAGTGGCTTGGCCACCCGTTTCATCCTCACAGGCCACTGAAGCAGGGCAGCAGCGACCCCTTCCACCCCCTGCTCTTCCGTCACACACTCATTCAAGAGAGATTACTGACTGTCAGGCACTGTTCTAGGCATTAGAGAACAGGCAAGAACAATACAGACAAAAAGATGTTGGCCTAGGGAGCTTTCACTCTGGCAAGAGAGTGGGGCGAGCAAACATAAACAAAGTACTTGGACATTTACAGTATACTTCCCTATGTACTTATATATTTACCTATATACTTTACTTACCTAAGTAAATTATACAAGCAAAGTAAATGGAATCAGGAGAGCCAGGTGGCAGTTTTAAAAGGATGTTACTGAGAAGGTGACATCTGAACACAGACCTGAAGGAGGTGAGGTCAGAAACCATGTGGATCTGGGGAGGAGGTCTGTTCCCAGGAAGAAGGAACATGTGGTGCATGCCCCGAGGAAGGGACAGGTGGGGATGCTCAGGGGATCACAGGGAGGCCAGAGAGAGAGGAGCTGAGGGGTGGGGAGAGCAGCGGGAGATGTCGGAGAGGCCAGTTTCTTTCCACGGGGCCAAGAGTACAGGGCTTTTCCTCTGAGTGAGATGAGAGGCTGGTGCAGCGTTGAAGCTAAAATGTGATGTGATCTGACTCAGTCTTCAAGCGCTGTGGTGAGGGATCGGGGCAAATAAAGGAAGTGAGGAGGCCGGCTGGGAGGCTCACAGTGACCCAGTCAAGGGCTGAGGCTGATGTGGAGTGGACAGAGCAGACTCGTGGTGCCAGGACTGGGGCAGAGAGGGATGGGAGCCACTTAGTGGGCCTGGGGCCTCCTTTCAGAGTCCTGAAATGTTCTGCAGTTAGTCATGTGGTAGTCCAACATTGTGAAGGCACTAAATGTTGCTAATGAGTAAGTTGACATGGATGTTACTACAATTTAAAAGGGAAAAAAAAAAGAGTTGGTGGTGGCTGGGGCCAGGCTGGTAGCAATGAAGGTTGACAAAATATGTCAGATTCTGAACCCAACATCTTAAAGGTAGAGCCTTTGGAACGTGCAGACTGGAATTAAGAGGAAAGAGATGAGTCAAAGATGATTCTGAGCAAATGGAAGGAGGGAGTTCCCAGCAATTAAGTTGAAGGGGATTGTGGGTACGGAAGTTTTTTTAGGGGACGATGAAGAGATCCCTTTCAGACATGTTAATTTGAGTTGCCTCTTCAATATAAAAATGAAAACGTCAGGTGGGCAGTTATATGAGTCCAGAGTTCACTCTGGTGTGGACCTAAGAATTTGAGAGTCGCCTACATGTTGGTATATGGTCTTTTAGAGCCATGAGACTGAATGAGATAAACAGAGGCTTGAGAGGGGGAGAGAAGCGTTCCAAGGACTGAGCCCCTGTACACAGGTCAGGTGGGAGAGAAGGAGCCAGCAAGTGAGGCTGAGAGGAAGCCACCATTGAGACAGGAGGAAAGCAACAGCATGTTGTGTCCTAGGTACCGATTTCACAAAGGACTTCCAAAGGGAAGAGTAATGAATAAATGATTGGTGACCTTGATAAGAGCAGTTTCAATGAAGCGACGGAGTTGAAGGCCTCTTTGGAGTAGGTTGGAAGAGAATAGAAAAAGACTTGGAGATAGCGCTACAGACAACTTGTTCAGGGAGGTTTTTTGTTTTTTGTTTTTTTTTTTAATTATTTTGGCTGCTCTGGATCTTCTTTGCAGCATGCTGGCTTTCTCTAGTTGCACTGCATGAGGTTTTTTTGTTGGGACACAAGGCCATCTCATTGACGTGCGTGGGCTTCCCTAGTTGTGGTGTCTGGGCCTAGTTGCCCCACAGCATGTGGGATGTTCCCCGACCTGGAATCCAGCCCACATAGCCTGCATTGGAAGGCAGATTCTTAACCCCTGGAACATTACGGAAGTCCCACAGGGAGTTTCACTTTAAAGGGGAACAGAGAAATGGGCTGCTAGCTAGATGCAGAATAGGCTCAAGAGGAGAGTTTTTAAGATGGGAGACTTTTCAACTTGTTTCTTTATGAATGGGAATGAGCCAATGGAGAGAAGAGAAATTGATGATGTAAGAGGGAGAGAGAATTTCTAAAGCAATGCATTCAAACAGGCAGAGAATCAGCCTGAGATCATTCATCTACAGTGACGGGCAGGAGAGCAGGGTGCATGGCTGCTGCTGCTGGCAGACACACAGACAGACAGACACACACACGTGCACACGCCCATATGTATTATGGCTGGCAGACTGTAGGAGTCCTTTTCTGGTTGCTTCCATTCTCAGTGAAGTAGGAAGCAAGAACATCAACTGAGCGGGAGGGTGGGGAGAATGTACTTGGAGGGTTGAGGAGGAAGCAGACAGTCTGGGGCAATGGCTGGGGCAGGGGGGGGGAGTGGATGGACCAGGGCGGTGTGGTATGGTTGCAAGGCAGCATCAGTGGCCCCACTTGAGATCTGTGGTCATGGATTTAAAGTGGGACCATCAGCAAGTTGTGTTTTTCTCCAGCCAACTTGGCTGCCACATACAGGCTGAGACTAGGTAGAGAGTTGGACTTAACCAGGGTTGGGGTTTTGCAAAATGAGTCTGATAGAAGAAAAATGGGTTAGGGCATGAAGGTGTATACAATAGGCTAATTATAAACATTGATCATGGAATTTAAGCTGAATAAGGATAGTTAGATCATCACTGACTCAAGGGACGTGATTTTGAGCAAATTCTGGGAAATAGAGAACAGAGGAGCCTGGTGTGCTGTGGTCCATAGCGTCGCAAAGACTTTTCCACTAAACAACAACAAGGAGGAAATGCAAGCATAGAAACCTTATGTTCATGAGCAGACAAAGGAACAATGAACAGCTGGTCCCAGTGGAAGGCAAAGATCAAATAGATACTTTATTATACCACACCTTCCCAAAGCTTCGAGACCTAAAATGGAAGTTTGGAGTGGTTTAATTTTAAAATACCCCATCGTAGATACTGAAAAGACTTGGAGACATTTGGGGGAACACTGCTAACTTTTTGAGTGGTATGCCATTCTGTCATGGGCAGGGAATAGGTCTGGATATGCCTATTTTAGCATTTATTTCATAAGGTAAATTATACTTACTATTTAAAATATTTACTTAAGATCACTTATATTTAGCTTTGCAGAATAAACATATGCACACTGTATATAGGTATATGTGTGTATATAATTCCTTTACTATCTATGGGCAATTTTACTCACTTTCTCAAATCCTGCTCTCAGGGTCATCATTTTAGTCACTTCCGATAACATAATTATGTTAGCAGGTTAGCAAAGGAATTTGTCAGAGTCTGAGGTGAAAGCAAGAATGAAAGTAGGGTAGGACTGCTCCTGAAATAGCTCTCTAATTGCATTTGCCACTGTTGACGATCAAGACTGAAGATAGAGTGTGTTCTACTTACGTAGTATTTGAAAGTTGCTAAAAATGACAATGTCAGAGAGTCTTTGAGATCATCATTAATTCATTCATCTCCACTTCTGAACACCAGGGAGCATTAAGGCTGCCTGAGCCTCACTTATAAATTCTTCCTTCCTACGTGTGTGCCTGTGCCTTCCATGAGCCCTTTCTTCACCCTAAAGAACTGGCTGGCTTGGAAGTACAGGATCGAGGCGTTGGCAGGAATATAGAGGTCAGCTCATCTAACTGGACAAATAAACACCCCCTTCCTTTTTCCTAGCGGTGCCTTTCCCACCTCTCATTATCCACCGTGATTATGGACAACAGACAAAGCTGTACCTGTGTGTGCCTTCCCATTCTAGTTTCAGACATTCCAAGTCATTTTTTTCAGCTCCTTCTCATTCATTTTTTTCTTCTGGTTTCATTGAGACATAATTGACACAAAGCCCTCTCTAAGGTACACAACAGAATGGTTTAACTTACATACATCATGAAAAGCTTACCCCAGAGTACGCTGAGGGAACATCCATCATTCCACACAGGTACAAAATAAAAGACAAAAAAGTCTTTATTCCTTGTAATGAGAAAACTTAGGATTTACTCTCAACAACTTTCATGTAACATACAGTGTTAATCAGATGAGTCATGTTTAACCTTACATCCCTAGGACTTACTTATCTTATAACTGGATGTTTATACCTTGAACTGCCTTCATCCAGTTCCCCCAACTTTGAACCATTTTGAGTTCAGATCTGTAACTCCTATCAGCTCAGCTTTTGCTCTTTAGAGCCACAAAACTACTCCAGTCTCTTCCTACGCAGCTCTTTAAATATTGATGAGTGCCATCTTGCCCTGTCTTCCCCTGTTTTCTCTTGTTGTTTAAACCTTTGTACTTCCTTCAGCCCTGTCACAGCAGTGTGTTGGGTGTCTTTGACATCTGAAGAGAAGCTTTGGTGGGTCAGTGATCAGCCTGAAAATGGCCCAGAAGGAGCAAGAGTTCCAAGCATGCTGTGGGCATAGCCTGGTGATTCAGGGCTCCATCTCCTCAGGTCAGGAGGTTATAAATCAACATAGGTTCAACAAACCTCTTTGCACAAATCAGCCTCTCAGGTTCATTTCTGGAAATCAGAGACACTCTGAACAGAGACGCACAGCTTTAGCGTGATTTGGAGTGAAAACTCACCTCTCAAACTGTTGAAGGGAATCCAGGTAAATCCTGTGCGGTGACTGCCTCAGGCTGAATCCTCTACAAAAGGCTCAGGGGCCAGGCAGAGATGATAAGCTCTTACCACCTAGTCAGACAACCTGATGGAGCATGGCTTCACTTTCTTTCAAAACCTGATAACTGGCTTTACCTTCTTCAAAAACATGATGACTTGTCATTTTGAAAATAGCAGTCTAACTCTCTCACTCTTGCCTTTCTCCAAGATTTTATTCTCCTGCTTTTTTTTTCTGTTTTACCTCTAAATCCACCTACAGCCTTGCATTTCCCAGCTGCCTTTTGGCAGCACAGAGAGCCAATGATAAAAGAAACCCACAGATCAGTTAAGTACCTCCAAAAGGATCAGTTGTCTGAATGTTGAGAGAGATCTTGAGTTCTGTGGAAGGCTAGGAGCAGTGGGGACAGAGCCTGGCTACTTCATTTGGGGGTAGGAAAAGATTTGGACAAAATGGAGAGGCAAGGTTGGACTCTTCTGCCCTCCTGCAAATAGTCTTAAGTCTGGTTTGAGAGGAGCAGAGAATTTATGTGCCTGGGAGAAAGCATTTAATGGTGGGTTCATGTGACCCACCATTCTGAACCTGAAGAAGGACCCTCACTAAAGACAAAGGAAAAAAAAACATCTCTTGCGAGAAGGATGTTCAAAACAAAATTCACTGAGCTGAAAGCCAGGGTATCCAAAGCTGCTGCTTTCTCCTATGAGCAGATGTTCACCTGATATTTTGTTTTCGGTGTTCCTGCAGGTCACATTCCCTGTGGCTGGACTTTTCCTCGGCAGGGTAGGATGTGTGCCCTCGTCCCTTCCCACTAGAGGCACGGGGCAAGTCTGTAAAGCTCATTTAGGCCAGAACTCGGCGGAAGGAACAGCTGGTACACTTGACTCTGAAAAGGCACTCCTGAAAAATCAATATGAAAGAAATAAAAACGCATTACTGATCTCAAGCCTCAAGTTTGGATTGCATTTGGCCCCTAGTGATGGATACCTTATAGAGTGGCTTAAAGTAGAAGTTAAATCTCACACATAAAGGAAGTGCAGAGATATCCAATCCATGGCCAGTGTTTTTGCTCCTCATTAGAAACCCTCACTCTTCTCACTTCCTGTCCTTAACATTGACATCCATCTTCAAAGTTACTTTATGGTGCAACATGCCAATTAGAGTTGGAGCTGTCTTTTCATCCCAGAGAGGAAGTAGAAAAGCAGAAGGGCACCTTCAGCTATCTGGTGCTTTTTAGAGAGCTTTATTCCAGGAGTCTCATCCAACGACCTCCTCTCCCAGCTCATCGATCAGAGGGTAGTTCCACAGGTGTCCTCCAGGAGAGGCTGGGTAATGTGATCTTAGCAGCACCCAGGGCCACCCAGGGTCAAGTGGGGGTTTCTCCCTAAGGAAGAAGAGGAGAATAAATGTGGGGCAGATCACCTGTAATATCTATCTATAAAACAGAGGCTAGTTGAAGTAGAAAACAAGAAGGATTAAACAGAAGCATCCATGAAGCTAGAACTCAAGCAGTAAGGAACTAAGGAGATGAGAGAGGCGTCCACAGATGGTCTTGGCCTTACGAGTCTTTACTTTCTTCCTTAGCCTAGTAATGAACAGAATGGGCAGAAAGTACAGGCAGCTCAGGACAATTCAGTCTGATATCCCAGGTATAGGGAACTGGCTTTTGATAGCTGTTCCCCTGCAGGCACCAAGGGACATGGAGCTTTTTAAACCATTCATGAGAGCCACAGTTTTCTTTAAGAAAGATGATAGACAATTTAACTCCTAATGCATTACTTTACACAGATATTTGAAAGTGGCAAATCACCCACCCCTTTCAAAATATAATTTAATTCAAATGTTTAAGATGATTACAGGCAAGACAACTTTTAGGAAGTGACTAAATTCTATGGTAGTTTAGCCTTCTTGCCACCACTGTGAAATTTCTTAACCTAGGCTAGTATTTTAGATAGGGAATTTCCAACCCATTTCAGAGAGCACAGGGGTATTGGTCTCTGCCTGTACACTTCAGATATCAGTGAAAAACATTCTTACAGATTTCATTCATAAAAGTGGCTTTGAAAGGAAAATAGGTGAGGCCTGAACTGTTTATAGAGTACTCAAAATTTCAGAGGCTTGACAGTAACAGATGTCCACGATGAGATTGTATGTCACAGTGACCAAGATTTTCCTGATCTTGCTAACCTTGTGGATTAAAGGAGGCTAGTCACAAAACTTAGAGTGTAACTCTAATCATCTCTTCAGTTTAAAGGACCAAAGAAACCCTACTTTTGACCATTTTGAAATTTTGATTTCTAACGTCTGTTTGCTGAGATAATCCTGGCATCTTTTAGTAAAATGGAAATGACTACTGTAGGCCCTTCAAACATACCTACAACAATTGCATGTCTATATCTAAGCGTGCGAGGAGTATATTGATACTTAGCCTGTCTGAAGAATGCCTTTGGTGAGGATGCAGTTTTATCTGGATAAATGTGTACATCTGGTGCTGGTATAATTTTTAGAGTGTGACTGTTTTGATCACTGATGAATTCCACATGCATATTCATTTATCTTTCGCCTCAGATCTAACTGGCTCAAAAGCCCCGATGCAGACTCTGACCAGCTCTTCCGCATGGTGGCAGAGATCTTCATCCTGTGGTGTAAATCTCACGTAAGCACACACGGGGGCCCTGGACTTGGAGTCAGCAGTGAAAGGTACACACCTCGGAAAACTGTCTTGTAATGTTTGCTTTTCTGTTCCCCCCACTCAGAACTTCAAGAGGGAAGAGCAAAATTTTGTGATTCAGAACGAAATTAATAATTTGGCATTTTTAACTGGAGACAGCAAAAGCAAGATGTCGAAAGTAAGTCCATAGAAATCAATCCCAAAGGCTCTCCAGCCTTGAACCAAGCTACATATCCTGGGTGTGTGAAGGGATAAGCTTCTACTGCGTTCAGGTCAAGCCACACAAAACCAACAATCTCCACTGTTGTTTCTTTGAGAATGAGCCAGAAGAAACTGCTCTCAAATAAGCATGGGCATTATTACATTTGATGAATAAGTAGCTGCTTTGTGTGTCTAAAGTTTGTTTCAAGACTTGCCTAAGGCATTCGAGAGGTCTGCAAAACCAGAGCTGCTCTTACTTGTTTTCAAGTAGAAGTACTTCCTGTGTAGAAAAGCTACAAAAATACACGTGCCTAGAGCCACCTTTTAATTAGCTGTAAGGACATTACTTTGCTTCGAAGATGTGGTTGGCACATTTTCTTACAATGCACTCATTTTCCTCCTATCCAGAACATCTCATAACTGCTTTATTTCAGCTGTGCTGACCTCTTAATGCCTTGTATTTATTTTCCATACACGTTGCACTCAGAAACCCAAACATTTGTCCATCCCACTATAGGAAATGTTTGAAAGAGGGCATTCCAAACATCTGTCCGAAAACAGTCACCTACAGGGCAGGGTACTGCACAAATAGAGCAGGGGGATCTGGCCCCCTGGGCTCCTCCTGAGTCAGTTCTGTACAAGGAGGCTTCGCCATCTTATGGGAGAGAATCCTCAGACACACTTCTTCAGGGGTATACACAAAAGCAAGGCTGACTTAAAGGTGCTGTTTCATTCCCAGCTCTTGTAGCTTACCTGAACTCTCTTCCCCTGAGAAGTGTCCCTCGACGAGGGGCTGACTGTATTGTCAACTGTATGTGACGTGTGACACCTGAGATGTCCATCTCTCATGGCTGGTACAGTGCTGCCTTTGAGAAGCAGGAAGGTGGAGGCTGCATGGGGACCTCTCAGAAGTGAGAATCAGCTCTGGGAAGATGACAGTCAAGGGTTGATAGTGAAGCCCTTGGGGCATCTTTCCAAATAACCATTTGCAATAGGAGATCTTTGTATGCACAGCTGCAGACCAGGGACTGGTATGACACCAAAAGTGAAAACTTCAGCACCCAAAACTTCACAAAGCTACCTCTGGTCAGCTGCAGTCACTCTGAACTTTCCATCCCTTCCATCTTTAAGCTATATTGACAGTAACACTTCTTCCAGCATCCAAAAATTTATTCTCAGAGTTTAGAATCTAATGTCTGCTGGTTAGTAAATTTGATAAATAAAATTGTGCACTTACAATGCAGAGAGATTAGGTATATATATATTCACAGTCAAGAGGAATCTTTGCTGCAAAGGGATCTTACTTAAGATGTATCCTTTTGTGCTTTAGATAATTTTTATTTGATTTTCCAGAGTTTATTTTGCATATAACTTCTGGCAAACAGCTACTTGTGTAAGGTACAAGAGAAAGGATATTTTCAGACTCTTGATCTCTGGACATCTGTCCCTCAGTTCCTCTGAAGACTTTTCTTACAGTGATTGCAAGCTCTCCTTTGACCCTGCTCACCTACAGAAAGTCACTGATGCTCGGATTCCTTGCTTCCTTCAACTTGGGGGTAGATCTTTTGGCCTTTGGTGGAACCAGGTAGCATCCATTGTTATTGTCAGCAGTGGCAGCAAAGCAAAGGAAATGCCTCTGATACAGGGATCTGGATCCCAGATGAGCAGAAATGGCAAAGATATCTTAACCCTCTGGTGATGCATAGATACTCAGGGTCCTGGGGTTTACGCTTGGAAAGAGATGAGGTGACAAAGAATGATGTTTTAAAACTAACCTACTAACAAACTAACCTGAAATTGTTCATTCACATCATTGAATGAGGAAAAGAGTACATTAGCCTTGTCAGAAGATGGTCAGAATCAGAATTCAGGTGGAAGGAAGAAAGAAAATCAGGGTCTTTGGGTGCATCTTCCCTACTGGTAAGGTTAGTCCACAGGAGCACATGCTTTTGTTTCATTTCCATTGACATTGTATGCCAGTTTTTTCCTGAGTGATGTTGGAAAAGGTAAAAGTTACATACAGTGTAATGGATGGAATGTAATGGATCCACTCCCTGGATGTTAAATAACATTTGCTGTACTCCTCAGGGTAACAAATATCCATATTGTTCCAGTTGCCTCAGTTGAGACACACAGTGTTAGTAGTAAATGGAACTAGATACCAAAGGAAAGAAAAGTCCCAGGCTTGGCCCTGCTGATGAGTATAAGGATGGCCTTGCATCATTCACTTAACTTCTCTGGATCCCAGTTTACCAGTTTGTAGAATGAGCTTGAGCTTACTGCCTGACTTCTCCCAGCTCTACTAGTATGCCCTGTTAAAAAGTAAATTTTAAATGCATCTCTTGAGTTGAATAATATTGCATAAATTCAGCACATTATTTCAGATAGGGAGATACCATGCCTCCAAAAAAACAGTAACCCATAGCTATTTCTGGTATTTTTTGGATGTAAAAGTATGGATTGAGAGGATGGGGAGGGAGTGTTCTCTTTAGTGTCAGCTGACTCCCCACTGCCACCCTGAAATTTGATGTTCTCTCTTCTACCTGATCTGAACAGTCACCTGTTCTTGCTTTCATCTCCATTCTTAATTGAATTCTGGTGTTGTATAAATGGTCTTGGCCTCAGTGCATATGGCAGAGAGACGTGTGCTGGAAAGCTGCATGCCCACACATGCCACTCATGCCATTGCAGACAGAAAGGAAGTGGAAAAAATATACAGTGGGCCACGCTGTTCACACTTGATTAATGGAAGGTCAGTTCAAAGATAAGTCCTTTTTCCAGCAGCGAAAGCACGTTTTGAGGAGAGCTCATTGTATATGTTGTTTATATAACACCGGTTTGCGGCTATGTCAAGCTGTACATAACTGAGCTGAGCCTGTGATTTTTGTTTTGTTTTTAAACTTGTTTTGTTTTCTGGAAAAATGGCAACAGCTTCCTCGGAGGGGAATGGTAAGTTAGAACACATTTAGCCCAAGAAATGTCAGTTCCTTGACCAAGATGATAAACAAAAGGGTTGTGATGCAGGAAATGTGAGGGTGCCTCATTGTTTAAAGGCACTGCACTGTGTGAGTGTGATGGCAGCGTGTTGAGAAAGGACAAGGACATGCAGAGAAGACATCTCGATGCTGCTCGAGGGTGTGCAGAATGACGTGTGAGCTTGCTTCTGCCTCCTCAGTGACCCCCAGTCGGTCACCCACCTGTCTCTCTCATCCCCCCCCCCCACCTTTTTTCATCTGCATTCCCTTTGTTCTTGCACTTGGACAGTTCAAGTGCTCTTTGGCCCTCTGTCCCCCTTCTCTCTCCCACTTCCTGTTCGCCCTTTCTTTTTCCCCAGCCTTTCCCCCTGCTACCCACCNGTTAACTAATCTTAGCAATATGTGAGGAAAAGAATAAAATTAGAACTTATAGCATGTAGGAGCCTTTTACCTAAGGTATATTTGAAGGTCACAGCACAAGAAGGGAGATGCCCCATCCTTTGGGTCTGAGGTGATCCTGAACCACCTTGGATATTCCTAGAGTATGGTTTTTAGCAAACATTTATTTAGGGGAAGCACACACCTGGCCCCTCAGCTCAGTTCTCCTCACTCTTTTTGTAACCACAGATCTTCTGGTGGTGATAATGTGGTGGGTGGAAGGAAGAAAGAAAATCAGGGTCTTTGGTTATGTGACAGATTGTCTGCAGCCCACCCAGGCGACAGGACGGAGTTGGGGGGAGAGAAGGCGTGAAATCTAAAGTCACTTGGGTGGCCAGATCTGAAGACCATTTAGGTCTGTGTGTCACACACTCTGGAATGCTGGTCTCTGAGATGACGTACTGCTTGGTCCGGGTGTAAGTCCTCTCAATCCAATTAACCTCCATCCTAACCTCCCGCCCCCTCTTCATGCCATGGTCAACTGGCTTCCAGAGTGGTTGGTTTTCTGTCGTGTTGGCTGAGGAATGGGGGTGGAAGAGCTGTGACTAACATGCTTATGCTTTGGACCCCTGCTTTAACTGACTGACTTCTCCTTGTTTCTTTTCTCTTATCTTTCCACACAGGCCATGCAAGTAAAGGTACAGGTCAAATGCATGACGTGTCTTTTCTGTCCTAGCATTAGAGGTGCCAGACTCTGGCCACCCTCTGTACTGTGATCACCATGGGGGTGGTCCAGAATGGATTTTCCCACTTGGAGGTCTCCCAGGCCTGCTCCAGGGAAGACAACTGCCTGTCAAAGAGTGAATGTAGGCCTACCCACCCTTGGAATGGGGAAGCCGGGGAAGCCAGCCAAGCCTCGCCCTATCCGAGGTCTCCTTGCCATCTCTGCTCCCTTCCCAGCTGCCCACTCCACAGCCAGCACACTAACAGAGATAGGGATGCTGAGCAGGGCACCGAAAGCCCAGGAGCCTTACTCCTCTTCCTACTGTTAGTGGTCCCAGCCCTTCCACACTATACATGAATGGCTCTTGTGCAGGACTCCAAAGAGTCAGAGAGTTTTCCAAGGACTAAAGTCAAGGATTTGAAATAGCCATGTTTGCATAAAATGTGCACCCAGTGGAATAAACCCTGGGACAATTTTCTAGTATCCTATACAGGTTATTGCTTGGAAGTATTTCTCTTTCTCCATTAACATATGTCTGCTGCCACCGTCCCAAGACCTTTGCACCAGGTCTGAAGCAGAGACAGGGAGATGTGCAGGAACCAGGTCATGTGCGACTCTTGGTAAAGAAAAATGGAGCCATGGCCAGGCAGATGTCGGTCTGGATGTTGGCCTGGACTCGTAACTGCTGTGTGTCCTTGGAAAAACATCACTTAACTTCACTGAGCATCATGTTCCCCTTTATATAACTGACTTCTTGTTATCTCAGCATTGTTGGGAAGATTAAAAATGCTTTATCTAAGTACTAGGCACATTGGAGCCACATCATATATGCAGTGTTTATAGTTAGGACAACATGAGATTGGCCAAAGAAAATAGCGAGCAAGAAATTATTTAAATTGTATATCAAGTCCACAGTTTTGCATATTAATTGTATATGCATGTTACTATTTACCTCTTAGGTAATGTCCATGTACCTATACTTCATTATATATATATACACGTAACACACACACATATATATAACTGGGTTCTATTCTTTATGGACAATTTGAGGTATTTTCAAGGGTAATTTAGACTTAAGAGTTTTGCCTTAGGCACAACCTGTAGAATTTTATACCTGATACTACAACATCTAAGGAACCCAGCAAGCTCTCCGTGAAGGTAGGAATTTCTGTAGGAATCAGCTTTCCAGCTGTGTGTCTAGAATACAAGACACTTTGTATCTTGCCTCAACCCCACCCTCCTCCACTGCCCCCTCCCACTGCTGTCCTGGATCTGACCTGTTGTTCTCCAGCACCAGACCCAAGTAGAGTTGGCTGGCAGTATTTGGTCAGACTGGGTTTTGCCGGCCAGGGATTTCACTGTGGTTTCTGCGGTGTAACCACTTGAAGGCTTAGCCACCACAAGCTGGATAAAAGAAGCCACCTCCGTTTTGAGAGTATCCATTAATAATACTCCTCCATCACACTTTGGAAAGTAAACAGGTCAGCGCTAAGGCGGTGTGATTCTGACCCTACTTGGTCTTCTCTCAGAAAACCAATCCTCCATAAAGCAAATTCTACTCCAGCCGGGGGGCCCCAGGTCTTACATGCCATTTTCAAAGGAGGGGTTTGGTCTCTCAGCAGCTCCCAGAGTGCAGAGTGTTTGTGTCATTGGAAACCACTGTGCGTCACCAGGATGCTGCAAACACTCACAGGCACCTCATAAAGCAAAAGCTTTAATAAGCCCCAGTTCTCCCCCATCATGGACCCTGACTTCAATCTCTGCCTCTGGCCTCCCAGCCCTTCCTCACTTCCAGCAAGAGCCCACTCAGCTGGGGCAGAGTCCAGCAAGTGAGGTACCACGTGGGCAGGGCAAGCCCACCCATATCCACCTTCTGTTGTGGGTGCAGAGGGCCCTCAGTTGGTTGCCTGGGGCTGCCGCAGCCCAGTGCATTGGCCTCTTTCTGCAAACCTCCCACTTCACTGGATAAACGCCCCCAGAAAGGGTCCAGAAAGTGTAACCAAAGGAGGGTGGACTCTCCCATACTTGGGGTGGTTCCTCTTCATCTGTCTGCACTGTTTCTCCTAACTCTACCCCAGCCAGATCCCAGAGCAGCCTTACCAACCTGCACGGTCTCGTTTTCCTGTAGACCGTAAGATGCCTGTGCCCCAAAATGCTCACTCCAGCCCTGGCCAGGAGCTAGTATTCTAGGGTAGATGCTGTCTCACTTGTTTACTGCTGCCCACCATCAGGATTCTCAGTTCTTTTCTGCCGTCATCTTGTCAGTTAGCAAATCACTCTTTTTGTAAGAACACCACTTGTTCATTCCATCCAGATGCAAGCGAGCAGAGACCATGGGTGTTGGTGCTGTGTGTCTGGTCACGTGGTTCCGTGAGCATGCGCACAAGGAGAAGGCTTAGCATCAGGGCTGGCCTTGAATGGCCCCTTTGGTTGGCTTTGTGTATTACAATCCTTTACTGTCCTCTGAAATGTAGAAAGGCCCGACCTATTCAAGGGAGGACCTATACAGGAGGCAGGCTGCCTCTGCGGTGAGGCAGTGCCTTTCAGAGTCACTGAGCTCCTCTGTTTCAACCTCATCTCCTAGTCTGGAGGACAGGACCAGGAGCGGAAGAAGACAAAGCGGAGGGGAGACTTTTATTCCATCCAGACCTCCCTCATCGTGGCTGCGCTGAAGAAAATGCTGCCCATTGGTCTGAATATGTGCACCCCAGGCGATCAGGAGCTGATCTCCCTCGCAAAATCACGGTACAGCTATGTAAGTCAGCCATCTGCTTTGGTGGAGCGTTTAATACAGGTGGTGGTGATCTGTGCTCCGCCCTCCATCCCTGGGGATCAATGAACAGAAGCCAAGGTGCATGGAAACAGCACACCATCATCTTTACAGCTGGCTTGGGAGTCAGCACATGCTCTTTTGGATAAGTCTCTGTCGGTTCTCTTGTTCTGTTCTTGTAGTAAAGATCCCAGCAAAACTCTTAGTACATCCCTGCACCCCACTTTACATTTCCATAGTAACCTATAGGAATAAACTTTCATATCTCTTTCCACAGAAGGACACAGATGAAGAGGTGAAGGAACATCTGCGGAATAACTTGCACTTGCAGGAAAAGGTGATGTAGCAGGAAGACAATGAGAACTCACACAGGCTTCTTTCTGGCTGCAGGGGTCCCATGCCCACTTAGTTTACTCGTATTTTTCTTAATGTGTTCTAAAAACAGCCTCAGAGTACTTGTGCTTAATTGGTAGAACTCTCTGCCTTTAATTTTTCATTTTTTGGTCCCTGGTTTTTGTTTTTTTCTTTGCCAGTTGCAAGGAGGTCCAGTAAAACATGTCTCCCCACCTCCCACTGTGTGAACATCAGAGTGTGGCAGGGGGTTAGATTAGGTCTCAGAATTTACTGACTATGAGGTGTGTTAGAGTGTAACAGAAACCTGGGGGAAGTTTTAGCACTTTCAGCTTTAGAGATTCCTGAACAAAGTAACTCTGTGTCTGAGTTTGTATAACTCCCCCACCCCAAAATCCACCAAAATCAAGACCAATTTTTATTTTAAGGCTATTTAAAATTTTTCCAGGCCTGCAAATCTGAACAGCTTTTCCCTCAAATATATTATGTTATGCCCTAAGATAGAAGACTAAAATGATACCAATAGCCTCTCCTTTCTACCCCAACTATATAGGAATGGTGGGTAAAGTATAGTATAAAAAAGGCGGTAAAAAGAAATTCTAAGTACCAGAAAAAAGAAGTCATTCTAAACCTTAGTAATGAAGAGAAGACGATGCAGTGAAGAAAACTCATAGAGCTTTCCCGACCGGATACATATCATAGGGGATGAGGGTTTTAGTAATCTGGAAGAGGAGTTGTGGACCAAATTTCCCAGGTTTGGCATAAATTTAGAGCAAATCTGGATCACACCAAACTGGAAAATTCTTAAAGAGATGGGAATATGAGACCACCTTACCTGTCTCCTAAGAAACCTATATGCAGGTCAAGAAGCAACACTTAGAACCTTCCATAGAACAACTGATTGGTTCAGAATTGGGAAAGAGTACGTAAAGGCTGTGTCTTTTCACCCTGCTTGTTTAACTTATATGCAGAGTACATCATGTGAAATGCCAGGCTGGTTAAGTCACAAGCTGGAATCAAGGTTGCCGGGAGAAATATCAACAACCTCAGATATACAGATGATACCTCTCTAGGGGCAGAAAGTGAAGAGGAATAAAAGAGCCTCTTGATGAAGGTGAAAGAGGAGAGTGGAAAAGCTGGTTTAAAACTCACCATTCAAAAAACTAAGGTCATGGCAACAAGTCCCATCACTTCATGGCAAATAGAAAGGGAAGAAGTGGAAGCAGTGACAGATTTTAATTTCTTGGGCTCCAAAATTACTGTGGATGGTGACTGCAGTCATGAAAATCAAAGGAAGGAAGGAAAGCTATGCCAAACCTAGACATCATATTAAAAAGCAAAGATATCACTTTGCCAGTGAAGATCCATATAGTCAAAGCTACAGTTTTTCCACTGGTCACGTACAGATGTGAGAATTGGACCATAAAGAAGCCTGAGCACCAAAGAATTGATGCTTTCAAATTGTGCTGAAGACGACTCTTAAGACTCCTTGGACTACAAGGAGTTCAAACCAGTCAATCCTAAAGGAGATCAACCCTGAATGTTTAATGGAAGGATTGATGCTGAAGCTGAAGCTCCAATACTTTGGCCAAATGATGCGAAGAGCTGATTCATTGGAAAAGACCTTGATGGTCGGAAAGATTGAGGCCAAGAGAAGGGAGTGACAGAGGATAAGATGTTAGGAAAATATCACCGACTCAGTGGGCATGAGTTTGAGCAGACTCCTGGATAAAGTGAAGGACAAGGAAGCCGGGAGTGCTGCAGCCCATGGGGTCCCAAAGAGTCCGACATGATTTAGTGACTCCACAACAACAACAGAGCAAGAAACTTACATAAAATGAGCCTTGAACCAGTGACACCCATGAATCTTCTGTAAAAACAGCCATGAAACCACTTAGAGACTCTACCTGCTAGAATATGGGCCATTCAACAAAACTCCTGAATACAAGTTCATATTTTTAAAAAACACACAGTGTGAAAAGAAATCCATGAGCATTAGAGAGACAGAAAATTCAACAAAAGGAAGAATTCAAGCCTAAGGAACTACAGAAAGGAATTTTTTAAGTATTATAGAAATATTTAAAGAGATAAAGGCAGCCATATAAGCTATAAATCAAGACTTGGACATTACTTTGTAAAGAAAAGAGAGGGGAGGTAGAATTGAAAAGACTTCACAGTGATTTACAAAGTTAAAAATAATCATTGAAATTAAAAATTCCATCTATATGTGGTATGGAGATTCCTTGAAAAACTAAGAGTAAAAATACCATATATAGGTTAAAAAATGTAGTGGATAACAGCTCAAAAGAGAACTTATGAATTGAACGGTTGATTTAAGGAAATCAGTGCAGCACAGAAAGAAAGGGATGGAAAATATGACAGAAGGGTTGAGACATATAGGCTATAATGAGAAGTTCCTATGAAGCATCTACATTATTCCAGAAAAATATGATAGAGAAAATGAGAGAGGAATTTGTAGAAGAGACTCTTGAATACTGTGGAACCATGCTAGGAGACAAAGGCCTTTTCTGTGTAAGAGGTATGAGAGATTGCTCGTCTCATGTATGTGCTTTAATCTGCAGTCTGATGATCCAGCTGTGAAGTGGCAACTGAACCTATACAAGGATGTTTTAAAGAGTGAAGAACCTTCCAACCCAGAAAAGACAGTGGAGCGTGTGCAGAGAATTTCAGCAGCTGTCTTCCACCTAGAGCAGGTAAGTAGCATCTACCCTGAGGCTTGAGGAAGCAAGACCACCTTGCAGAATACAAAATTCTCTCAACACTCAGCTTTTAGTTTCAAACACCACCCTGTAAGCACCCTTGTAAGAAAGCAAGAAGTAAGGATCATCCTGGGTCATCCCAAAGTGTCATCTTGGTGCCTTATGGTAGCAAGACTCCTTAATGCTTAACCCTCCCAGTGTTTTACAAAGTTTTGCCATTAGTTCAAATAACCTATCCAAGTTCCTTGCTCATTTGTAAAGCTACTATTAAGCCGTAAGTCACCAAAAGCAGTTGGGAGAAAAAGAAAACCTAAGACTTCTACAAACTCAATCATTTAGTGCTGAGTACCTTTGGCTGACCAGAGTTAAGAAATCAAAGTTCTTCCAGGGTTGAGACGTCTGGGCTGTAGGTGACTATTGGTGTTTTCTGCACCCAGATCAGTTTAGTGTATACCTAGCCATGTGATTTCTTCTTAGGTGGAACAGCCTTTGAGGTCCAAGAAGGCGGTCTGGCACAAACTGCTATCAAAGCAGCGGAAACGGGCAGTGGTGGCCTGTTTCAGGATGGCCCCTCTCTACAACTTGCCCAGGCAAGTATTCTGTCTTTATCTCCTGGCATGTGAGTCAGAGATGAGAATTAAGGTATCTTCCTATAGCTGTGCTCTCTTCTGGCTCTGACACTCATGATCCCAGGGGTAGAGATTGGAGTCCTTCACCTGCGGAGCCATTGCAGTCTGCATATAATGTAATGGCCTACAAAGGTAAGTATAAAAACTGAAAACAGATGAGATTTCCTAGTGCCCCCAAGCCTGCCTCACTTCAGCTTTTTGCACTGTAAAGTCAGCCTTGTAAGCATATGGAAGCTCTCAGTTTTACCTAGGTAGGGTTCTTTGTGCAGCTGTTAAGGCATTCTAGAAAAAGGAGGCTTTTCTAAAAGACTTTACCCCAAATTCCATCCATAGATCAAGCAATAGTTCCATGTTCAAGCACTTGATTGACACCAAAATTATGTTTCCTTGGCAAGTACAGAAATGTAACCCGAGAATCCTTCAGCATAATGTACTTGCCTTCAAGATGAAACTAGGGAACTGTTTAGAGATGCCCCAAGAGGCCAGTCATGAACATAAGGCATTTATCTGGATGTTTAGTCTATACTCTGAAGTAAAAAATATGCGAAGGCTTTTCTGGAATGTGTGTGAGCGTGTGCTGCTCCAATGAAGGGCACAGTATCGGTGTAGACTGGGCCGTTGTCGACCACTGAGGCCAACGCGGTGACGTTGGTGGCGTGGCAGCATTCCCGTCCTCAGACTAACTGCACAGCCAGTAAATTTTGGCCTCTGATCAATAAACAAAGCTGGTAGTTGAAGAGCCACTGCTTGATCAACTTCCAGTCAATCAGAATATCCTCACCTGGTCAGGAAAAAGAAACTGACTTGGCCAAGTAAATTCTGTATCACATGTAAATACATGTGTTTCTTTGGAATTTCAGATGAAAGACTATTCTATGCTTGACATTTTGCTTTCATCTAATTGTGTGTGTTGGCTATCATTTGCCCAGAGTGTCCCGTATCCCCATCCTGAGCCAGCTGGCCAACTGAGCTCTCCAAATTAGGGTGTTCGAAGATGGTGGAGAATCATGGCCTCTGAGACACACACCTGCTCCTACCGGTCTCTTGAGAAAGTAGACTAGTGTCTCTGGAAAGGTTGAAGCATCACAAATCAAATAGAATTCATTAATTTAAGAAAACTGAAAAATTAAGTCAGGCAGTAATGGGCATGAAGGTTGCTGAAGTCTTGGCAGACAAATGAAATTTATAGCCCAGTAGAAGAAGCAAAACTGCCTCGGATTTTTGTCTGTTTTCTAAAAGTGGTAAAACATCAGAAGGCATTCACTTCCCCTTCTGGTAGAGAGCCATACCTGATGTGCTTTAACGTGACCTCTAGAGGGCTTAGCTTTAAGCTCATGTCTCCCGGGCCAGCTCGACAGCAATTACATCTCTCAAAAACAAGCATTTTTTTCTAAATCCACTGAAAATGATAGTACCATCCTTTAGTATTATGGTTGCTCCTTCAAGAACTCTGCCACTGAATGGATAATAGTATGTCCAAGAATCCACTGTCTCCTTGATGAAACATGGCCACCCCCACCCCTAACCCAGCTGTTTTTTTTTTTTTTTTTTTAAAAAACAAACTTCATTTTGCATTGGAGTATTGCTGATGAACACTGTTATAGTTTCAGGTGGACAGCAAAGGGATTCAGCCATACGTATACATATATCCATTCCCCTCCAAACTCCCCTCCCCTCCAGGATGCCACATAACATTTAGCAGAGTTCCCTGTACTTTACAATGGTTCTTGTTAGTTATCGATTTTTAATGTAGCAGTGTCTAACATAGCTGTTTTAGAGAGGCTGCCCTGGATTTCTGCCTAGAAGTTATACATAGGAGGATTATATCCCTAGGAGGATTATACATAGGTTTCATAATAACAACAATAACAATGAACAAGAGGCTAGTGGTCAGTACCATGCCTTTTCTCCATCTTATGAGATTCTAAACTGCATGGAGTCTTCCAAACTAAAGAGATTTATTTTTATCATGTGGAAACTTTCTCTGCTGTGAGTTTTTAAAAGAAAACCTGTATGCTTTTCCCCAGACACACAATTAACAATTTCTTCCTGAGCACCTTTCAACGGGTTTGGCTGGAAAAGGTTAATGAAAAAACTCAGTATGACAGGCTTATACTCATTTTAATGGTAATGTAACCTGTGGAGAGACCCGCTCATTCTCTGCACACTTCTTTCTTGACCATGATTTAACATGACCATGAAAACACAAATTTGTACAATTTTTTTTTAAAAAACACCTCTGATTGGTCAGATTTTGAAGAAAGATGGTAAGGGCTATATTCTACCAGAAATTATGACCAAGACTTGATGAGTCTGGTCCTGACCTTCCTTGTCTCTGTGGTCCTCCTCATATTTCGGTAACCACTCACCTGTTCTTCAGTGGTTAATATTCCCAGAGCTCAGTCGTGTCCTGTAGAGAGGGAGTGGCTTGTGCCAGTGTATTCAGTGTTCCCAGATGCCAGGGCCAGCTCTGGAACCCGTGAAGCATGCAGAAGTTTTGCTGATGAGTACAACACGCCCAAGCTTTATTTCCTGGGTACAGACTGGAGCTCTTGCAGCTGTGGTTCCTCAGAGGCCCTGGAAAGAAGGACACTCTGCTGCTTTGAGTGTTTCTGAGACTACACTACTCACCATCAGCATAATTTAGATTGGATTACCTGGACAGGTGATCAGTCAAAAGGAATCACCAAATTGCCATATTCACAGATAACCCAGGGCTGTTCCTTGACCTAATTCTCATTAGAGGGGAGACGTGATAAAGACCCAGTGAGACCACTGCAGGATTAATGTGACCTCAGGTCTTGAACTAACCATTGTTAGTTCATTCAGAAGGTTGTCTAAATATTCAGGATCTGCCGTGTTAGCGGGTTCTGGTTTCTTTGAAATAAATGCTTACAGTGTACTCCTGGCTACCCTGACCAATCAGAAGGTGAGAATTGTACAAAACTGCTTACTAACCGTTAACCGCCCAGACTAAAGCAAGGTGTCCCGTGGACCCCTCTTGACCTCATTCTCACCCCTTCCGCTCAGGCACCGCTCTATTAACCTCTTCCTCCATGGCTATCAGAGATTTTGGATAGAAACAGAGGAGTATTCCTTTGAAGAGAAACTAGTACAGGATTTGGCTGTAAGTACTGACTCAACTGGGAGCAGATATGGGTGCGAATGAGTTTGATTTTTGTATTCATGTGTGTGCATTATAACTTTGAAAGATTCACAAAGAATCGGGTGTATAAATTTGAAAGGAACTAACTGTATAAATTATCAGAGGAAGCCCCGCTAATAATAGTCCTAAGAGCCAGAGGATGAATTTCACTTGGAGGTGCTGGTCCTGTGATCATCCTCCTCCTTATTATTAACAACTAATATTTCTTGGGATGCACAGCTGTGCCTTGGAAAGTTTGTGCCAAGTTAAGTTCTGAGCACCCTTGGTTGCAGGAGGCCAGCCTGCCCTAGCCAAGGCCCTGCATTTCTGGTGGGTAGCTCCCCTTTGGGGAAGGCACATCTAAATGCCCTTCCTGCATCTCACATTTTTGTGTTTGGCCTTTCTGAAGATTTGCTATGCCCTGTCTCTCACAGGCTTCATATGCTTAAACTACTTGAAACCACACACAAAGGGTAAAGCTTACTGCAGCAGTATCACTGAGCTTCATCCTGGTTAAGAAAGAAAATACACCCTTTGGCCAAGCCCTAGTTCTTTTCCTCTTTCTCCTTATTTCTTCCATCTGTCTTTTTCTCTAATCTCTACTCTCCATTAGTCTTACCCAGTGTATCTCATGTTTACACTTTCCATGTGACTTTATCTGTATTTCCCCATCTCCCTGGTGACTCAGAAGGTAAAGCGTCTGTCTGCAATGCGGGAGACCCGGGTTCAATCCCTGGGTCGGAAAGATCCCCTGGAAAAGGAAATGGCAACCCACTCCAGTACTCTTGCCTGGAAAATTCCATGGACGGAGGTGCCTGGAAGGCTACAGTCCACGGGGCCACAGAGTCGGACACGACTGAGCGACTTCACTTTCACTTTTCTTTCCGTCTCCCTCTGTTTCTTTTCCTCTTTCTGTCTTTTGTCCTTTAATCCTTTCTTGCTCATTCTCTTTCCCTTTCTCTTTATGCCCATCAATGTTTCCCTACATTCCTGTCAGTGAGAAAGACACTTGCTTGATTTTCCCAGTTTCTTGATTAGTGTGAAGTTGACAATGAGCATCATTTCAACGTTCCCCTTCTTCTGAACCACTCACACAACCTATGTAGTTCTCACCCGTTTACTGAGTATGGTCCACCCTGCTGGTTCTACCACTGCTGGGAAATCAACCTATTCATCTGGCATCAGCTGCTATTTCTGTAAAAGGAGACAGAAAAAAAGACTTGCTCCGAGGAGAAACTGCAAGGCTCGCAGCTCCAGGATAGCATCTCTCAGGAACAGCAAGATTTTCAGGATAAAGGTTGAGGTCAGAAAAGAGAAACATTTCACTGGGTTCAGTCTAGGATAGCTGTAGACGCCCAAATGGCCCCAGTGCTTTGTAACTCTTGCCCCACCCCCATTCCCAGCCCAGCTCTGCAAGAGAAATGTCAGGTGTAGGTGGAGAGATACCGCCTCTTCGGTGCTCTCCAGGGCTTCCCTCCTGAATGCAGGTGCCCAGAGCTTGCATGAGAGTTCTGCTGACTGGAGTCTGGAGCGCCTCCCCTGCAGTCAAGCTTTTGCTTTTCCTCCCATTTTGTTTTAACCCAAAATTGCAATGTTTATTTAATTGGCTGAAAAATATATTTATATATAAATATCATTCCCAGACCTTGCATCCTTAGGGCTTCTGTCCTGAAATAAACGTATGACGTCGTGGTTCTCTTTGTGCTTTGAGTTGATGCGCTCTGTGCCTGGTGCTTCACCTTTGTTCGCGTGCGGTGGTATGTCACGTGCTGAAATTCATGCCTGAAACCTATCTGCCTCGGTTTGTGTAGAAATCCCCCAAGGTGGAAGAGGAGGAGGAGGAAGAGGTGGAAAAGCAGCCAGACCCGCTTCATCAGATCATCCTCCACTTTAGCCGCAACGCTCTCACGGAGAGGAGGTCAGCACCATGGGGCGCCCTGCTCACATCCCAGGCACAACTGGGTCCTTCCCAAGCTGTCCTCCCCAGGTGTGCACAGAGCAGGTGCCAGATTTGAACAGCCCTCCTCGCTGTCTTGTTCTTGGCCATCAAGAAACCTCTAGAGGAAAATACAGAAACCATAGCCCTCTTATCATATTGCCTGACACTGAGTCTGAAGATGAAGCAGCCTGAAACTGTAACTTCATCCCTGAATTCCATGTCCAGCCAATAATGATTCAGATTTTCAGAGTGGTTTCTAAGAATTGGGGTAAGGGAGGAGGGCTTCTAATTAATTCACTTGTATATTAGGATTTATATGCCGCTCAGTCTTTTCTACTGTGTTCAAAGTCAGTCTGCTAAATATTTCCTCCATTCTCTCCAGCAAACTGGAAGACGACCCTTTGTACACCTCCTATGCCAGCATGATGGCCAAGGTACACTTGGTTTTCTTCCTGTCATTGCAGTCTTCCCGCTTCCCTTTGACCTCCAGGCACGTGGAAACTGTCACGTTGGGCAGCTGGCCTGGGACTTGGGTCATGGCGTGGGCTCCAGGCTTTGCACAGTTCATGTGCTTTGCAGGCAACATTAGTAAGCCGTTCTACCATCATCCTGTGAAAACGGTGCTTTGCAGAAACAGTGGGGTCTGGTGCCTGGGTTCACATGATACTTCTCAGCCAGCTTCACAGGGTTCAGGTGTCCACATCATCCTCGAATTTTCTCTTAATGCTCAGAACACGCCCAACAGTTCAACCATGTCCGTAGGTGAAGGAAATCCAGTACATTTGAAAACAGGCTTAGAAACTAGTGTTCTAGAAGAGGCGAAGTGACCAGAGAGGATGTTTCTAGGTCACACGGGGTCAGTGGCCTCTGGAATGCCGGTTGATTAAGCGAAACTACTGCTTCTCCAGTGGGAGCACTTCATGTCAGGCAGAAATGGGGGTGAATGTGGAGGGTACAGGAGCAACCCATTCCTCTGCCAGGTGCTCCACGGGGTCACGTCAGGATTCACATCCCGGCTTTCCCTAATCTTATGGCCAAGTCTCTGACTCATGTTGAGAATGGGCCAGCTCTTTGCACTCCTATCTCCCAATTTACAGCAGAACTTTACAGAACTCTATTAAGTAGGAGAGTTCAGGTCTGTAGTTAAACCAAGGACATCTCCTTTGACTATGTGAGCTCGGTGTTCCCATTTCTCTTTTCTGAACTCCTTGGTAACCACAAAGGTGGTATTTAGAGTAGAATGTTGCCTGCTGGGATCCAAATGTTCCCAGTTTTACAGAGTGCTGAGGTCCTGAGGTGCCTGTGAATTACAGCCCATCCCCTGCCCCAACACAGTAAAGCAGAGTCCTGTTTACTAGGCCCGCCTTTAACCTGACTGTTTGCCTCCTCCTCTCCCGGCTGCATGGAATCCAGAGTTGTCAGAGTGGGGAAGACGAAGAAGAGGAGGAAGACAAGGAGAAAACATTTGAAGTGAGTTCTCACTAAGCTGGAAGCCAGCCAGGAGGGCCTTCAGGGGTGGATGCTGACATCAGCCATGCAACTCGCCCACCATGTAGGTCAGGTGGCAAGTACGCAAGTCGGCCCGGACGAGCGCGTTGGCTGTGGTTGCTGTCTGTTGGCCTAATGAAAGGTAGCAGGCAGCCAGTCAGCCCGCAGATGGTCCTTCAAGTTTGTTCCTCTAGGAAATCTCCTACATCAACCCAAGTATGGTAGCAACAGGGGCCATGGAAGGGCACATTCAAATATTCAAAAGTGAAAATTCACAGCAGTGGAGACACTGGGTGGTTTTTGCACTATTATTCTGTAAATGTACTTAATCTTGATTTGGGGCAGTGTGGGACCCTGAGTCTCTCAAAATAAAACTCCGCTAGTTTACTTGTACTGTTTTATAGACGAAGTATTCAAGAGTACACGTAAATGAATACAGGGATTTCCCTGGTGGTCCAGTGGCTAAGACTCTGCACTCCCAATGCAGGGGGTCTGGGTTCTATCTCTGGTTCTATCCCTAGATCCTATATGGTGCAACTAAGACCCAGGGCAGCCAAATATATACATATATTTTTTTAAGTAAATGGATACAGTTCTGGAGAACTTTGGCTTCTAGCATCTCACATTTGTTAAGTGTGGTCTAAGCTTTCTGGATAAGTAGGCGTTTGCTATACTCAGATGAATTCCAGCTGAGCAAGTTTTCCTTTATAACATTGAAAACAAACCATTTTAGTCTGAGGTCACTTTTTTTTTTTTTTTTTTTTTTTTTGCNGTTTCTCTGGTTGGAGTACCTGGGCTTAGTTGCCGCATGACATGTGGGATCTTAGTTCCTGACCAGGAATCGAACCTGTGTCCCTGTTTTGGAAGGTGGATTCTTAAACACTGGATCACCAGGGAAGTCCCTGAAGTCACTTTCTATAATCATAGTGTCACTGGAGAGTGGACTGTGTTTTGTACTTCTCAATACAGAAAGTAGAAATTTCAGCATCAAAATGTGAGTAAATTATGGATGGACAGTTTTGGAAAACTGGGTCGCATCTAAGAATAAACTTCCAAGATCTGTTTTGTTCAAAATTATGTGTGTTGCCTTCCTAGGTGAGTAAAGAGTCTCTCTCTCAACTCATCTGACTACAGTGAATTCTCTGGGGGTAAACAAATGCCCTCCTGCCCTGCTATTTTTTCCAGGAGAAAGAAATGGAAAAGCAGAAAACCCTCTATCAGCAAGCCCGGCTGCATGAGCGTGGAGCCGCCGAGATGGTCCTTCAGATGATCAGCGCCAGCAAAGGTGATCTCAGAGACTTGTGCATGGGTCCCTTAACTAACACTGAGATGTCACCCTGTGACATGAAGTCATTATTAAAGAATCTGGATAAAGCCCAGTAGGTGTGATTTACCCTGTTACCTTGGTGATTCCATCTAATCTTTACTTCGACAGGTGAGATGAGCCCCATGGTGGTGGAGACTCTGAAGTTGGGGATCGCCATTCTGAATGGGGGCAATGCCGGTGTGCAGCAGGTAATGGGGGCTCACAGGAGCTGGTGCAGACTTCCTGGGGTGTTTCCATCTGACAGCTGTCACACTTCGGGGAAGAGAGGTTGGCTCTGCTGCATGGATGGCCACCCAGAATCACCTTTGCTGGAGTTTTGTCCTCAGTGGCCAGTTACGTTGAGTAGCTGAAAACAGATAAAACCAGGACTGGGAGTCTGCAGACAAACATGTGCTTAGTAAAGAGGGGTTATCCAGGGTTCAAAGAGAAAAACATCACATTTGTTTCATCATTAGGTGATTTTCTGCAAAAATATACTCTAGAGGACATTTTCTCAGCCTTTGGTTTTTATTTCAACACTTTCATTTGTTAGTTGCCTTACTGTGAGCAAGAAGCTTGATCAGTTAAGTGATGTTCATAACCCCACACACTTGTTTGTTCAGTCATTCATATTCATTCATTCGTGTTAACAGCTGCTTGGTGATCACTGACTATGTACTAGGGCCAGGCTGTCTTCTGTGGGAAGAGGATGTAGCAGTGGATAACGAAAATAAAACTCCCTGCCATCATGCATTAAAGGAGAGAACACACAGAGACATACAGCGGAGTGCCCAGCACATGGAATTCATTCAACAATCTGAACTGGAACTGGCTACAGAAGATAGACATGCAGTAGTGTCTCCTGAGCACTCCAGGCTCTAGCTAAAAATAAAAGCATCTGTGTGCACAGGAAAATGAAATTTCAAAGATTGTTGGCATTCCCAGAGCCTTTGAGAATTTCCGAATTCATAACTACCACTATTGCATATAATTTTTCCCAGGCTTTTATTCGTCACAAACCAAATTTCTCATTAAGAACTACCATTTTAAAGGCACCCCTTACTTTCTGTTCTCTTCTATCACCACCCCATCAGTTGACTTTCTTACAGAGCCCTTTAAAAAAGCTAAGAAGATTCTTACTATGCCAGACCAAGTTCCTAGCTTGCCAGTAATAGAGAACAGAGAATAGTCTCTTTGTGAGAGATACTGTGCTCTGAACTAGTCTCATTACTAGCTAAGCTCCTTCCTCCAATGCATTAAACATTGCATGAGCTGTTCAGATTTTACCTCAGTAACCATAAACATTACTAGAGCCTAGTCCTAGAACCTGTTCCAAGAAAAGAGACTTCAAACAGTAAATCTTTGAAGTCAAAGATCTACTGTACCATCAACACCAGTGGACCTTTATAAAACATCTACCCTAAGAGATTCTAATTCTGTAAGTAGAGAGTGGGGCTCAGGCACATGAAAGGTTTAAGTCCACAGGTGGAATATTTTCATGCTTACCCAGGGTTGCAAAACCACCTCCTGAATCTCACTTGGTGTGCCTGAATGATTGGGAACTGCCATCTGTCCATCACAATTAGGAGGGTCGATATTTGTGCCATAGTTTTCATTGCTTTTCCTTTTCAAATGTGTCTCCCTTACAGAAAATGCTAGATTACCTGAAGGAGAAAAAGGATGCTGGTTTCTTTCAAAGTCTTTCTGGTCTTATGCAGTCTTGCAGGTAAATATGGGAAAACCACCCATAGCACTTTTTTTTTCTTTTTTTTTTTTGTTAGGCTAATTACTTTACATCATTACAGTAGTTTTTGTCATACACTGAAATGAATTAGCCATGGATTTACATGTATTCCCCATCCCGGTCCCCCCTCCCACCTCCCTCTCCACCCGAAGCACTTTTTTAAAAAGTATTTACTGTCCAGGGAAAGGGGCATAGGGTGGGAGAGTGCCACATAAACAAACTGACTTATCATGGAATTACTGAGAAGAGAATACCTACTTCAGAAGAGGATGGGTGTTATTCCTCTAGCCTTCAGGATTACCTTCAAATAGCATTCAGAAGGGAAACTGTAAAACACACACACACACACACACACACACACACACACACACACGCAGCTTACCTGTCTGCGCCTGTTTAGTGTTTGAATTGCCCTTACCTCCTTTTTTGTTATTTTGTTTTCTTTGGAGCTGAGTGTGAGTTTCTCTTATTAAACATGTATACTGGTAAGTCAAACTAGCAAAGACTGGAAAAGAGGAATACCTCAGTGTGACTCAAGACTCTGTGTTCATTAGATCCATTAGATACTTTGTTCATCTCTATCCTTAACAGTTCTTTGAGCCTGAAGAAATATTTAGTGGGTGCATATTTTGACAGAGGTACATCCTGATGAGGGGACATTTTGACATTGTCTGAAAAACAAAGCATTAAACTTTCCATTTATATTACCCAGTTGTGTAAGCCTCCCCTCTGACAGATGAACAATAGGTAACCAAAAGTCATAAGGTTACCATACTCGCTCGTTTCAGAAACAAGCCAGCAGTCTTTCTAAGAAAAGTGTCAGCTTATTCTTCAAGATTCATATATATATTGAATCATCTGCAACTCATTCTGAAAGAAGTCAAAGTTATAATTACCTAGCTCATTTGCCTCCAATTAATAATTCTTAAAATTGGAACATTGGTCCAATTGAAAATTTGGGGGATGGACTTTTTATTTGGTGAACTTCATAATATTGCTAGTCATATTTGATTGGGTAAATATTGCACCCTGGGGTTGTAGGGAACTTATCTGAGCTGCAGTACAATCCCTTGTGTTCAACTGCATTTTCCCCTCACCAACAGCCAATTCGTTTATTTCTTTTCTCTCAGGAAAAGAAAATGTAATATTGCCAGACCTGACTCACTGAGGATAAAATAGTACATGTGGACTCAAAGATGGCAAAAACCAAGGCGGTTCAGTTCCATATTGCTCATGAAATTCTCAATTAAATTTCTGAGTTCCCTTAGTAGTCTGTAGAATTTAATATTGCTAAACTAATATATAATGATGTCTTAGAGGGATAGGTGACTTACTCTTAAGAGGCCAACTGAGTTCTACCAGAAGTTTTAAGATATTCTAATGGGTTTTTGCTGATTATAAAATAATGCATATTTGTAAAACAGTGAGGCATTCAAGAAATTAAAATTTGAAATGGGTATTTGGGGATGGAATAAAGGTCAGAAATGTCTGCTGCACAGATTGTCTCCTGAATCAGCAGTGATGCTTCAAAGCAGCTATGTCCAAATGCCCTGTGTCCATATTCTCCTCCCAAAATTGAAGGATGGTATTGTATTATTCTTTTTACAGACCCTTTTTACAGCAGAATCTGGGAAAAACCAACACAAGGGCAATAGGAATTTTCACTTTCTCTGTAAAATTCATATGAATTCCAGAACATATGTGACTCCCTAAAAGGGGGAGAGGGGTGCTGGATTTTTCCCTAGAGTCTTTTCAAGCCAACCGTCATTTTTGTTGCCCAGTGGTTAAAGGAAGAGGGGAGTTTTGCAGAATCTTACTGGACTCTGCCATAAGCTTCCCTAAGGTCTATATTCTTGTGAGACTTTGTGGTCTTAAGTTCTGTGAAATCATTCATATTGTGGAAAGAGATAGACTCTGAGAGATACAGAGTGAGCCCCAATTGGAAATCATATGATCCTTATCCTCATGACCACAGCTTTGCAGTTGACCTAGGGGTTCGTGGCTAAGCAGGATTTGGTGGTGGTTGTGACTGGGAATGTTATGGGAGGTGAGGACCAAATGAAAGCCAACTTTGTCACAGGTTCAGGAACACATAGGGACACCATGGCCTCTCAAAAGCATTGTCTTGGCTATTATTGGCTCCTGAAGCATAGAGTAGAGGAGATGGCTCTCCAAAATCTGCAACTCTGTAGCTCTCTCCATGGATATTTATCCTAAGCACTAAAAGCCGCAATTCCTTGTGTTTCTCAGGGAAAAAAAAAGTAGGTGAATGTGGGAAGAACATGAATTAGTGCAGTTTAAAGTAATCTTTCCCTTAAGAAATCTTAGCTACAGATTATTCCTTCTTTATTTGGAAAGCCTTTCTAAATCTTCAGCCATAAGAAAGGACTCCAATTGGACAAACAATGACAGTCACTGTAAGTGTTTCTGACCCCTGTCCTTGCATGTGTCCAGAGCTGTGAGCTCCAGGCACTGCTTGTCACAAACCCAGAGAACCGTTAGACTCAACTGCACTGTAATGTAATTTATGGTAATACAAGGACAGGATATTCTTAGTTGATGGGTACATTGACATTAAAAACCCATTTTCCTCGCGTGCATAGCCCTGAACCTTGTTTTCTTTCGTCTGTTACAAGTGTCCTTGATTTGAATGCATTTGAGAGGCAGAATAAAGCTGAAGGCCTGGGGATGGTTACTGAGGAAGGAACACGTAAGTAACTGACGAAGGTGAAGGCTGCTCTCTTTCCGATTAAAATCCTGGTTAACTATTTATGGTTAGAGTTCCTGCTCACTGCTACTTAATCTCCAAGGACTTGCTCCATTTTAGCAAGATGTTTTCATCTGTAGTTTTGATAAAGCACATCCAGGCTGATGTGTTCATAGAACCTGTCTTAGCTGAAGACGGTCTATCTTGACATTTGTGGTTTTCTTACTGTGTTCTTTTGTTTTTCTCTTATCTCCAGTCATTGTTCGTGAGCGTGGTAAGTTTGAATCTCTGGCCTGTGTTCCTGCCATGTGTGTGAATCCTGAGGGATCTTATTTAATTGGCCCAGCACAGACACATTCTCGGCTTGGTGGTTGCATGTTGAGTTTAAGTCAGCAGTCTGTTGTTTAATTAAAGAAGTGTCTTCCATCTTCTAAAGCATGGGTTATGGACTGTGAACCGTTACTGCCAGCAGCCTAGTTGTTTTCCTTCCAAATGCATCCCGGGGCTAACAATTCTGGGTGTTGCCTCAGTTCCAGTTTAAATTGGATTTGTCACCATTCATCCAAAGTTCCCTTTCCACACAGCTCTGACACAGTTCCTTTAGCATTTTTGCAGTCATGTGTATCCGAAGGTATTCTATGTTGAAAAAGCAAACAAATGCTTGCCCATATTCTGTGTTTTCAAGGTGAAAAAGTACTCCAGAATGACGAGTTTACACGAGATCTCTTTAGATTCCTACAGTTACTTTGTGAAGGACACAACAGTGGTAAGTGGAACACATTGATTTGTCAAGGGAAAACAACATTCAGGTGCAAAATTATGATTCATTTCATGTTGCCACCCTTAACACAACCAATTGCTAATTCAAGGACAACAGTTAATCCATTCCTCAATTAGAAAAACGCTATGTAACATGAGCTTGGCTAGTGTTATTTAGTGCCATCCAGGCTAAGTTGCTTCCAGAACCTTCAGATGTTGAAGTTAAATGCCTACCCCTTGCTGTCAAGTTCCTCAGAGCTCATGAAGTCCAGTTTCTGGTGTCACTGGGATGGGTGGGCTCAGGGTGGTGCTCTGACCACCTTCCAGGACCCAAACAGGGTGCCCTTGTCAGGCTTTCCACACAGTGCGTCTCTTCTGAGCTTAGCTGAGAGGGTAAGACTTGCTTCTCAAACGTGACAGGGATGAGCTCTGACCCAACCCTGGTATTCTCAGATTTCCAGAACTTCCTGAGGACCCAGATGGGCAACACCACCACCGTGAATGTCATCATCAGTACCGTGGACTACCTTCTGCGTCTGCAGGTGAGTGGGTGCTGGATGTTAGCACAGCTCATATACACTTCTAGAAGCTAAATACAGTTACAGAAGGTCAGGGATGACTGAGGATGTGGTCCAGCACGAATGCAGAAGATACTATAATCCATGTCCACACACTTATGGGAAGTCAAATACCTCAATGTGAGTTTGAAGACTGAAATGATAAAGAGCTGCTGAGCTGAAGTCGCTCAGTCATGTCCGACTCTTTGCGACCCCATGGACTGTAGCCCCCCATGCTCCTCGGTCCGTGGGATTTTCCGGGCATGAATACTGGAGTGGGTTGCCATTTCCTTCTCCAGGGGATCCTCCCAACCCAGGGATCGAACCCGGGTCTCCCACATTGTAGGCATACGCTTTACCGTCTGAACTACCAGGGAAGCCCTGAAATGATAAAGAGGGAGCGGTTAAATACGAAATCTATTATAACCTGCTGCATTGCTTTATTTTAGCTGGTGTAAACTTAGCCACAGTGCTCCAGAGCTATAAAACAACCTGTGAGTGAAAACAGACTTTCACTAGGAAAAAGGGATACAAAAAGTGATGGAAATGAGTTTACAAGTTCTTAGTGTTCAGACATCACTTGGTTTAATTGTTTGGAGGAAAATCCAAATAATTTCAAGAAGATCTACACAAACATAAAAAAGGATTCTCTTTTCTCTTTGCTGATTTCTCAGCCTGGTTCTGCCCCTTACCAGTTCATGACCTGGAGCAATCTATCGAGCCTCCTTGTGTTCCATTCCCCTGAACTGTAAAACGAGGAGTGTACTGTCTCATTGGGTGGTAGTAAAGATGAAGAGGTTTAGTACATGTAATGTGCTCAGAACAGTGCCTGGTACTGACAGTGCCGGCTATTATATTGCTGAGTATTTGGGTGATCATATTTATCTTTAACATCTTACATTGTGAATAAATTGTCCTATAACATGGTCACCCAGCTCCGGCTGAACACTGTCCTCTCTTTCACCTGTTCTTTCCTGCAGAGGGGAAGTATCTGTACTTAGAACATGCTTGGGATTGGATGTCTCTGTGCTTTCTCAGAGAGTCCCAGGCTCCAGTCATAACAAAGTGGTCACGGAAATGTAGGATGCTCTTGTACTCTTCCTGAACATGAGATTTAGCTTCACTTACTGATATGTGAGAAATACTAAACTCTCCTTGTTTGTTCTTAGGAATCAATCAGTGATTTCTACTGGTATTACTCAGGGAAGGACATCATTGATGAATCTGGACAGCACAATTTTTCCAAAGCCCTGGCGGTCACCAAGCAGATCTTCAACTCTCTTACAGAATACATCCAGGTATGTGCTACAAAATGTTTACTTGCAAACGAAGGGACCTTTTTTAACATTCCCATATTCTGTATTCCCTGCAGAATATTTGGCTGCACATGTGGACTGTGGATCCAGCTCTAGCCCTGACAGTATTTCTTATCTATAAACAGGAATCAATAGTACCTACACTCTATGAAAAGCTGTAGTTTATGGACCCCACTATGACTTGTATATAGTATTTTCACACTTGATTTGCACTGATCTAATTAACATTTTTCTTTCACTCCTAGACTGAAATTTTTTGCAGACAGAAAATTTCTTAGGTGTTTTAAAATTCTTCATTTCTGGCATGTGTGGCACATCATAGGTGTTCAGTAAGTGTGGAGAGTGGAGTGGAGAAATAATTGATAGTATGAAGGAATAAAGGGACAAATGATATTATCTTGAGCTTTGATGTTAAAAACAGAGTTCATGAGAGCCTACTCATTTGTCAGAAATCAGCTCTATGGAAAAGGAACTTCAGAAGCAATAAACTAAGCACAATGACAGGCACATCAACAGGTGAATTTCAGGGTGAATGTCTACACCTTACAGCATTTGCTATTACATCTTACAGCATTATGTATTCATTGCCTGCAGTGTGGTCTCATGAAAGGAATAGAGGATGTCCTCAGGCAGAATTTGCTGTAAAATCAGTAATCATATCATGGTCCTCTGTGGTGGAATCTAAGATTTTTTTTTAAGATCTATATGATGAGCCAGCTGGCACACTCAGATCATATCTGCTTACTGAAACACGAGACTAAGACTTGAAAAGAAGAAGGAGTTCAAGAAGAGATTGATCCATCTTTACTCAAGGATTGTAAAAACATAGGGAGATACAGGTAGGAACATGTGACCAATCTGAAGTTTCACAGCATGTGAACTGCTTGTGAAGATCATTGAACAGATTGACGAGCATCTGATTTGCTCTCTGCAGAACCCATCTTAAGCTCCAGAAAATTCCATGGAGCACTTAGCCCAAAAGTAAAAGAAGATTCACCCTTATTTGGAGGGAATCTGAGATTCTTTAACAATCAGTTTTATTTCAAAAAAGAATCTAGAGGCATCTCGGGATCACATACCAAGTGTACATGAGCAGTGAGTTTTAAACATGCTTACTTGATTTAGGGATGCAGGCAAAATTTCTGCTGCTCACCTCTTCCCTGGGAATTCAGCCCAGCCTTTTCTAGAACTTGATACTAGAACACTAATATCAGTGTTCCTTTTGAAAATTAATTGTGTGATTTGGAGAGTGATTAAAGGGTAGAAAAATACAGGAAAAAGCATAAGGAACATAAGCGGAATGTGACAGAGAAGACTCAGTGTATAAACAATAAATAAAATAGTCTCATTGAAGAGGTAGAGAGTAAGATGCTGGCCTAAGAAACTTTGGAAATGAGAACAGTCTGAAAGACCAAAGGCACGAAGAACTTGACATAAGCACTTTGGTTGATGACGTTTTTCCCATGTGGGTACGTGTTAATAATTCTGAAACCATACATACAGTGGATTGGCCAAAAAGTTCATTTGGATTTTTCCATACAATTGTACAGAAAGCCCTGAATGAGCTTTTTGGCCAACCCAATGTAATGGAAATAAGCCATGTTTCTCACTGATGAGCAAGCAGAAGAGACTAGAACATCCCTATGGGAATGAATGAGAGTTGGAGACACCCATATGCTAAACTCATGTTCATCTTAACATAGATATAAATGGTTACATATGAAAATATTTATGGATATGTGTATATACAAGAATTAGTAAAACACATTTCTGCTGCTCTGTCAGCCAGGAACACCTAAGAAAATGATATCCCAGTAGCAGCAAATACAACTAGAGCCTAGTTCTTGGTTCCTAATACCACTCTCCATTGAAAGGAAATAAGGCTCCTTAGAGAAATGACTGATTCTAGAACTAGCGCAAGAAACACACAAGATGAGCCTGGAGAATCCTATATTGCAAGAAAATGCTAAAAAATAATGGTGGAGGTATGTCAAAGGGATACAGGAGCCAACTGAAAGAGCTCCCAATGGCCAAAATTAGAAAAATTAGAGCTACAAAATAATGTAAATAAAGTAATATTGATAACCCAAAGCATAAAATGAATATGTCAAGTCCATACTGATGTAAATAAGTGCTGAATAAATAAGAACAGACAACTCTCCAGAAGAATTCCAAGAGATTTATTTTTAGAAAGAAAAGAAACAGTGGTTCAATAATGATCTTCAGAAGTAGGGAAGGTTATTAACATAGAAAATGCAGAGTGGTCATCAAGTCATCCCTCTGTTTGGCTTTTAGAAAAGAGAAATGATATACCTGACGTGTAGGTTAATGATAAGAAAATCCTGAAAGTAGTTTAACATTCATAATTCAGATTTTTTTACTTGAGTAGATAGCCATGTGGTCATCACATTTGAGTAGCTTTGCCTGCAGACAATGGAAACACAGGGGCCTCGTTTTCAAATTGTTCTCTTTTCAAACTGAAACTCCTCAGAACCCCTCTTAGGCCAAGGTTGGGAGCTGGGGTTGGCTTCAGCCCTGTTTCAACCAGAGCATTTACTTTTAAAATAATGTTCTTTAGCATAAGAACAAACACTAAAGAAAATCTCTGAAAATCACCACACTGTGAAATTCCTAGTGACTTTTCCTCGAAATAGGATCTTAGGATGGGTTGGGGGGTGGGGTGCACACAATGGAGTTGGGGGAGAAGTAATAAGTAACCTGGGAAAATATTGAGCTACGAGATATGTGATACTTGGAAAGAGTTGATGTCAGATGCCCTTAGTAAGGCAAATTTCAGAGCAGCTTGTGATGCTTCAGTGAGACGAGAATGCCTTCCTCTCCTCAGGGCCCGTGCATTGGGAACCAGCAGAGCCTGGCTCACAGCAGGCTGTGGGACGCAGTGGTCGGCTTCCTCCATGTATTTGCTAACATGCAGATGAAACTCTCTCAGGTACTGTGGCCTGTTCCCTGTTCCCCATGTGTCACTGATGTGAAATGCTTGGTCAGTCCCCACGCCATGGTCTTCCCACTGTGGATGTGGCTGCTTGACCAAATGCCTGGAAAAGCCAAGCAGATCAGATCTCACTTGTAAAACAAGGGCCTCAATGGGAGATGGGAATGAACACCTCCTGGGGGGTCCCAGACAGGCTTTTGCATGAACACAGCTTCCTCCTTTGTGTCCCACCCACCTATCCTTTCCATCATTGCCTCAACAGTTGCTTTTTATGGTGCTGATCCCTTTTGCTTCCTTGTCACTGTTTCACAGTTTATGAACATGATCCACCACCTTGTCTGATCTGTCCAATGTCTGCATGTCTCTAATTCACATCTCCCTTCTCTCTCAACCTTTGCTGCCCCTATTCCCCATCTCTGCTTTTCCTTCTCACTCCCCATCTCTCTGGCAAGATGAATTGGAATCACTCAGAGCATTTATACGAACAAATAAATGTAGTGTCTGTAGTAGTTGATCGCCTCTCTCCATGGCAACACATGAGGGAGAATGTCAGGATACGTTTCAGGCTGATTAGGGTCACATTGGCAGCATTCATGTAAATAATGTGTATCTCAAATTTTCAAGGCTGTCACATCTGCCTCTCTCTTTTGGAATGTGCTATTTACCCCTTTCATTTTTCCCCTTTTGACTCTGGCCTTATGGGAGGAGAGAGTTCTTGGGAGGGCTGCCAGTTTGGCAGTGATACATCCACTGCTGTGTCAACCCAGCAGGGCAGTGTGGTGCAGAGCCCATAGAGACAAAATCCTGACCCTGCCACCTCCTCATGGGTGTCTTCCAGGAAGTCACTTCCCCTTTCTGGTTTTTACTTTCATCATCTAGAAAAGATTGGGAGTTAGAATAGATGATGACCTCAGAGGGCTCTTCAAGCTCCAACAGTGTACACTTCTGTGATGTTCTGTGGATATCTGTGACTCCCTCCAAAGGTGGGAGGAAAGCCTTCTGAAATCGGAAGGGCTAGCTCAAGAACTGTGTCCTGGTGAGAGAGAGTCTGTAAAAGAAGTGTGGCCCACAACCCATATTTTTAATCTCACCCTCAGATTCCCCACCTCAGACCTTCCAAGGGTTGTTTCCCTTCTGTGACACAGGTATCAAACCCAGAGCCCACTTGGCAATGCCTTTGTCTGCCATGCTGAAATGAAAACCAAACAGACTGGTATCAAAACCATCCGGAGGAATAGCCTCAATGATACAACATTTTAAGGGACGAGTGGTACCCAGATCACCACCGATTAGAATCAGGAGAACCTAAATTAAGAAAAAAAAGGAGAACCCATTTGGTGATTGAAACCTTGATCATTTAATTGGATTGCAGTATGTATTCCCCAAAAGCTCACCGGTAATTCTTCAGTATGAGAAATGGCAACCTAAGCTACTAGAGATACCTAACGGGTCTTTGGTGGTTTGGGTTGTTCAGTGTTTTGGACAATTGGTGTATCTGACATGTTGTGCTAATAAAAGGAAAACTGTAAAGGAACTCTTCTGGATGAGGCCTGTTACAGCGAGCCTCCTGATGCTACAAAGAGAGGATGCTAAGCTGTCCGCATCCACCATGAGAAGGGAGCTCATTCTGGAGATGGACACAGCCTTCACCTGACCTTCCCAGAGCAGGCTCTCCTTGCTCACTGCCCTGTACTTTGCTGAGGGATCAGATAGCTCAGGGGTATCTCCTGTTTCTGTTCTAGGATTCCAGTCAGATCGAGCTGCTGAAGGAACTCTTGGATCTCCTTCAGGACATGGTGGTGATGCTTCTGTCCCTCCTGGAAGGTTGGGCTGTTTGGTATAACTAGGCATTCACACGACTGTCACTGGTCCGAGCACTAACCATACTAATCACGCAGAGTATCCTTCTGGCAGGTCATTGATGCCAGATGACATTGGTTAGAAAACCAAATTTTCAGAAACAGACAAAAGAAAATGAGTGAGGGGCACATGGTCTGATGGACAAAGCCTGAAACCAACTCATTTTGTATCAGTAGGAAAGCCAGAATGAACTGGGGAAAACCTCCAAGCTTTGCTCTTCCCTATCCTCTCCTCTCCCCATTGCTTTTCAATACATCTGGCTGCCAGTGTGTATGCCAGCCATCTAGTTGGGCACCCTCCCAGGTCTAAGGGCATTAGAGGGGCACCACTTATCCCCATGTGTCCCTGATAACCTGATAACAAAGCCACTCTGCAGGCCCCAGGCCAGGTAGAAGGCACTGGCGTGGCCATCTCCTCCTTCCCCATGTTTCTTTCCCCCTTGGCTCCTAGTGGTGTAGTCTTTATGGCTTGCTGCTCCCTCCTACCCATTTCCAGATCATCACGGTCAGAAAGAGAGCTGACCGATTTGGGATAGAAGTCTTCTAAAAATGTCTGCCTGACCAGTTCCATGATGACTTGGGTTTATTTATGTATCTGTGTGTCTTTTTGAACCTGCCTCACAGGGAATGTGGTAAATGGAACCATTGGCAAGCAGATGGTTGACACGCTGGTAGAGTCATCTACCAATGTAGAAATGATCTTGAAATTCTTTGACATGTTCTTGAAACTTAAAGACTTAACCAGCTCAGACACCTTCAAAGAATATGACCCCGATGGGAAAGGAATCATTTCCAAAAAGGAATTCCAGAAGGCCATGGAAGGGCAAAAGCAGTACACACAGTCGGAGATAGACTTTCTCCTTTCGTGTGCAGAAGCTGATGAAAATGACATGTTTAATTACATCGATTTTGTTGACCGGTTCCATGAGCCAGCCAAGGACATAGGGTTTAATGTGGCAGTGTTATTGACAAACCTTTCTGAGCATATGCCAAACGATTCTCGCCTTAAGTGTCTGTTGGACCCAGCAGAAAGTGTACTCAATTACTTCGAACCATACCTGGGACGCATTGAGATCATGGGTGGGGCCAAGAAAATTGAGCGTGTTTATTTTGAGATCAGTGAGTCCAGTCGAACTCAGTGGGAGAAGCCCCAGGTGAAGGAGTCTAAGCGACAGTTCATCTTTGACGTTGTCAATGAAGGCGGGGAGCAAGAGAAGATGGAGCTGTTCGTGAACTTCTGTGAGGACACCATCTTTGAGATGCAGTTAGCATCGCAGATCTCGGAATCTGACTCCGCCGACAGGCCAGACGAGGAGGGGGAAGAAGATGGAGATTCTTCTTACGTGTTAGAAGTGGAGGGTGAAGAGGAGGAGGAGGAGAAGTCTTTTGAGTGTGCCTCTGCGTTTGCCATGGCGTGTGCCTCGGTGAAGAGAAACGTGGCCAAGTTTCTGAAGAGGGCCACCCTGAAGAACCTCAGGAAGCAGTGCAGGAAGGTGAGGAAGATGACCTTCAAGGAGCTGCTGACGGTGTTCTTCTCTTTCTTCTGGACGTTGTTCGTGGGGCTCTTCCACTTGCTCTTCACTGTCGTGGGGGGAATCATTCAGATCCTGTGGAGCACAGTGTTCGGAGGGGGGCTCATAGAAGGCGCGAAGAACATAAGGGTCACCAAGATCCTGGGCGACATGCCTGACCCAACCCAGTTTGGCATCCACGATGATGCCGTGGAAGCCGAGAGGGCAGAGGTGCCTGAGGCAGGCATCGCCACGGAGCTCGTGCACTTCGTAAAGGGGGAGAAGGGAGAGGCGGACCTCGTGTCAGATCTCTTTGGACTCCACCCAAAGAAAGAAGGTGGCTTAAAGCATGGGCCCGAAGTGGGTTTGGGTGACCTCTCTGAGATTATTGGCAAGGACGAAACGCCTACCTTAGAGAGTACTGTACGGAAGAAGAGGAAAGCACAGGTAAGCACGTGACTTGTTTCTGTCACCTTTCTTTATCCCCAGAAAAAGACTTGCCACTCTACCTTGCAATCAGGACTGATACCAGTTCTCTAGGAGCAGACACTGTATTAGACACCAGCTCTTCCATGATGACCCTAATCTGGTAATTCCAGCTTTGTCATGTCTGAAGAGATGAGACTTAGATGGTTGTCTCAATGTCTAATTGCTGAATGGTCTCCCAGTTTACATTGTAAGAGTTCAAACAGGGTGATCCATGACCTGCCACTTGCTTCCACACCTTTTATTAGGTTAGTTTGCAAGGCCCATGGATTCATTCAGTAACTGAAAGAGTAGAAAACCAGGTATACCATAAAAGGAGACCTTCCTGACAAAGTCATATGTCTGTAGTGTCCTGAAAGATCCAGATGTTAGCATACAGTTTAGCACAGTGCCCAGTAGTTTTGTCATGCTGGGGACATTTTCATCCTTGTGCTTCCCCCACTATCCAATTTGGACTTTGAGTTAGTGGGCTAGATTGAGTGAATAAGATAGCAAGAATTCAGAGCCCTTTGGCCATCAAAAGTTCTGGATGTTGCAGTATCCAACTCACAACATCATTCTAGCAATGGAGTATGGAGCGAAGTGTAAAGAGATCAGAGCCCAAAGACAAACTTTATTCATGAATTACATTACTGTTTACTAAATAGCTGAGGTACACTTACCACTGTTTTAGGCTCTGGGAATACAATGGTGAATGAGAAATGCATTGTTCTTATAATTCAGTGAAAAAGGTTGACATTGGACAAGTCAGTACAAGGAAGGAGGTCCATCAGTGCTATGGAAATATGGAGGAAAGGTGTGGAGAATCAAGAAAGGAAGCTTCAGAATCATAAACATTCTGACAGTATTACTTGATTTACTCTCTTTTGCTCCCTGGTGTAACCCAGGGACTAGAGCAGAGTTTGAAACAAAACAGGGACTCATTCAAGGCCTGCTATATGCCAAGCTGTATTCCTAGGATATGGGGACACATTGGTTAATAAAAGAGACAACATTTTTGCTTTCATGGAGCTTAACTTCTAGTGGAAGAAGACAGCAAATAAATAATTACCATTTGGAGCACGTGCTGAAATGAATGAACAAGATTGTGTGTTACAGAGTGATTATGGGCCCTACTATAAATAGGATGCACAAGGTGCATGTGAAAATGTGTCATCTGAAACAAGTCCTGAAGAATGGCAGGCACATCAAAAATCAGGACAGTCATATTGCAGGCAGAGGATATGGCTTGTGCTAAGGTTCTGGTACAGGGAAGCATGTCTCAGGAAAGAAAAGGAGGTCTAGGTGTTTGTGTTGGAAATGAGTCAGATGTACAAGGTGAAGATGGAGAGAAAAGCCGTAATCATACTGGCTTTAAAGGCCTCACTGTGCAGCTTGAGAGCTTCCCTGATGGCTTAGCAGTAAAGAATCTGCCTGCAATGCAGGAGCCACGGGTTCGATCCCTGGGTTGGGAAGATCCCCTGGAGGAAGACATGGCAACCCACTCCAGTATTCTTGCCTGGAGAATCCTACAGACAGAGGAGCCTGGTGGGCCACAGTCCATAGGGTCACAGAGTTGAACATGACTGAAACAGCTTAGCACATGAAGGAGCTTGAATTTTATTCTCAGTGCCATGGTCATCAATCAGAGAGGGTGGGGTAGTGGAAGAGGATTGAAGACAGGGCAGGGATGCTGTCTGATGGAAGTGGGTTCTGGATTAGACCTGCCATGACTTGTGTTCCATCTCTCCCTGACCCCATGAAGAGTAGGACCACTGCCACAGGGCTCAGGCAATGTCCTAGCACAAGTTTTCTCTTTAGATTGAATAATAGAGAGATTTTCAAGCCTAAAATCTTTGATCTCTCCAGAGCCATGTAATGTATAGGAGGACACTTATGTTCTGTGATCCTGAGAACTGCCGAAGCGTAAAGAGAGAGAGCCATTGGGATTTGTGACCATGTACAGTGGCTAGTGATATGGTTCATCATCATGAACATATTTATTTGAGGAAAGTTTAACTGATTGTCATTTTTGTCTAGGCAGCAGAAATGAAAGCAGCTCATGAAACAGAAGGCAAAATAGAGTCTGAGAAGGCAGAGTAAGTTCTTCATAGATACTCTTATTGCTATGATTGATAGTTTTCAATATTATCTACTATTCTTTGGCTATGGTAAATAGGAAGCTTGAGTTCTGTTAACAAAAGGAACTGATATTGTGCAAGCTTTGGATACATTTCTTTTTTCCTTTTTATGACTGAGTAATATTCCATTGTGTGTATGTGTGTTTATTCATTCCTCTACTTATCACTTCAGTTGTTTCCATATCTTGACTATTGTAAATAGTGCTGCAATGAACATTAGGATGCATGTATCTTTCAGAATTATTGTTTTTGTTTCCTTTGGATATATACCTAGGAGTGGGATTGCTGGACCATATGGTAGCTCTCTCTTTAGTGTTTTGAGGAAGCTCCATACTGTTTTCCATAGTGGCTGCACCAATTTACTTTCCCACCAACAGTGAACGTGGGTTCCCTTTTTTCCACGTCCTCACCAGCATTTATTTCTGTTCTTTTTGATGATAGCCATTCTGACAGGTGTGAGATGATAGCTCATTGTGGTTTTGATTTGTATTTCCCTGATGATTAATGATGTTGATCATCTTTTCATGGTTGGATACATTTCTTTTTACCCCAGCTAGATAATAAACACATTCTAATAATTGTGTTCACTTTACAGTCCAAATAGTATATCAGGGTTTCACCATCTGNCCCCAGCTAGACAATAAACACATTCTAATAATTGTGTTCACTTTACAGTCCAAATAGTATATCAGGGTTTCACCATCTGACCAAGCAAATGATCAAACACTCACACTTAGCAGCTTCATATAATGTTGATGATAGTGCTATCTATTGATAGTAATTACTGAATAACTGCTACACACCAGGCCTTTTGCTAAGTTCTTTTATGCAATACTTCATTTAATTCCTAACACAAACTTGGAAGAGGTACTATTGGCAATTCTCATGAAAGCTTAGAAAATAAAGGACAATATTTCTGAAGGGGAAAAAGTTTGGTAAGGCAAATTTCAGAAGCCTACTAAATTGTATATGTATACCTGTGACCATGACTCATCAAAGCAGGTAATCAAGCCCTGAGATTCCCGGCTTCAGGGAATATGTCTCCCACCCCTCTCAGCCCAGATTTCTCTTTAGTCTCCCTGTCAGGGTCAGGCCTCCTTCTGCCGTCTGTGCTGAGTGGCCTTGTCATTCCTGCAGCATGGAAGATGGGGAGAAAGAGGACACAGCCAAAGAAGAGGAACAAGCCGAGGCCCTGTGGGCAGACGTGACCAAAAGGAAGAAGCGACGGTGTGGCCAGAAGGTTGAGAAGCCTGAGGCTTTCATGGCCAATTTCTTTAAAGGGCTGGAAATCTATCAAACCAAGTTGCTGGTAAGCACTCTGGCCCTGGTCCCACTCGGGTGCAGGCGTTGGCACGGGCAGACCTCAGAGAGGTGGCCACTGACTTTGTTTCACCATCCGATTAGTTGTGCTTCCTCATCTTTCTCATTCCTCTTCCTTGCCTCTTCTTGATGACCTGCTTGTCCCTTCTGTGTTGGAGGGAAGAGAAAGCGAAAGTGTTAGCCACTCAGTCATGTCTGACTCTGAGACCACATGGACTGTGGCCCGCCAGGCTCCTCTGTCTATGGCAGGAATACTAGAGTGGGTAGCCTTTCCCTTCTCCAGGGTATCTTCCCAACCCAGGGATCAAACCCAGGTCTCCTGCATTACAGGCAGATTCTCTTCCATCTGAGCCACCTGTTAGAGGGAAAGGAAAAGGGGAAAGGCAAGCACCCCAGCTCCTCCGCCCTGTGCTGTCCAGGAGGGAGAGCTTTATGTGTGCCCTCTGGGGACTTGACCCCTGCCAGTCAGAAACTTCAGAAGTCGTGAGATCATTCGGATGCAGAAAGAACATTCCTGTGGTGTGTTCGGTTGTCATACTAGTTCTCAAAAGCTCTGTTACTCCACAGCCCAGCTTGTAATATCCTTTCTCTGGCGAATTGCCCACTGAGGCACAGTTGCCAAAGGCCAGGACCACACCCTCCCAGCACCACTGGTGGGAGCCTTTTCCACGGAGAGTGAGCACTCCCGCAAGCAGCTCCCATTCCTGTCCTCAATGCTGGTGTTTCCACTGGGCGTGGGGATGGGGAGAGGCAGGGGAGCTTGGGCTGTGGCTTTCAAAGGACATGGACTCTTGGCCACAGTCTGGCTCCAGTTGGGGTGGGAGCTGCAGGGTTCTTCTGTGGGCCTCGATCGATCTCACACACACACATACACACACACACTCCACCCCCACCCCCTCTTCAGAGCAGCATTTGAGACCTGTGCTAAGGGTATGTTTAGGCATTTGGTTTCCTGAGCTTTAAAATAAGCAGGGTTCCCTTGAGCATCATTCTAAGCAGTTTTTTAAAACTCATCATTTTTGATCCCCCACCAAATAAGTCGTAAGAAGGCCAGGATTGTCCTGGATAAGTGGTTACAGAAGAGTAGGACTAGCCCTGTGTAGACCTCTTCTGAGAAGATCCTCTGTTTGAGAGAGGGAAGGTCCCTCCCCCTGCCAACATGCTCCTACTTCTGCTTGTCCTTTTCTTTTCAGCACTACCTGGCCAGGAATTTCTACAACCTGAGGTTCCTTGCTCTGTTTGTAGCCTTCGCTATCAACTTCATCCTGCTCTTTTACAAGGTGATACTTCATTTGGGGGGGCGATTTGCTGAATCGATTATATGCTTTTTTAAAACGTAAAAGGAGTTATGCTCTTAATTTAAGCAAAAATTCTAATATCTAAGGAAATTTCTAAGACACTAGCTTCTAAAAAAGGATACTGTCTTTAGCAATGGAGAGAATGGAGAGACAGGTTGCAAGGGAAGCCAGTTAGGGCACCATTTCAGTCGTTCAGGGTTGTTCTAGTTGTTACTTAATTCTTCAGATATTTGTTGGATGTCTGCAATGTGCTAGACCCTATATTAGGAGCTATAAGGATTTCAAACTGAATAATAACTACAGTTCTGTGAGTAATAACAGTAACAGTCAGCCATGATAGTTAACCCATATGTTAAAACTATTACAAAGAAAGAATGAATAGAAGTTGGTTTCTGGATGTGGAGGACAGGGACTCATCAAGATAAATGGAGATTTTAAACATTGGTAAGTGAGTCTTGTCACTGTAGGTGCATAATAAATGCTAGTTGAATGAATTAATGAATGTCATAGGTCCTGGATTCTTGACATAGTCTTTAACTGGCTGTTGTCACTTGCCTCTCTCCCTTCCTATTTAAAACCACAGATCTAATTTCTATAAAACATGCTCTTACTCACATCAGTCTTGCATTTGACAAATGAATGGCTTGCTCTTGCCCATGGTAGAAAAATGGAAATGTGTCGAAGGGCATGGTGAAGTCTGGCTTTAAACACATTGAGACTGAAATGATTCAGACAGGCACGCAGGTGCAGACAGCCAGCAGGCAGCGGGACCTTCGGGGTGACAGCTTCAAAGGCGCTGATCTGAGAGTCACTGTGTAAGGATGGCTGTGATGTTAACAGCCTCTAAGAAAGAACAGAAATGTTTTGTGTGTGCTCTGTGTGCACTTGTGCATAAGTGTTTGGCTTGAGTCTCCTCCCAGGCCCTAGCATTTCAAAGATGACCTCCTACAGCAAAGGGATTGTAGAATATGTAGTAAGACGTTCCTAACTTTTTAATTTGGGGCTTATTTTCAAGAGCAAGGATTTGTCTCTTAAAAATATTGGTGGAATAAAGTACTTAAAAACCTTATTCACTCATCAGGTAATATGGAGTAAGTAGATGCCAGCAAAATAAAGTATATGGGGAAAGCCTAGTGGCAGAGGTCTTTCTGATGTTTCTAAGGGGGTGTGTATCTTGGGCCAGGTCACCGAAGAACCTTTAGAAGAAGAGACAGAGGATGTTGCAAACCTATGGAATTCCTTTAATGACGAGGAAGAGGAAGAAGCTGTGGTGTTCTTCGTCCTGCAGGAGAGCACTGGGTACATGGCGCCGACACTGCGGGCCCTGGCCATCATCCACACCGTCATCTCTTTAGTCTGCGTGGTAGGCTACTACTGCCTGAAGGTGAGCTGCCAGGCGCTCCGAGGCTAATCAGAGCCCTTGGCGAAGAAGTGTGTTAGTTTCCGGTATTTAACAAAGTGATGTATTCGTGTGTGTGTGTGTGTGTATATATATACATATATATATATATACGATTCATTCATATATCCAATCATACATATGAATATTCATATTCATTCATATATATGTCTATATATACAGATACACACGCACACATACATACACACATTTTTTCATATTCTTTTCCATTATGGTTTATCACAGGATACTGAATATAGTTCCTGGCTTTCTCTGCTTCTCTTCCCATATCATCCGTGAACTAGCAGCAGTTACTGATTCTGCACTGTGCAGTGCTCATGATCAGCCTTTGCCACCTTCATATCCTGAGTCTTTTATTTCCTCAGTGTTGTTTCCTTGTTTTAATAAAAGGGTAAGCAGCAACAGTATTTAATAGCCTGTGATAAAGCATAATAGAAAAGAATATGAAAAAGAATGTTTATGTGTATGTATATATATATATATGCATATGTATATATACATATATATATCTGAATCACTTTGCTATGTATCAGAAATTAACACAACATTGTAAATCAACTATACTTCAATAAAATAAATTTTAAAAATAGAGGAAAAGGGTAGGCAGTAACTCTTTACAAATCATTATCAAAAATTTGCCTTTTTGTCTTGGAAATTTTAAAGCAGCAGTGTGAGGGGTAGAGATATCATGAGATTTGAGAAAGCATTATTGGGAGAAATAGTTTGGAGACCAAGGTCTCAGGGATGTTGCCAAGTAACTAGTAGCTTTCCAGCTGATGAGAAGCCCTGGCTCTGTCTGAATTAAGCTTTTGTGGCTTGTGGAGCTCTGACTATCCTGCCTTCTTATATCCTGAGATTCCAGTGGTATCCTCTGACCTTACTAACTAAAGTTTGTGTGATGGTTGGGGCAAGTGGGTTATTTTCCCAGTATTTCCTGTGTACGTACCTCTTTTGCGGTAGGTCTTTATAAATGTGCCACCATATCTAGGCTAGAAGCAAAGTCATAATTATAAGAGAATGGGAAGCAATGGTAGAGAACAAGTAAGTGTTCTGGGCAGGAGCTCTTCTCAGAAGGTACGTCAGGAAGAAAACTTCAGTAGCAAAAGACTGTATACAGAGCCCAGTGAATCCTCTCATTCCAACTATTAAACCATATTTCATTAACCAAGTTTCAAAGACATGAGAATATGACCCTTGCCATTGAAGGAAGCTGGAACTTTTACCGTATTATTCCAGCTGTTCAATATAGTTGATTGAACTAGAATAGTTTATTGTCCTTTCTAAATCTTGGTCAGCCTCCAGCCTAAGAGTTTTAGGAGACTAACTTATTCAGCCCTGTTATTCATCTACATATGGCCTTCTCACCAGCACAAGCCAGAAAGTCCAGTTTGTCGTACTGTCAGCTGTTTGAAGGCTGGCCCAAATCAGATCAGCTCTGGATAGGGCGGTATATGAGCCAAAGGAGTGAGAGGTGATTTATCTAGCCTTGAATCCACAAGGTTCAAGGATTCTGAGGCACCCTAAGAATCCCGCTGCAAAGAGATTGCTGCCCTGACATTGGAAGGCCCGTTTGTGAGATATGCATGGGAGAGGATGCTGTCGTTGGAAAGCCTGCTCTGAGTACAGTGTCTTCCTGCTCCGAGGTCCCTTTGGTCGTATTCAAGAGAGAAAAAGAAATCGCCAGGAAGCTGGAGTTTGATGGCCTGTATATCACTGAACAGCCTTCTGAAGATGACATCAAGGGGCAGTGGGATCGCTTGGTAATCAACACGCCGTAAGTTGCCCCCACCCCAAAAAGGAAAAAGGAGTTTCTACTGTAAATAAAATAATACCTTTTCCAGCAGCCCTGGAGACTGATTAATATAAGCCTTCCTCTGATTTCTGGGACTTGTTTTCTCCCCTGCCTTTTCACAAAGTAGCATCTTGTTCCTCAAACAGTTGTATGTATTGCTATGCATTTAATGGCAGACAGAGGATATTATCAGAAAGTGCTGAGCATGTTTAATTAAGACCAGATGGTCCAGCACAATACTACTTAATCTAGTTTTCCATGTTTGAGTCATAGTGTTTCCTTGGCCGAGGAGTTTGGAGATCAACCTGATCAGCTTCTTCAAAGTCCCTAAATGGAACAGCAGTTCTATGACAGCACTGTCTCAGAAGTCTTCTCCTTAAACAGATAGCCTAGTGGATACCAGAACTCCTCCCAATATAATTTAATAAGCAATTCCATGGGCAGCTAAAATAGGATCATCTGGGTGATGATGTTAAGACCTATGGCGTTAAGCCTGCCTTCTTGGTAGGCATGTGTATAATTGCTAATGTGGTAGGAAAAGGCATTGATTCTGGAGGCAGAGAGGTTGAGTACTGAGTCAGCTCTCTCACTTAGATTCTGTGACCTAGGGCAAGGGAATCAAGTTCCATAAACCTCAGTTTCCTCTTTGTTAGTAGAATGATGAGAATACTACCTCCTACAGTCCTGGGATGTCACGTGGCTGTACATTGCCTTTCAATGTTAAACAAAAAAATGGCCATCACCAATAAGTCAGACAGAGAAAGATAAATACTGTGTGATATCACTTATATGTGGAAATCTAAAAAAATACAGCAAACTAGTGCATATAACAAAAAAGAAGCAGATTCACTGATAGAAGGACCAAGTAGTGATTACTAATGGGGAGAGGAGGGAGGGGAGGGGTAATATAGGGGTAAGAGAATAAGAAGTAAAAACGCTTAGGTGTGAAATAAGCTACAAGAATATATTGTACAACACAAGAAATATAGTCAAATGATTAAGATTGTAAAGTTATACATATTTTACCATAATAAAAATGTAGAAAAGAAACGACCGTTAACCATTAGCAAAGGTGATGCTCTAATGCCAGTATATTCACAATAGGGAAAATGAGAGCCGTAAGATAATGTGCTGAAAGAAAAGTAAAGCAACAGTGCTGAATATAGAAACAAAGGTAACATGGCCGCGCCAATAAAATATGTACATCTAGAAGCAGCAGCCCTGACCCTTAGGGGAAGAAAATGCTGCTTATCCAAAGTTAGTTAAGCAAATTGAGAGACGCAGCTTTGCAAAGGCACTGCTGAGCTTTGTAAAATAGTCCCTAGTAAGGGAAGGTTTGACTATTAGGGGAAAAAGGTGAGAGCCTGCAAATCAAAAGCACATTTCTGCCTGCAGGTCACTACCAATCTCCCCACTTAAAACTAAGGGAAACTACTAAGACTCATTTCTGAGCCCTCGTTATTATAGTACAAAAATTTTGAATATTAATTACAGAAAGCTTACCAAAGAAAGATCATTGATCAGTTAACGCTTGTGTCTGTGGCACAAGATGATATGGCCTAAGAGTACCAGTAAAAAGACAGTGTAGTTTCTAGAAATTTATCCTCAGGAGATAATGAGACAAGTACACTAAACTGTTTTGAAAAGGATGGTTGTTAACATTTATTTGAAGTGGCTGAAATACCCGTGAATAGGGAAATGCATGTATAAGGAGAACAGCTGTTTTAAAACATTTCAATCAATGAACCTTTTTCTTCACAATAATGGTATCATTGTACATGTAGTACTTTGTAACCTTTTTTAAAAGTTAACTGTTATGTCATAGAGAGCTTTCATATTCTTATGTTGTTAAATACATATAGAAGAAGATATAGAATGCATTTCTATTGTAAAGTATAGTAATAAAATGAACTACAAATCTTTGAAATTGGAACATCAATGAAAACTTTGAAGTCTTAGATATTATCCTCCCTGTCCTCCCCAGACCCCAGCTAACCACTCTCCTAATTTTAGTGATACTCATTGTTTTGCTTTAGTATATAGTGTTACCACTTAGGTATGTGTCCCTAAACATGTGGTTTCATGTTAACTAGTTTTGAACTTTATATAAAATGGAATCATTGTACTGTCACTTGAAGCATTTGCTCAGCACCCCATTCAAGAACTCAGCTAGGTTGATGTGTGTGGCTGTAACTGGTCATTTTCAAAACTGTGGCACTTTCCATTCGGTGAGTATATTATTGTATATTTAGCTGTTTTCCTGACAGTGGATACTTCAGCTGTTTTCAACTAGTGGCTGTTACAAGCAGTGCTCTAAAGAATATTTTTATACCTGGTGCACAAGTAAAATAGTTTCTCTAGACTAGAGACCAGGAAACGAATTTGCTGACTAGTAGGATCTGCAAACATTTATCCTGATTTACATTAAACCAGTACCCTGCGAGAGTTCCTGCTTCTCTGCCTCCTTGTCAGCAGTTGTTGTCCTCAGATAACTTTGCTAATCTGGTAGGTGTGTAATAACATCTTCTTGTGCATTTTGCTAATTTCTTGTGCATAATTTCGAAGAGATTGAGCCTCTTATGTTACTTTTCTTGACCATTCACATACAGATGTATCACTTATTTATGCATTTCCTTTCTGAATGTTCTTTGCCTACCCCTCACTTAAAAGAATATTACCAAGTGGAATTATGCTTTCTACCTTGAAGGAGCTTACATGTCTAGTCAGGGGACAAGAATATTCAGATCAAAGTAAGATCACATCTGTGAAAGGGGCTTGACCAGAGCCTTCTGTCACTGGCCCTTCAACATCATTTGTGGAATCCTCCACCTATGCCAAAATGTGGCCAAGGCTGAGTTGTACGTTACAGACCATTTGTATAAGATTTAAGAGAAAGGAGACATCAGTGTGGATAGAGGAAGGGTGGCTTATTTTTGTTTTGTTTATTTTAGGTTCTAAATATAGGACATGAAAAATATCAAGTAGCAGAAAAACGGACAAAGAAGAAAATCAAAATAACTATTTCCATCTTCCATAGATAAAATCTATTAGCAGTTTACTTTGTAAGCCCAGCATTTGTTTTTTGTTTTTAAGAATCATTTGGACATTTAAGAGTGAGACTGTTTCAAATATCCCAAAAAATTTTTTTAAAGATTTGCCACCCTGTTATGGGAGAGATGGCATTTGCTCAGGGTTATTCTGAAAGGTCCGTAAACAGAGGGTGCCCCCACTTCCTCATCACCAACTTGGGTGGCCTCTATAGAGTAGGAGACTGTTGTGTTCCAGAGCTAACAAGAATGACTTAAATGAAGGAAGGCATTAGTAAGAATGCTTGCTTGCATCAAGGGCAGAGGTTCCTTGGCTACAAACTAGACTCACATGGAACCTCTCAGGTAACATTTAATCTTTCCAGATAGGAGCAAAATATCTTAAATGGTTTCTGCCAACACACCTGAAAGTAAGTTCTTTCTTGACTCTAACAATAAGAAGCTATTTGCAGTGGAGCTGGTACAAGCTGCCTAGCAGAAGAAAGAAGTTCCCTCGTGGGCTTAAGATTTGGATGGTGTAGGGACCGTTTCCAAAGGAGAGAGGGATCTGATGCCTGGAGAAGGGGGAAGCTGTACCCCACAGGAATTATGCTGGAATGGAGAAGAGAGGAGAAGAACACGCCATTAGGAAAACCCCCATGTAAATTAGCTAATGGGGATTTCCAGACTGGAAACTTCAGAGTTAGGGACTTTGTCCACACTTCCCACCACTGTGACTGCAGCACCTACCCCAAGTACTGCTGTAAGGTAGGCACTTGAAGTGAAAATGAAACTCACTCAGTCATGTCCGACCCTTTGCGACCCCATGGTCTATACAGTCCATGGAATTCTCCAGGCCAGAATACTGGAGTGGGTAGCCCTTCCCTTCTCCAGGGGGTCTTCCCAACCCAGGAGTCGAATCCAGTTCTCCCACATTGCAGGTGGATTCTTGACCAGCTGAGCCACAAAGGAAGCCCAAAGTGAGCACTTGATGAAGGTTTATTGCATGTGTTTCCTGGCTCTTAACCATAATTTTGAAGTAGAAAATGCAAAGTAGCTTTTCCGGTGCTTCAGATGAGAACTCACCACAAAGTGAGATCAGAAATCTGGTAGACCTGTGGTGACTCTGAACTTCAATCAAGTCTTAAATTCTTCAATCAACAGGACAAAAACCAAAAAGATCATAGGTCCAGACACTCGAAAACTGCCAAGTTTCTTGATGTGCTTGCCTTGATGTTAAGAAAATCTCCTTTTTCATTTTCTTTTTCAGATCTTTTCCTAATAACTACTGGGACAAGTTTGTAAAGAGAAAGGTATGTCTTGTCAGGGTGGCAGGGGAATTCCATGACCTCCAAAGAAATGTAAATTTCTCCAAGTTCTCCATTTACAAACATGGATCAATTTAATGCTGCCTTTTTTTATGGTATCACAAGGAGAGTACGTCAACAGAAAGGGTTTTATATGAACTTACGTCATTTGGGGGCTTAGTTCCCACACTCATGCTTTAAACAGCTTAACACAATCACTTTTCTAGGTACTAGGTTTTTCCCTCCCTTCCAAAATGATAGCCAGAAAAGCAGTTCTCACTTAATTGTCTTTATTGCTTCTGTTTTCTGTGGGGGTTATTTTCTCTCTTCATTTCCCTTTTGCATTTTGATTCATATCAACCCCTTGGAAGAGCCCAGAGTGTGACACAGTTCTGGAGACATCGGGGCTGGAGAAAACACTGATGGTGGTGCATGACCTGAGCTCACCCTGTTCCCTTCTCTGCTTTAGGTGATCAACAAATATGGAGATCTCTACGGAGCAGAACGCATTGCTGAACTCCTGGGTTTGGACAAAAATGCCCTTGACTTTAGCCCAGTGGAAGAGACCAAAGCTGAGGCGGCCTCCCTGGTGTCATGGTACAGAGTTTAGGAGTTAAATCTCAGAGTCTGGCTGCCTAAACCCTTTGTCTTTCCAGCTGTCTTCCCTATGCTGGAGGCAAACTCATAATCATCTTTGTTGGATCGGGCTCTGGTTTAGCCTAAGTGTTTCTTCTAGGTTCTAATATTGGGGCAGTGGGGGGATACTACTTTAAAAAAATGTAAAGACAGCCTTCATGCCTGATAGAGCTGAAGGAGAAAGACATTAAAATTTCAGGATGTGTGATTCAGCTACTCATTCTCATGGCGAACACATACAACTTCATAAAGCTCAGAGCTGTATTTATAGATTTAAACCCCAAGAGAGAAAAAAAAAAAAACACCCTTTTTCCCTTATTAAACACTTAAATCTTGACATTTGTAAGTTTTGAAATGACTTGTTCCCCTTTAGGCTAAGTTCCATCGACATGAAGTACCATGTCTGGAAGCTGGGAGTTGTTTTTACTGACAATGTAAGTATGGCATCTGGGAAAGTGAAATCCAGTGCCCCCAAGTCTAGGGATGTCATTAGATGCCACAAAGAAACAAGCTATGGAGGCGGCCCAGGAAGATGCAGGGAGTTCTTGTGGAAGACAGACAGCCTTAGGGTGTGGGGGGACACTTCTCTCTCATGCAATAGTATAAGGCTGAGGGGGGCTTCACTTGGCAATTCTTGGGTCAGTTCACAGCCCAAGATGAAAAAAGTGGGTTTCATGAATGCCTGAAAAGCTGCTCAATTTCTTCCACTCCCCAGTCCTTTCTCTACCTCGCCTGGTACACGACCATGTCAGTCCTGGGCCACTACAACAACTTTTTCTTCGCTGCTCATCTTCTGGATATCGCAATGGGCTTCAAGACTCTGAGGACTATTCTGTCATCTGTCACTCACAATGGCAAACAGGTATGGGGTTTATACTGGTGCAGAATGGGAGAGACCAAGATNTTTCTTCCACTCCCCAGTCCTTTCTCTACCTCGCCTGGTACACGACCATGTCAGTCCTGGGCCACTACAACAACTTTTTCTTCGCTGCTCATCTTCTGGATATCGCAATGGGCTTCAAGACTCTGAGGACTATTCTGTCATCTGTCACTCACAATGGCAAACAGGTATGGGGTTTATACTGGTGCAGAATGGGAGAGACCAAGATACGGATAGGAAAAATCATAACCAATAACAGGTAGTACACTAGTGTATGACAGGAAGATATGTGTTGTAGTGTATAATGCGCCTTTCATGGTGAAATAGTGATTGGTTTTGCAAAATTGCAGCCAATTAAAAGGCAGAAGACTTTGATTCAGAAACCTTTAACATTTAGATCAGTGTATGTGCTTGGAAAAGTCACTAGGTACTTCTGATGGAAGTACGGGAGTGAAGTTGCACAGTCGTGTCCAATTCTTTGTGACCACATGGACTGTCGCCTACACGCTTCCAATTAAGAACCTATGACTTAGATATCTGTGGAAGTGAAAGTTGCTCAGTTGTGTCCGACTCTGCAACTCCATGGACTATAGCCCGACAGGCTCCTCTGTCCATGGAATTATCCAGGCAAGAATAACTGGAGTGAGTTGCCATTCCTTTGATCTTCCTGACCCAGGGATCAAACCCGGGTCTCTGGCATTGCAGGCAGATTCTTTACTGTCTGAGCACCAGGGAAGCCCCGTAGATATTTATCTACACACATATATACAGCTATATGCAGACATACATAGCTATATATACATGTTTGTGTGTATGTCTATATATATCTGTATAGTCACTGCTCTATATCCAGTCTCATCAGTATCCAATCTGTCTACTACAGAACTGTCAGGGTCAATCCCTTCATTAAAATTCCCAAATGGCCCCTCCTGTCAACAAACTCCCTAGCATTTTACTCCTCATTAAGTGCAAATTCACGAATGAGACATGTTCCCTCACATCTCTAAATCTTTCTAGGAGGAAGGGGAAAGGAATGTGAAGTTAATTACAGCGATTATGGGAAATAGTACTGCGAGTCCTCAAAAAATTAAGTATAGAACTGCCATATTATCCAGCACTTCCACTTCTGGGTATATATATCTCTCTCAAGGAAATGAGATCAGTATCTTGAAGAGATATCTATATTCCCATGTTCATAGCAGCATTATTCCCAGTAGCCAAGATATGAAAACAACCTATATCCATCCTGGACAAACAAAATTTGTTATGGACACAGAGCAGAATATCATTCAGCCATAAAAAAGAAACTTTGTCATTTGTAGCAACATAGATGAAGCTATAGGGCATTATGCTTAGTGAAATAAGCCGGACACGTGAAGACAAATACTGTATGGTGTCATTTTATGTGAAATAATAAAAAAGGCAAACTTCTAGAACCAGAGAGTAGAGCAGTAGTTACCAAGGGGTGTTGGGGGAAATGGCAGTATTGGTCAAAAAGTACAAACTTTTAGTTATTAAATAAATTGCCATTGGGGATCTAAAGTAAAGTATGGTGATTACAGTTAAAGCTACTGAATTGTATACTTGAAATTTGCTTAGAAAGTAGCTCTTCGGTGTTTTCAACATACACATACAGGAAATGTGTGAGATGATGAACATGTTCATTAACTTGAGCATGGTGATCATTTTATAATATATGCATATGTTAAGTCATCACATTGCACACCTTAAAAAATGAAAATTCCAACCAGAAAAAAAGTTAAATTAACTTTTAATTGTTCTAAAATGAAAGGGTGCTAGATCATCCGATATTTTGATGGTTTAATTCTTCGAGGCTTCTGGTAGCAGCAACAGTTTCTTGGTTGTTTCTTGGTTGACACTAAAAAGAATGGAGGGAAGCTAGAGATAGACATTTGCTGCCACAAAAGCTAAAAGTTTGGGGAGGTGATAACAGAACCTGTGATACAAATGTTTGCTTAGCATGGTAAATTCTTCCTCTTCCTCACAGGATCTGCAGAGAAATAGTGTTGTGTATTATTTTTCCTTGTGTGTCTTGGGAAGTTTTATCCTATAAAAGTGTCCTCTCCCAAAATGTGATTTATGGAATGCCAGTTCTCCAATATGTTTTTTTAATCAAAAGAATTATTTTCTTCCCCTTTACTCAGATATTGAAAGCTCACAGTTTGTTGATTTGGCTTAGTGGCATTATACAGCAAAAGTACATCTTAAATGAAAAGTTTCAGTTCAGTCACTGCCATGTCCGACTCTTTGCGACCCCATAAGCTGCAGCATGCCAGGCCTCCCTGTCCAACACCAACTCCCAGAGCCTACCCAAACTTATGTCCATTGAGTTGGTGATGCTGACTCATTTTTTTATATGGGCTTGCTGACTAAACTCTGACAAGATGGTTTTTAAAAAATGTGCCTAGTGTTGCAACAGGCTCATAAGCACCCTGCAAAGTAGATGTTCTACTCATTTGAGAAAGAGGAGTATTGAGACTCAAGAGAGGCTAAGTATTTCACCCAAGAGCACTTTAGCACTTCTAAACCAGCTTCTTTCTGTGATGTCTGCTATTTAAGATATAAGTTACTAAACTCATTGTTCAAGAAGTCACTGAATGTGTCAGTCTGGTACTTATCTTGCCTGCTTCCTTTTGTGTAGCAACTTGAGGGCAAAGGTTTTATCTTGTTGATCTTCATCAAATGAAGCCCAACACCTATTCCCTGGTGTAGGCCAGATGAGCAGGTCTTCTGTAGTCCTCATTTATGGTGCTTCCTAAAAGCCAAGAAACAAACAGGCCCTTTGACTCCAGCAAAGGTCCAAGGTAGGTTTCTTCATTATGAAAGATGTCACTCTGAAGTTACTGTAAGAATGTTTATCGTTGACCAAAGCTGTGACAGTTACCCAGTTCATGGTTAGTTATGAAATATTGTGATGTGGGGATAGATACCCGCCAGCCCAAGGAATCTGTAGTTTCCATTTTTTACAAATGTTATTGAAGTATTGTTGATTTACAGTGTCATGTTAATTTCTTCTCTACAGCAGTGTGACTCAGTTTTTTTTTTTAATTGTAAAGTTGATATACAAATGTGTTAATTTCATGCAATTTCTTTAGAAGCAGCATTAGAACTTACAGTTACCAGTGGGGGTAGGGAAGGATAAATTAGAAGTTTGGAATTAACATATATACATGACTACGTATAAAATATAAACAAGGACTCACTTTATAGCACAGGGAACTATACTCACTATTTTGTAATAACCTGTAGGGAGAATATGAAAAAGAATATGTAGGGGGTGTGTGTTTAACTGAATCATTGTGCTGTATGTCCACCTGAAACTAACCAATGCTGTAAATCAAGTGCAAATAAATAAAAAGCAGCAGCTGCATCACGAAGCTTCAGGTCATTGCTCTCTCTGTAAAAAACCAAAGTAACCATCCTCAGAGCGCCATCACTCTCATCCTTAAATCCCTCTGTAGCTTACACATGCAGCACCCGGCGTTAGTCTGCCCAGTCTGTTGTAACAATATACAGTAAGTCCCCTACATGCGAACCTTCAAGTTGTCAGCGTGCCCCGTATGCCAGCTATTGTACTGTACCACTGTACTGTTCAAGGCACTATAAAATTTAAAATGTCTTATTTTTGTGTCTGTTATGTATTATTTATGTGAAAAGTATTATAAACCTGTTAGAATACAGTACTATATAGCCAGTTGTGTTAGTTGGGTATCTAGGCTAACTTCATTGAACTTAAAAATACTCTCTTGGAATAGAACTCATTCGTACCTAGGGGACTTACTGTGCTCAAGACTGGAGGCTTAGACAACAGACATTGATTTTCCTCTCAGTTCTGGAGGCTGGAAGTCCAAGGTCAGGATGTGGGTAGCTTGGTTTCCCTGAGGCCTCTCTCCATGGCCTGCAGCTTTTTCACTTTATTATGCTTCGGTGCATACCTGGTATCTCTCCCGAGTCCTAACCTTCTCTTCTTGTTAAAAGAAACCAAGTCAGATTAGAGCAGTGCCGACCCTAACAGCCTCATTTTAATTTAATCACCCCTTTAAAGGCCCTTAATCATCTCTTTAAAGGCCCTGTCTCCAAATGCAGTCACATTCAGAGGTGTTGAGGGTTAGGGCTTCAACATATGAATCTCAGGGACCCAATTTAGTCTCTAGGAGCTGATCATTACTCTCTTCTCCCAAGAAGCCTGTTTTTCTTCTCTAGTCTCATCTCTCTTTTGGCATCTGGAGTGTCACAGCCTTCGTTCCACTTTCCTGTTTTCTTGGAGTCTCCCACCAACCTTTCAAGGTGAGGACCCACTTCCTCTTCTCTCTCTCTGCTCCCAGTTAGTCCTGACCGTCGGTCTCCTGGCCGTGGTGGTTTATCTCTATACCGTGGTGGCATTCAACTTCTTCCGCAAGTTCTACAACAAAAGTGAAGACGATGACGAGCCCGACATGAAGTGTGATGACATGATGACGGTGAGTTCCCCGCGGGGCCGCCCGGCCTGGCTGGGGGAGCAGGGCTGTGGGCAGAGTGGAGACACACGACAGAGACGAGAACAGAATACTGACGTCTGGTCCGGAGGCGAGGCGGGCCCAGGAAAGACGAAGTGGTGGGATGTACCGCTTGCGTGGGTCCAGGTGGGAGCAGCACACAGGTGAGCAGGCCGCCATCTGTCCACGTTCACGCGTGTAAAGATGTGAGTTACCTATGTCTGTATCTCACGGAAGTTTGGATTCTTTGCCTTTGAGAGCAGCGAGCAAAGAATCCCATGAACCTGGTGCTCAGTTTATTTCAGCAAGCCAGTGGGGCTTTTTTCAGAACACGTGTCATCTGAAAAATGTCATAGCAGTGGGATTGGGTCGGGGCAGCAGGGTCCTGTCAGGGCAGCTCTGCAGGGCTAGAAGGGCTTAGCTGCAGCAGCATCTCTAGACATTTATAAGAACCAGATTTCAGGAAAAGAATGTATTAGAGACCAGTGACAGTACACTGCACCGCCCCCCAACCCGTGATCCTTTCTCCGAAAATGGAGGCACTTTTTGGCTAAAAACCCTCCATATACTTTCTCAGGGCAAGCACCCCATGAGACAGCAACACTACAGTTGCTAAAGCCCCAGTGTGACCAGCTCAGGCTCTGTGCTGCCCCTGGTTTTTGATTTACCAGCCCTAAGACTGCCTCCCACACTTGCATCCCGAACCCATCACAGCCAGCCAGCCAGGAGGGACGGGGGGCAGCCTGGTCTGTGAGCCCTGCCTGGTGCATGCAGCTTGGGAGGAGATGCTGTGGGGAGCCCCGCGCTCCTAGGTGTGCGGAGAACGCAGGAGGAGGGGAGCCTTTTCCTGGAGGCTGGCACTTTAAAATTAAATGAGATAAAATCATATCTGGCCTGTGCCATCCTCCTCAGAGCCGAAAGTCCTTTTATCTTATACACGCCTAGAGTGAATTCTCATGTGTGTGTCCAATAGTTCAAAACTGTTTTTTAGAAAAGGAGCAAAAACTATCCTTTAAAGGCTACATGGAACAGCAATCTTTCCGTCTTTATAGACAGTAGAGGGTGCAAGCCCAGAGTTAGCAGTATGAATGTGTTATTGTGAAGCGTACCCTTCTCCTGCCTCAGGGCAGTCATATTTTTAATTATATGAATGATCAGACCATCTCCATAACAGCAAGCAAAACTCTTCAGCTTTTACTCAAATTGCCATGATTTTTCTTCTCTAGTGTTACCTGTTCCACATGTACGTGGGAGTGAGAGCTGGAGGTGGCATTGGTGATGAAATTGAAGACCCTGCTGGGGACCCATATGAAATGTATCGCATCGTTTTTGACATTACCTTCTTCTTCTTCGTCATTGTCATCCTGCTAGCCATCATACAAGGTATGCTTCCCCATTATGTTGTGTGCACGGGACCCAGTCTAGATCTCTTTACCTTTCTGCATCTATCACTTAATTGTTTTATGTAAAGAGGTTTGTGCATTCACTTACTCGTTAATTCAAACAAGACATTTCTAGATATCTACTATATTAGAAGGCCAAAGATATACCCAGGCAGTACAAGAAACTTGAACATCCTTCCAGAGGACCACCCTCCTTCACTGCCAAATCTGAATTGATCATTTCCATCTTATTCTACTTCTTAAGTATCTCCTGTGGCTAGTATGGGCCCTCATGATTTCTGCCCTGGTCATTTACCTCCCAGGCAGTGGGGTGGGGAAGGAGCAGAAAGAGGAGCTGTGAGAGTGTGACATGTTTTTTTCCTTCTTCACAGGGAGAGGTACTGGTATGTAGTTAGTAGCTTGTCAGGAATTAGAGAACGATGGTGATAGATTTAGTTTAAGTCATGCCAAGTCAAGAGACCTATGAGCCATACAGGTGTTGAGGACCAACAAGCAGTTAACTCTAATAGGTCTTTTAGGAGACAAATCAGGAATGGTATAGGATAAAAATATTAAATAAGGACATATAAAATAAGTATTAAACATGTAAATCCATGGCTAATTCATGTCAATGTATGACAAAACCCACTACAATATTGTAAAGTAATTAGCCTCCAACTAATAAAAATTAATGGAAAAAAAAAATAAGTGTTAATGAATGCAAAACTAAAAGAAATGGGATCCATTAGTGGTGGTGGTTGAAGATGTGGGTGTGGAGATTTAACAGCAGAAAAGCTGAGGAGGAACCCCGATTGATACACATCAGTGCCTAAGGGGCAGGAAGGGCCGATAAGGAAGACAGAAAAGGAACAGCCCTGCAAACAGCAGGACGAGGAAGGAAGGATGAGGCGAGAGAGTCAAGAAAGAGTGAAGCAGTTAGCATCAAATACTGCAGAGAGGTGGAGTAAGAGGAACCATGAAAAGCGATTAACCAGGATGCAGCATCTGAAAACACAAGTGGGTTTTGTTTTTGTTTTTTTCTGATTTTGGTTTAATTGTATCATTCAGCTTCCTAATTCCCCTTTTTATTTTTTAAACAAAGTGACTTCTGCTCTGAACTACTAAACAGGTTATGCAAAGCGTTCTGTTTTCATATTTAAAATTCCAGGTCTTATCATTGATGCTTTCGGGGAGCTGAGAGACCAGCAGGAACAAGTCCGAGAGGATATGGAGGTACCTACCGTTCTACTAAATCCCAGCCCCATTTTTGTATCTCACAGCAAGTGGACTTTCTTTTTTTTTTTTTGCAAATGGATTTTTTAAACAAAAGGTTCTGCTCTTCCTCAGCCCTAGGCAACACTACTACCCAAGTTTGTTTTCCATGCCTGTCCTCTATCTGTGGCCATCCGGCAGCTCTGGGCATTTCTTCTGCTCCACCCTCTGTGCCCGACCCGCCTCCCACCTGCCGCCTCTGTCATGCCCCAAGCTTAGATGAGAGCAGGTCCCCTCCGCTAGCCAGAAGCTAGGTACATGAGACTGTGGGGTAGGTGACTAACAGCCTGAAGCACGAAAGGGAAATATTTTGCAGTCTCTCTCAATTCGGTTAGAGATCACCACCCTTTGTCCAACTGCCTGTAACGTCACGCCTCCTCATTTCTCTGTTGTTTTTCTCAGACTAAATGTTTCATCTGCGGGATTGGCAATGACTACTTTGACACGACCCCTCATGGTTTCGAAACACACACCCTGCAAGAGCACAACTTAGCCAACTACCTGTGAGTATCCTCGGTCAGAGGGGGGGACAGGGTTAGGGGAAGAGCAGTGAGTTACCTGCAGTGTACGTCTTACAGTTTGCGCTCTGCTACTGTCTTTTCCTCCTTGGTCTCTGGAAAGCAGGAGCAATTAGGAAAGAACTTGCAGGAGTCCCCATGAGCCGTATCTTTGCCATATACCCTGCCTCTCCTGTCTTCCTAGATGTGTGCAGACGTGTTTCTGCTTTCTCCACCTGGAATTAGACCTCATCCTTTCCCAAGGTCCTTTTACCTCCAGCAGGTTTTCTCTTGGGGATTTTTCCTGGCACCTTATAATATTTTCTAATCCTAAACAAAGAAAAAGAGCAATGGCCCCACTTTTCCTTCTCTTCCAGAAAAAATGGAAAAGTGTGCCTGTTCACAGTCTCCAATTTCTCTTTCTCACAATACTCACTCACTCTCCCCTGCAGTTGGCCTTCCTCCCCACCAATTACTGTTTGCTCTTGTCAAGGCGGCCCCTGACCTGCACGATGCTGGATTCCAGGGTTAATTTCCAGGCTGGGTTTCTTTAAGATGTGTGTGTTTTCACATTGCTGTATCCCAGCATCTGAGGCCTGTACCCAGTAGGTAAATAATAAATATCTCATTCGGGCAGAAGGTATTCAGAGTCTATTGTGTGCCACAGACTGCCTAGGAAACTTACAGAATTTGCAGGGAATGTACATCACCTGACAATTCAGATTCTGTAAGTGATCATCATTTTCAAGAAAAGAAACTGCTGGGCTCTGCTAACTGGCCTGGCCCTTCCCCTCTGTGTCTACCCTGTATTGTTTAGAAAATTCTAATCTTTCTTTAGGATGGAATGGGCCTTGCCACTGAGGGAGGTTATTGTCAAAGAGAAGTAACAATGTCTTTTTGCTAAAATGAGTTTAAGACAAAAACACAGGTTTAAAAAAAAAATCACTTGGGCATACCTTTCCTCAAACCATGAGTGTTCATTGTTGTTTGCATCCTCATGGAGGTGATCAGGATGGTTGTACCTCTAGAAAAGGTGGGCCTGTGGCTTATCTCGGGCCCGTGGATAAACAGTTGGGACTCTCGAAGGTACTTCCCATGGCACTCTGTACATAAGAGTGTATTTTCTCTGTGCCCCTCCACTAGCAAGCTTGAGGGGAGAGAACCAGTCTTATTCATGTTTAAAACTTCCCCCCTCTTTTCTGTGACACATCTTTGAGATACACATGATTTCAATTCTGCATTCCTATAAGAGGATAAACTGGCCAACTAAAAATTATATGGTTAGAGTTTCGGCTACCATTTTATTGTTTATATTAGGATTTTTAAAAAAACAATAAAATGGTAGCTATAATGCTTCCTCAGAAGTGATCCTGGCTCAAGGCTTGGTGATAGTAAAGTGTGAAGTCGCTCAGTTGTGTCCGACTCTTTGTGACCCCATGGACTGTAGCCTATCCTTCTCCGTCCACAGGATTTTCCAGGCAAGAGTACTGGAGTAGGTTGCCATTTCCTTCTCCAGGGATCTTCCCAACCCAGGGATCGAACCCAGGTTTCCTGCATTGTAGGCAGACACTTTACTGTCTGAGCCACCCGTTAAAGGGCCTCTTTTCACAGAAAGGCTCATTTTGAGATTTATGTATATTATTATTAGAAAATAATGGTGTATGTTGTCACACCACATTTCCCCAATTCTGAAAGGTACAGTGGTCAACGTGATGCTCAACAATATATTTGATCCTCTCCCCAGTTCACTTGCGTAAATGAACTTTAGTTTTCTAACCAAAGTATCTAATACTGTCTTTCTCTCGGTTGTTAAAGCTTTTTTCCTTGTTCCAGGTTCTTCCTCATGTATTTGATTAATAAAGATGAGACAGAGCACACGGGACAGGTGAGAAACATCTAATAAAATCACACCCCTGTGTTAGAGCTTCCCCTTTGTAAGTCAAAACTCAGTAGAGAAATGACCCCATCCATCTCTTCCATGTATTTCCCCACTGCTTCCTGCATTGTGAACCATCTCTTGTGAATTACGAAGTCAAATTTTAAGGCAAACTCCCATCTGTTGCACAAGGCCCCCTGGTTATCCTTCCCAGCACACACTGGCGTTTGCTAAGCCCTTAAGGTTGCTGCTTCTGAGCAGTCACTGGAGGTGGGGAGAACGGTAACAGAGAAAAAGACCATGTGAGGCCGAGTGGGTGGTGCCGCAGAGAGCAGCAGCGTCAGAGTAAAAGGGTGGGAGAGACAGCGCGAGGAAGATAACGACCTCCTATGTGGGTGACGCAGGGACGCGGAGGGGTGGCTGTGACAGTGTGTGTGTCAGAGGGATTCTGTGACTAAGCATGAACAAGAAACAAAGGCAGAGAACAGGGGAGGAAGAGGTAGGTTACGGAATATTCAAACATCACTGGCTTTGTAGGAAAACTTCATGGCTCAGACACTTAAAGGCAATTGGCATCCGTATCTAGCCTTGGTTCTCCTGGCCCCTGCCTCAGTGGACACTCACTGCTCTCTCCTCATCCATTCTGCCTCCTCCCAATTACAAATGATGCAGAATCAACTCACTGCTAAATCTTCAAGTATTTTTAGTGGCAATCACTGAGTTGGTTTCACTGGGGGTTTTTTGTTTGGGATGGTTGGGGCGGCGGGGTGGGGGGGGTGGTCAGGAGAAGGGAGAAATGACTTCTTGCTCCCAAAATAGCCTGGGGGGGGGTGGTGGCTGAAAACAGAGCAAGGAAGAACGTGCCAGTTGGACCTCATCCACATCAATATTCCCAAAGGGAGACAGAGACAGGAAATAAATTGGGTTTCAGCTTACTATGGTTGGTTCTCACTATTTCAGGAATCTTACGTCTGGAAGATGTACCAGGAAAGGTGCTGGGATTTCTTCCCAGCTGGTGACTGCTTCCGGAAACAATACGAAGATCAGCTTGGATAAATGGGAATGAAAGACGCCTCCACCATATTCTGGATGGTCAATAAAATCCTTCTCTTACAATTCTGCAACACATTGGAAAAATGCCGTTTCCTAAAGGCCTCCCGTACAAGGAAGAGTTCATTACATACTTGTGATATTTCGGAATTGACTTGGATTTTTGTACTTAATGGACTTACACGGTGGGAGATGACCCGTCAAAATGTTAAAAGGATGGCACAGCATCAAGGAAGCTCTAATGGAAAGTCTTCACATTTTTCAGTTCTAACTAGGGTGTGGGGATGACGTCACTGAGGGACGGGCTGGAGATGTAGGAAGTTTTAGATGCATAATACCTGGAATTTTAAACAATTGAATGCCATGTGACAGTAGCCCACTAGTGATTCATGGTCTGAGCTACAAAAAAAAAATCATTTTAACTGCAGTCTAATTTTTCCCATGGTACTTGCTAGTGAATGTATCCAGAATCAGCTTGAAAAGCTTTAAGCAGTTAAAGAAATAGAAAACAAAAAACCACCACTTTGTCGACACTGAAATATCGATTAAGTGCCTTAAAAACCTCTTTAGATATAGCTATGCAAGTTTTTTATGTTTATGTTCAAGATGGACAGTTCCATTAATTAGATGTGTTGATCTTCTCTTACTTTATGAACTGCACTTGAAAAGTTATTCATAAGATTTTTGTTTTTCAGTAACAGCTTATCAATTGCTGTTATTAGAAGTACTGTACTGAAAATTCAAAAAAAAAATCTCAACCTTAAGCCAAATTGAGCAACGCTTTATGGTCCCTTGTAAGTAGTGAAGCTGCTCTATTTAGGTGAATCTCTTTAAGTAACATGAAGTGCCCACTGCAATAAAGTCATACACACCACTCCACGGTTTGGCCTCTTGTAATGAACCACCTTTTGGATGATTCCCAACCACCCTGTGACTGCAGGGGAGGGGACATGGGAGTAACAAATAGCCCAAAGCCCCCCACACAAGAAAGAAAGAAAAACAATCTACAGACCAGTGTGTCTTTATTTTGGCAAAATGCATGCCTGGTTGCTTAACTCTCTCCTCTTCATCAGCAGCACCTGCTATGCTGTAAACAGGAAGAAACTGGAAACAAGGGTGGAAACATCTCTTGCCCTTAAGGCATCTGTTCAGTTACTAAGCCAGAGAACAAATGTAGCGAGCCTCTTAAATGTCTATTTCAGATGTTGAACATGGAGGAAGGCATCTAATGCACTAATAAGAGTGATGGCCACATGGGCTTGGGCCGTGCTCGTAAACCAGCTGTTCTAGGACAGTCTTGGGCCTGCGCACCCTTACAAGGCAACCAAAATTGGCTTCAGGCAGTTTTCATTTCCTTTTCCCTCTCTCTTTCCCTTTCTTTCCTTGTCATTAGGAAATCATGCTGTCCAACCAGTCTTCAAGCTCTTCCTCGGTAACATTTCTGGATATACTTGGTTGCCCTGAGGCCACGTTCTTTTCTTCCAACACAGATGGGTTTGCAGGTTCTAAGAAAAGAAACGCAATGTTAACAACTTCGCCGTTAGTCTCAGAATTGAGGGTTAATGCCTCCTTGGGGTTTGATCCATGCGAGAAATCAACCAAGTTGCTACTCCCCACACCCCCCCATAAGAGGAAACGTTCTGTTACTGTGCCTACTCCCTAAGAAGATCCAATAATACCTAAACAAATTCATAAATGGGGTAGATTTGCTCTTCTATTTATTTGAATGGCGAATCTCACAGTTCATGAGGTTTGTTTTTTTTTGTTTTTTTTTTTTTTAAGACCGATAGCTCTGTCTCCTTTTTACTAAGCAGTGATCCTGGAAAGTCATCAGAGGGTCCTGAGGGCAGTGTATGGACGGGGCAGTCACTAGGCCTCTCCCTGTCAGACGGGCCACCATCTCACAGGACGGGCATGTGAGGAACTCTCCTCCTTTTTAAACAAAAGCGGAATAGCAGGCAAGAAGCATACAGACTTGGTCCCCAGGCCCGTTCAGACAGTCGATTAAAAGGTCTGCTGTTGCACAGCTGAGGCCACAAGGCTCTAAATGCCTTTTATAGCATGAGTTCAATTTGTAGCCCCAGGTTTAAGATTGCAATCAAGCAGGTAGCAGCTTTGGAAGGCCAGTATTATCGAGTGAGAACGATGTTTCAGAAAGGTCAGCTCAGGGGGAAGCAGAGATGTGAGCACAGAAATAGATGTCAGTGAACGAGGCCAGATCGATGGCAGACACCGATGAGGATGTGTGGGGATGTGATGGAGGTGAAGCTATTCTCAGAAAAACACCAGAATCAAGAAGATAGGTGGGGAATAAAATGAAAACCGTACCTGCTGCTTCTTGGACCACCTCCCCACCTTTCTCGGATTCCAGGTCCTGAGCTGTCTGGTCTGAGAAGATGTCACCTCCCTCTTTCACAGGCGCATCTAAATTAAGCAGCAGATCTAGCTCTTCTTCCAAATGATCTGCTGCCAACTGCAGCAGGGAAGTGGGGTTCTGAGAACCCTTGGAAGGACCCGATCCTGGGCCGTCTTTACCCGGGTACATGGGGAAGCCAGCGGTGGTGGATTTCATCTCAGAGGGGGACCCCTTTCCTCCAGGGCCCGAGGGCCCCTTCAGCTGCATCCCTAGTGCCTTGCCATCATTATTTCTCTTTGGTTTCACCTGAGGGAGCTCTAAGGGAAGGGCAGTCTGAAAGAGAAGCACAATATCTGAGTTAAAACTGTGAGCCCTGCCCTATTTGCTTAAGCAGGAACTAAAGCAGAGGAAGCCATCAGACTTTGTGGAGTAGGAAATTCAGTTCAGGCAGGAAGGTCACAAAGTGTCTCCATCCAGGCTTGCCCCAGCACCCTTTCTAATTAATAGGGGTAAATGTGGGACACCTCCCCGCTATGTTCACCCCAGCCTTGTGCTAACCAGAGTAGAGCTGAAATCAAAAGCCCCATGCATTCCCATCACTGGCCTGAGATCAGATAGAACCACAGGTCTATGTGAATACACACTTAAGCCTGTGACGAGGCAGACGTCTGTAAAAGGCACTGAGGAGTAATAAGTAAATCAGATCTGTTCTTCGTACTAAAATGCACAAATACAGAGGTGAAGGAACAAATTCACTAAGAAGAAAAATAATGTTACTAACGGTCATTCGTGAGTAAAAATTGCCAGACACTAAAGAAAACATTCTATCTGATTACATTTGTAAAAACTCCCCAAACAGGCAAAACTAACTCTTGAATACTAGGAGTCAGGATAGTGGTTTTAGGGAAGTACTGCTTTGGGTCAGGGCTGGGTGGCGGGGGTGGTTCTGGGTGGTGGCAATATTCTGATTCTTGATCTAGATGGTGATTCCATGGTTATAAAGATTTACATGTGCACTTTGCTACATGTTGTAATTTAGTAGAGTTAGACCCTCCCCCCCAGCTGACTGTAATGTAGAAGACCACTGAGAACCACAGCTCTGGAGGGAGGACCGGGGTGACCAGCCTGGCAGCAGTCGGGTAGGTTCAGCTGCTCTTGGAGCCGCTGTCCCCTTGTACATTGAAGCATCCTGAGCAGATCCAGTTTGCTATTAACTCCTCAGGGCTTTTAAGACAGGAGAGCCTAACACACGAACTTAAACACTCACCCAGCACTGTCAGTGTGCAGGGTGGAGCTGGGATGCCTGCCCTGTTCTAATCTGGTAATCACTCAGATGGTCTGGATTGGCTGTCCGGCATTATTTTTGTCTGTCTGTTCACTCCCCAGGTGAGTAAGGTACAAACACAGTTGAGAATAACTGCTCTACATAATGGGGAAGGGATGGTATTTTAAAACTATTTAGCCAAGTTTTCAAAGTTCCTGTAATTACTTTATATCTTTCCTCCTAAGGCCTGTCATCCTTCACTTTGGATTTCTCATAACACTTCCCCTCGTTTCTCTCCTCAATTCTGGAGTCCCCATCACCTTCACCCCAATGAGGTCCTGTTAACCATTCCTCATTGTGTGGGACCAAACCAAGTATGTCTGAACTCTAACCATCTCTGGACACCCAGAAGAAAAATAATACTTGCCCTATCGTTAAGACAACCCCAAACATGCCTAAAGAAGCCCCAGGGTGATTCCCCATCAGAGGCAAATGCCAGTCTTTCTACTTCTCAGTCCCGAAGTGTCCCCCAGCCCTGAATTCTACTTGCCCTACATTTAAGGCAAGTTAAGTGGCATAGAAACAGCAATTGGATGGGTAACCAGTTCATGGTGATCTTTAAGCTTGGCATCATATTCACCTGTAGAACAAAACTGATCATTTTAGTTGCTTGGATTCTATTTAGTACTGCCCAGGGTTTCACTTAAAAAAAAAAAAAAAAATCCAGTCAAGTCTCAAAGAAATTTCTAAGTTCCTTCTGGTTTAACATTGGACCCTTCCTCTCTTATCTCATTCAGTGGCTCCTCTTACCTACCCTACACTGGTTGTAACCCCCAAATTTATATTTCTAGCCCTTAATTCTGAACTATAAATTTCTACATTTGATTTACTATTATTTTCACTTTGAAACCTCAGAACAAACTCATACTGTCCAAGCCTCGCTGATACTAGCTACCACTGGGTTGCACAAGCTGGAACACCGAGAATTCTTTGCCTGCTCCTGCTCCACTGCCAGTATTTCACCAAGGCCTAGTAATTTTCCTTTTGTAGTTCAGTTCTTGGGAAAGTCCAGTTCCCCACCGCTGCTGGTCCAGGCTACAGCATCACTCAGCTGAACCGTGCAAGAGCCACTCACTTTGCCTCTCCTCATCCACACTACTCTTGCATGGGTATGCATGTGCAGACTTCCCCGACACACCCACCCCAATCTCACAGTCTTCTCTCCATTCTGCAGCCAGAATATTCTTTATTATTGTTGTCATTATTACCAGCACTGCTATTACAGATCTGATTGGGTTACCCTTCTTTAAATCTCAACTCAAGTGTTCCTATACTTTGGCTCTCAGTTTACCTGTAACTTCTTCAGAAAAGTCATTACTAACATCATACCAAAGTAGATCAGGTTCATTATTACATACTCTCATAGCACATGGTGCTTATCCTTCACAGGACTTAGTGCAATTTGGTAACTTGATTAATACCCGTCTTTCCCAACAGATTAAGCTCCATAAGGGCAAGAACCATGTCTGTCTATTCACCACTGTAACCTGAGTGCCTAACACAGAGCCTGGCACTTAAACATTTTGGGTACAACACAAGCCAGACTCTGTACTTTCACATTTCATTCAATTCCATTACATTTTATCCTTTAAAATGTTCCAAATATATCAATAAAACAGGATAAAAACTTTGAAAAGTATTTCGTTCTCCCTCAAAACTTTACAAAATTCTACCTAATACAAAACCCTCAGCCTGTTGGAAGGAAAAGCTGATTCTGAGACATCCTGCAGGGAGGTATTTTTCAGTTTGCTTCTCCTGCCCTAATTTACACCAGCCTCAAGATGCCATCAGGGTTCCTACCTGAACCAATTCAGCAGCAACATTGAGTCGGAGTGAGAGGGGCAATTCTTGAAGGGCTCGAACCAGTGACTCACAGTCCACATAAAATGCTGAATTCTATAGAAAACAGACAAATTGATCAATCAAGATGATTACATATGAACTTTCAGAAATAAAAGGGCACAAGATGATAGTAGTAACTATAAATAAATCATCCATGACTTTTAGCTGGGAGTAATACAATCATAAATCACACCTGATATGGTTCTATCATCTCTGCATGAAGATAAGCAAAACCAAAACCACCTTCTTGAGCCACAGCTCAGGTGGTCAGAGTAGCAGCAGGGTAGCAATCACTCGAATCTAGACTGTACGGAATGGGAATTCCCCAGTGGTCCAATAGTTAGGACTCTGTGCTTCCATTGGGCGGGGCAGGGCAAGGGTGGGGTGGGTGGCAGCATGGGTTTGATCCCTGGTCAGGGAACTAAGATCCTACAGGCTGCACTGCATGGCCAAAGGAAAAAAAAAAAAAAAGACCGCATGGTAACCTGGAAACTGTGGACGTTCTTGGAACTACAGAGAAAATACAAAGCATTTAATGAAACATAACTGGACACCTCCTCCATATTCAGATGGCTGGCCTTTGGGAGCGCAGTGGAGAGCTGTCTCGGCAGTGACTTGGGGCTGACAGGCACAGCCGGAGTTGTGCATACACTTCCCTTCCAACCAGAAATCTGGGGTGGAAACTTACCCTCCAGCTGGCAGCTCTGTGTGTGAGGCCAACACTAAAACTCCCTGGGACTCCATTCCCATTCACAGGCGCAAAGTGCCATCCAGGCAATGCCTTCACAGATTGACTGTATTTGAGAAGGCATTCCAGATTATCTCATGATCCCTAACAGCTGCTTCTAGGTACCCTGGCCATGACAAGGGAAAAACTAAAAGGTGGGTGAAATCACCACATTAGAGTCAGATACCACTAACCACCTCATCCACCAAGGACTGTCACAGGTCGAGGTAGAACTGTGCCTTCTGCTATGATCATGGACTTCAAGTTAGAGAAGAAAACCCAGGGGTCATGGAGTCTCAGATCCACTATAAGGATGTCTTAGGTAGATGGGTTTATGATGACTGGAGGTGGCGAGTTATTCCTGGAGTTCTCAAGTAGAGCCTCAGCACTAAATCCAGACCCACTCAAACTCCTGAGCCTCACAACAGAAGTACACAGGGATCGAAAAATGCAATACGGCTTTTCAGCTGCCCTTTTGAAAGTTTCTGGAGATGGCTAGCTCTTAGGGGAGCAATGTTGGCAGCATCAGATGTGGCCCCTTGCCCTGGAAAAAAAAAAACAACTTACATCTAAAAATAGAGACAGAGTATTTAGGGAACAGGATGGAGGAGAAGAAAGCCCTGGCAGGAGAGCAGGAAATTCAGTCCACACACAGGCCCTGCCTCAGTCCTGCACTCAGCACGCCCAGTGCTTCATTAGGGCCAGCACGCCAGCCTTTGTTTTGAAGTTTGAAGAAAATCTCTGAGACCACTAGAAAAATGTGGTCCTGAATCTGTAACACATGAGTAAATTACCTCATTACAAAACGGAAGTCTCACCCTTCCCACTGCTGAGGTGTCTGCGAAGACCCCACATGTAGACCCCCTGCTCCGCCCACCATGCCTGCCAACTACTCAGAGCTGCTAACCACTCTCAGGTCTCCAGAGGAGGGCCAGGGGGACGTGCTGCGGTCCAGCTACAAGTGCTCAGATTTCCTCCCCACGTTCACATCAAGCGCAACACACTACAGGTATGCTGTTAACAAGGAAGAGTCTGTGAGATGTGAGGAACGGCCAGGCTGTGCTTGTGTGCTGAGTCCTGAATGACGGACCTTTGGCTGCTCCGACCCCCACATCTTTAATTCCCACCCCCCGTCCAAGCCCAGGTGACAGGCTACCGTCTCCATAAGGCCCTCACGACACTTCGGCCCAGCACAGCGGTTTCTCCTGGTCTCCCTGTAGGAGTCTCAGAGCCTAGCATCTGCCATCATCATACACCACTGTGTAAGAAGACTTTCCCTATTTTTGTCACCAGTTTGTCCCCTAAAGAGCTAAAGCTGAATGCCTTCCGACATAAAGGGAGCTGTAGTGAATCCCTTGTAATAATAAAGTGTGAATTTGAAAACAAGTTTGATTGGAATAACCACCATGAGTTAGCTTTTTTGGACGCCATGTTGTAAAGTAATTGGTGGGTTAACTTTGCCTGGAGCGCCCGGCTTCCACACCTACCTGGCCAACTCTATACCCACTCACAGTTGGAGCGTGTGTGAAGCCTGGCCACCTGGTGCCTCCTCTTCTGCAGACGTGGAGGCTGGGAGGGCACAGCCAGCCTTGACTGTTAGAACGAGGTCCCTCCACCCCACGTCTCTGCCATAGTGTGCACAGAACTCGGTCTGGATGGTGAGAATCTATTCCCAAAGGTTCCTCCCTGTCTAGGAACTTGATCAGACTCCTACTCTCGGTGTCTGTATAAAGACCATCTGGTGAGGAAAGAACCTGCTAAAACTCCACTTACAGCCTCTAATCAGACCATTATACCTTCCTCAGTAGCTACAGAACTCATTGTCCACATCTAGGGACTCGGGGCCACTTTACAGCGGAAGTGCCCAAATCAAGCAACACTTAGGAGTAAGCTGGGATGCCTTCCATGTACAGAGTCCCATCCAGAACTGCACTCTCGGGGGGGAAGTGAGGGAGGGCATATACGCCATTAGGAGCCAGTTGTTCGGGAACCACCACACGTCACCCAGTGCTTGCTGGTGCTTGAGGAAGCGCTATGGAATAAACAAGTCACTAGTCAACAAAACTGAAAAGTAAAATGAAAAGAAAAAAAAAGCCTCAGATGATTTTAAAAAAATAATGGGCCTATTTTTTTCACCCTACAAAGTTCTCCTCCCACCTCACATTCCCTCTTCCCATGTTCCCACACTGTCCAAAGAACAGGTCTGAAAACCTCACTCAGGGATCGGAGGGACCAACTCCCCTGAAGAAACGGGGCCAACACGGCGGCAGCAGGGACCCTGACTGCCAGGCCACAGCCCCTTCACCCTGCACACGAGCCACAGGCTTGTGAAGGCCAGTCACAGCCGCGGTGCCGGGCGCCTCCCGTCCTGGCTGCACCAGGACCCGCTGCAACTCTGCTTCCTCATGTCACCAGCGGCACTGGGGACACGGAAGCACATGAGGAACAGACAGACAGATGGACAGACAGACAGGGAGGGAGGTAGGCGGACAGATAGGTAGTAGACAGATACATAGACAGATTCTCCTCTTCTTTTTCTCTCTCAAGCAAGCAAAAATAAACAGAACCAAATGAGGAGTGAAGTGGGACACAGAGCAGTTCTGATGGCGAAGTGATGAATTCACTTTGGGAGATGTCCTACTAATACTTCAACTCAACACACTCACGGTCAAGACTGCCTTCTTTTGCTCCATGAGTTGTCACTGCTCACCTCGTCATCGTGCTGGGGAGCTGAGAGCCCCTGCAAATCTCTCTTGTCCTTATGTCTCCTGTCTGGCCCGTGACATATTCTCCGTCGTCCTCCACGCAGGCTCATCCATCAGTGAACTGTCTTCCCTGCCACGGCCCCACGCTGTCAGCCCACATCCCCTCCCGTGAACCAACACAATATCCTCCCACTGCTTTTCCTCCTCCAACCTCTGACCTCTTCAGTCCCTCCTTCCCAAAACTGTGGAGGTCCAGTCTAGCCATTTCCATTTTCTTGCTGAACAATACTCTTGTGAACAAGTAACAGTAGCAATAAAGGCTAATTTTGGGTGTTTCCTATGTGTCAGGAACTGCACAAAACTTTTATTTATAACCCAATCTAATCCTCATGACAACTCTGAGCTATACTTAATGATTAGTTCCATCTTACAGATGAGAACTAGGATTTACACTCAGGATTGTGTCTCTGATGGCTATGCTCTCACCCACATGCTAAACTGCCCCAGATGAAAATGAAGACAAAACTGCTGGTACTAAGTGGCCTAGACCTACCCTGGAAGCCGCCTCTTCTGAGAGTACCACAGTCCAGCTATGCTCCCAACTCCGAGCACAGCCTGGTCTTTCAGATCTCATCATTCTCCTGTTGTTCCCGCCAGAACCACACTTGTCCACCAGGGCCCATTCAAATGATCTTCACCCCACGCTCCTACTCTCAGTCACTGCCAGTCCAAAGCAGATTTCTCCCACCATATTATGTTCACTTATTATACCAATTATCTTATGTTGCATTCTTTTTCATTTATCATCTAAACATTTACTGATCATCTACCACATATCATCTACCACTATGCTAAGGCAAAGGGCCTAGGGTGATGAACAAGCATGAGCTTTGTCTCATTCATCTTTGAATGCTGCCGCCGCTGCTGCTAAATCACTTCAGTCAAGTCCGACTCTGCGACCCCATAGACGGCAGCCCACCAGGCTCTGCCATCCCTGGGATTCTCCAGGCAAGAACACTGGAGTGGGTTGCCATTTCCTTCTCCAATTCATGAAAAGTGAAAGTGAAGTTACTCAGTCGTGTCCAACTCTTCACGACCCCATGGACTGCAGCCTACCAGGCTCCTCCATCCATGGGATTGTCCAGGCAAGAATACTGGAGTGGGTTGCCATTGCCTTCTCCCATCTTTGAATAAAGGGCATCTAATAAAATATATAATAAAGAACAAGTGCTCAGTATTTTGATGAATGAAAAACCTTAGAATTATCTGAAAATCTCAAGGTAATTAAAATGTTCTCTTTTAGCCAACATGGTTCAAAGGAGTTGAAACACGAGCCGTTTGGCTTTCACCAAATTCTTCTGTTTATCTGTTTTTAACTGTCCTACAACTCTAAACCATACTCAGGTACATCCCAAACAGACTCAAGAAAAACAAATACTTTTAATTTCCAACTTTTTCTATGTTGTAATACGTACTCTTTGTAAAGTGACAGGCAGTTATTTTACAAGTCACTTTCCTTCCCTCTGTCTTTCTGATAAGTCAATGTCCATCCCAAACAACTGAACATAACACCAGCATAACCTGGGATAACACCATAACACCTAGGATTGCAAGTCACCTACTGTGTGTACTGAGTTGACAACAGAATGGGCAGGAAGGGACCACACCTTACCCATCAAGTCTGCGGCTTGGTCTCCTGTCTGAAGCTGTGGGCGGACAGTCTGATCACTGTATCGGACAGTATGCGCTAGTCCTGGGGCTGGGGAGCATATGCCAAACCACCACTCATTCATTCTCTGTGCATTTTTAAAGGGTGAGAATACCTGTCATCTCTCATATGAAAAGAATCAGTGCAATCCTGCTTGGAGAATCATCAAAACTCCTTTGGGAAGAAAATATGGTAGGAATACAAAGAAAATAAAGTGTGTGGGTTTTATGGATTCATTGAAAGACTATGATACTTGTTCTTATTTTATAGCTTTCTGCTCCTAATTATAGATAAAAGAGTTATTTAAAACTACAAAGTTAAGGATTCTCTTACATAATACCAAAAACACTGTGGGAGAAAAAAAACGAATTCTCAACTAATTCTAAGAGGAATTTTCACAGAAAGGGAAAAAGTGGAAGGCCAAATGGCAAGGTAATCCACTCAAAATCATAACCATAATCTTTGGCCCTGCAACCCAGTCTGTATGAACTATAGTCACAGATGAACTGTGTGAGGACTTCATACAGTGGCTGGTATGAAGGTCAACTCCAGCTCCAAGAACTTGTAAAATTTAAGCTCCCTGAAAACTTTCTGAGCAATTTAGGTAACTGAGGCTGAACTGTACACGAAGTACTAGACTCTTCTTTATGTGAAGACTCTGTCTAAACAACAGTGCGAAAGATGCTGGTCTTTATCCTTGAGAAGAGCCAACCCACATTCAACACAAAGCTTCACCTTACCTGTTTGGGGCATGAAGCTTCACTATCCCACTCTTTCTCCTCGGCAAACCGAAACTGTGAGAAGGAGTCCCCTGGGAATAGAAAAAAACATACAATTTTACATCAAAGCCAAAGGCGAACACTCAGTTCTCTAAATTTCCCTTTGGAAGGAAAAGTGCCATTTCTGAAGAGCTGACCATCCCAAACTTGGGTGATACCATTCAACAGCAGGTCCCAGTCCACGTCTTTCCACAGCAACCTGTGTGTAGGGGACACTTGAAAATATTGTTGACAGCTGTATTCATTGTTTTATTCAACTCTCAATAAGCCACCATCCTACACACTTGAGGAACAACTAAACAGTCCTGCCTGCAGACATGGCTATCTACCCAATTTTAAGCATATTTTCATCTCTCTGCATAATGTATGCACAGAAACTGATATGCATGATTTGGGGGGTAGGCAAGTAGAAAAGAACGGAGAAAACTAGAACTGAAGGAGAGCAATTCTCAACTGACCCATAATATGATGACTTAAAATATCTCTTTGAAGCAAGGTTACCAACCTCAACCATCACTCCAAAAATCACCTGGTTAGAATGTCAGATGCAAAATAAAACCCAAAGGATGTGCCTTAGATTAGTCAATGTGAATCATGATGCATGGCTGGAATGAGCATGAGCTCTTGGAATAAAGGAAAATGAATCAAGATAAACAAGCTTGACAGATGATTCTGCACAGGAGCCTGACACAAGGCTTATTTCATAAACGTGTACTTACCTGATTATTTGCATTAGGGACAGTCAATTTATAAGCAAAGAACTATTTCTCTACCTAGCTTTCAGGATCCTCCAAAATGTGGTCCTACCTCATTAATGCACATTTACTTCCTATTTCTTCAGACTTTCTGCTCCAGAGTCAGCCTCTTTTCACAGTTTGAACATACTTCATTTTCTATCCTATCCTCATTTTTCTTTTAATCCTCCTCACTTGTCTGAAAGACCCACACACTTTTACCCATTCACATCCTATTTATATTTTAAGACTCAGGTACAGGCCCACTTCCTCCTCCTATATAATCTCTCTCAGGTTATTTAACCATAGAATCCATTCTTTACTTCTAACTTAAAACAGGGGGGGAAAGAAGTGAAGAATTCCAAATTAAAGAGGCAAAGGTAAAATTCCAAATTAAAGAGACAAAGATAAAACCTCCAGCATCTAGCACTTGACAAGATGAAGTTCAAGGTAAAACAGGCCAAGAACATCAGTCTTTATCATGAGAAAGGGTAAAATCACAATCATTAGTCACTAGCAAATCAATTTGATCCCCCAAAAGTATGATATAAAGGATTTGAATTAATAAGGTCTTGTCTGTGCATGTGGGTATATAAGTGCATGTGATTATATTACACTATTATTATGATTATTATGATTATATGTGGATACTTCATAAATATTTGTGCAATATTGGTATTTTAAAAGGACTATAGAAAGGTTACAAAAAAAAAAACCAACCTTTAAAAATACCCTAAAATGCAGCAGTCATACAAACCATATTTGCTGGTGATAAACATCTGTAGCACATTTAGGCAAAGAGCCTATCTCTTACACACAAAGAATTTCTGCAAATTAACCAGAACAAAACCACCTAGTAGGAAAACAGGAAAGGGGGTGAGAATAAGAAATGCAAGTATGTATAAATGAAATGAATCATGAATAAATAAAAAATCAATCTGGTAGATTTTTTAAACTTGGTCGAACAGCTGAATATTTTATGAAATAGTGTTACTTTTGACATTTGTGAACTTCTATATTAAAAATGATCCTATGACTGCGTGGATCCTATAATATGTAATCAGTACTAGATATCATCAGTCATCAGTTCAGTTGCTCAGTCGTGTCTGCCTCTGGACTGTAGCACGCCAGGCTTCCCTGTCCATCACCAACTCCTGGAGCTTGCTCAAACTCATGTCCATCAAGTCGGTGATGCCATTGAACCATCTCATCCACTGTCATTCTAGATAACAGTAATGCAAACAAGGCATGCTCTATGTATTTTTAATATCTGAATATTCAACTTCAAATACAGGGAAGTTTCCAACAGTGGCAAATAGCTTGTTTGAAATCAATGCTCTTACAGAAAACAACTAGGAACATTCCCCTACCACCATCCCAAAAAATCTACCTGAAGACATTAGAGAGTCACCAAGGCAGTGAGGATGTGAGGGACAAAGTTCCCAGATTGAAGAAAAGCACAAAGAGGTGAGTCTAACATTTAGGACTGCTTTTCCCTTTGAGGCATGTGTTAGTTTCCAAAGTGATACTGAGACACTGAAAAATTAAGCATCAAGTAATAACCAAGAGGTTGTAAAACTACTGAGAACTTCCACTAGTCTTATGGCACTGGGTGGACAAAAATGGGAGTTCAGGGCCCATGGGTGAAGAAGAATCCTGGAAGATCAAGACTTTCAGATGAAACCCTGAGGACTACATCTTAGAAGTAGGGATGAAGGAGAAGAGGCCAGCATCACAAAGTCTGAGACAAAGGAGTGAATCAACTCAATCTGATTCTCACTAAAAGAAGTAAAAGTAAACCCTTTTTGGAGAAAAATGACATTATCAATAGCCTAGAATTATCTCTACCATATATTATATACAGTATCCAAAATTCATTAAAAACCATCAGGTATATCAGGAGATGAGACCAAGATAACAGAAAACTTAGAAAGAGGAGTAAACCAGCCAACCAACCAACAAAATCGAAACAAAAAATGGGCAGAAGACCTGAATAGACACTTCTCCAAAGAAGACATATAAAGACAGACAAAAAGCATATGAAAAGATGCTCAACCCTGCTAATTATTTAGTTCAGTTCAGTTGCTCAGTTGTGTCCGACTGTGAACCCATGGACTGTAGCAGGCCAGGCTTCCCTATCACCAACTCCTGGAGCTTGCTCAAAATAACACCCATTTCATCCATGATGCCATCCAACCATCTCATTCTCTGTTGCCCGCTTCTCCTCCTGCCTTCAACCTTTCCCAGCATCACAGTCTTTTCCAATGAGTTAGTTCTTTGCATCAGGTGGTCAAAGTACTAGAGGTTCAGCTTCAGCATCAGTCTTTCCAATGAATATTCAGGACTGATTTCCTTTAAGATTGACTGGTTTGATCTCCTTGCAGTCCAAGGGACTCTCAAGAGTCTTCTCCAATACCACAGTTCAAAAGCTTCAATTCTTCGGGGTTCAACTTTCTTTATAGTCCAACTCTCATATCCATACATGACTACTGGAAAAACCATAGCTTTGACTAGATGGACAAAGGTCGTCAAAGTAACGCCTCTGCTTTTTAACATGCTGTCTAGGTTTGTCATAGCTTTTCTTCCAAGAAGCAAGCATCTTTTAATTTCATGGCTGCAGTCACCATCTGCAGTGATTTTGGAACCCCAAAAAATAAAGTCTGACACTGTTTCCATTGTGTCCCCATCTATTTGCCATGAAGTGATGGGACCGGATACCATGATCTTCATTTCTTGAATGTTGAGTTTTGAGCCAGCTTTTTTCACTCTCTTTCACTAAGAGGCTCTTTAGTTCTTCGCTTTCATCTGCATATCTGAGGTCACTGATAATTCTCCTGCTAATCTTGATTCCAGCTTGTGCTTCATCCAGCCTGGCATTTCCCATGATGTACTCTGCATATAAATTAAATAAACAGGGTGACAATATATAGCCTTGACGTACTCCTTTCCCAATATGGAACCAGTCTGTTGTTCCATGTCTGGTTCTAACTGTTGCTTCCTGACCTGCATACAAATTTCTGAGGAGGTAGGTCAGGTGGTCTGGTATTCCCATCTCTTGAAGAATTTTCCACAGTTTGTTGTGATCCACACAGTCAAAGGCCTTGGCATAGTCAATAAAAAAGAAGTAGATGTTTTTCTGGAACTCTCTTGCTTCTTCTATAATCCAAAGAATGTTGGCAATTTGATCTCTGGTTCTTCTGCTTTTTCTAAATCCAGCTCGAACAGTTCTCAGTTCACGTACTATTGAAGCCTGGCTTGGAGAATTTTGAGCTTAAAATTTTTTAAGAGCCAATAAAAATAAATCCAGTTACCATACACAAATCTTGTGATTTTTGCAATGTAAAAATTTCAAAAATAGGAAAAACTATAAAAAAAAAAAAATGACTTTCGTAAAGTCATATTTTCTTTTCCATTATGGTTTTTTACAGGATAGTGAATATATTAATAGTTTCCTGTGCCATAGAGTAGGATCGTGTTATCTATTTTGTATATAATAGTTTGCATCTGCTAATCCCAAACTATTACTTTATCCCTTCCCAAACCTCTTTCCCCTCTTGTAAGTTTGATTTCTATGTCTGTGATTCTGTTTTCTGTTTTGTAAATAAGTTCACTTGTATCATGTTTTAGATTCCACATATAAGTGATATCGTATTGTAACTGTCTTTCTGACCAAGAAGTCATTCTTGATTGATACCAAATACTCACATAAAAAATATAAAGAAAAGAAAGTGAGAAAAATAAGATATTTAAGCACTTTTTGTTTACAGTAATCAAACTTCAAAACAACACAATTTTAAAATCCTAATAACGCACACAGAGGCTAATCTTAAAAAATAAGCTGGTTAAACGACTACTAAAGAATGTCTTACATGGAACCATAAAAGACCCCAAATTACTAAAGCAATCCTGATGGAAGAAAAGCAGGAGGCACAACGCTCTTAGACTTCAGACAATACTGTAATACAAAGCTACAGTAATCAAAACAGTATGGTGTTGGTATTATACAAAACCAGACATATGGACCAATGGAATGAAACAGAGTGCCAAGAAATAAACCCACACACCTACAGTCAATCTTCAACAAAGAATGCCAACCTTTTTAATTCTCACTGAAGATGAAAGTGTGTCCAGATTTGTCAAAATTACAACTCCTAGAATCAAGAGTACTTCTAGAAAACATGTTACCAAAACTCTTCTTATATCAAGACGTACAAAACAATGCTGGTATTAGTAAATGTGTTACTCCTGTATCTTGTACATCAGACATTTGGACTTCTTTTAAATAAGAAAGCATGATG